TAGAAGTGTTTCGAGTATTGGAAGAAGAGCTGGCACATGTGCATAATATCCAATGGGGACTATTTTGAAGGCGACAACATTAATGTAGACGAATTCCCGATATTTTCTGAACACACCTCGTACCTACATAAATGAACACAAAAATAACATACACACAATTAAATAACTCACCATTTTGAAATCATCAAATTAAAAAGAAATTTGGTACAATTATCAGTACTACTACAACACTTACTGATGTATTTCGTAACTTTAACCCACCTTACTGTATCCCCTAATTTCAATTTGAAAACCACTGTTCAGATACTTCGCACTTCGTACACTCGTTAAATAGGTATAAGGAATCCGAATAACAATAATAACAGATTCCTGGTAATATATTATAAACACTCAGACTGTAGACGCTGAAGTCAGTTGAACTAGTTGATGCGTATTGTCGTGGGAAATTGATGCGTATTCTCCGTAGTTTTCTAAAACAAATCTGTTTAAATTTTACAAAATAAAATTAACAAACTACAAACTCATGTTAACAAATCTAATTTTTCTTACAGTGTATTATGTATAAAAACAATGTATTACTAATTAATTTAAATATTTGTATAGAGCGACATCTGTACAAAAACAGATTAACCTGTGAATCTTATTTAACGGATTTAAATATAGCAGTTATCAAATTTTTCTGTAAAGATCGAAATGTTTCTCTTAAAATGGACTAAAACTGTTAAAATCCGATATAGAAGAAATAATGTTACTTATTTGGTTAATTTTTTGTATAATTAGAAGATCCAAATAGTTGCAATAATATCGTTACATACTTGAAGTTAAAGATACAATAATTGTACAATTATTGTCAAATCATATTAATATTGATAAATTGTACCGAGAATACAAAATAAAATAAGCGCAATCTTATGGCAATCAGGGTATAATCCCAAACTTTTAAATACTGCCGAAATGTGGGCAGAAATTGAAGAATTTTCTGATTTAAGTATGTTTTTTAAATAACATTTAATTTTTATAATTTCTGCCAGGTTTAGAGACTCCCTGTCTAAGTGTGCTCCGTACTAAACCTTAAAATCAGTGATCGTCCCAACTTTAAAAGTTATCACCATAATTTTTAATTTTTTATATTTTTTAGTTTTGTGTTAGTATAATTAATTTAAATAAAATTTATTTTTTATTTTGATAAATTTAGTTTCTAATTATGTAATAAAATAAATTATGTAAACAAAATTTATTATTCTCAAATAAAAATCATTAAATGTTTCTAAAAATTGGTATCGTCCGAACATTGAGTAGGACTGCTTGATAAAACAAACCTAAATTTATAAACATAACAGTTAATCCTTGAATATAAAAAAGATTAAACAATCTAGAACCTACATAGATACCTATATCTATGATAAATATTGTCCTTATAATAAAACTCGAAACTAAAATGTCGTTTATAAAACTTGATACATAATATACTATAATTTCACTAATAGATGTAATTGTTAATTATTTGCATATAGTCCGAGACAAATTTTGCAGCTAAAATCGATTGGTTTTAATATTTATATAAATACTGCATTATTAATATCCCGGCGCATTCGCCATTTTTGAAACTCTTGTAGTAAACTATATGCAACCAGCCGCGCACCAAAGCGTTATTGATCCGAAAGCTTTCTCGTCAGTCTGCAACCCAGATAACAAACAAGCTCGAAAAACTAAACAAATGTTTTTTAATGATTTGATGTTTTCACGTCAAAATTTCAAAATTTTATTGACATTGTATTGGGGTTTGGACATGCAATTTTTTTGTTGCCTATTTAAAATCTACGCTTACGCGTTTGTTATTAACAAAAATTCGTACGTTTTGAAAAATGCAAGACTCAATGCACTTTTATGACCTTGAAGAGCGCGTGACGTCACGATATTATAACAGATGTGTCAAGAATTACGAACTAATCCAACATCTGTTTAAAGCACCGTCTCACACCGTGGCAAAGATTAAATATACTCTTATTTAATCTTTGACCGTAGTTTCTAGGTTATGTTTAATATTCATCAAATTATTTAAATCCTTTGAAAATCGGGGTAAAGTACATACTGAATGATACTTTATACTAAAATAGGCTGTTAATGGTTTATTTAACTAGTAAAAAGATAATGACTGTCGATGAATTGGGTTATGTTAGGAATTTTTATTTTTGTACATTTATTTTTACATTTTTATCGTTTTTTCTACAATATTTTTAAGATATCTGTCTCTTTATTGATATTTTTTTTAATTTTAATTATTTGCTTTTCTTTAATTATTTATTTTACTTTTGGGTATTTCCATTGTAACGGGTGCGACGCGTTAATATGAAAAAATAGTATAAAAAATTAGGTATTTAACTCATACAAAATGTCAGTAAAAACTTGTATAGAAAACCTTTTATAACTTCATGAATCGCGTAACGGGCGCTACCTTAGAAAATCGGCAAATGCGACCAAGTTGGCTTCTAAAGTTGATACTGTAAAATTTTGGATGAAAGCTTATGGGTGAATATCCAAAACGGGGATAAATTGGGGTGGTAAAAAATAAAAAGCAAAGATTAATAAAACACTAGCAAAATAAAACCTCAATGTATATTTCTTAATAACAAAAAGTAATTTCAAGGCGGCTATAAATTAAACTTAATACTTTTCTATTATTTAAAAAAAAAATGAGTCCATGGAGTTGACGTTCTGAACCATGGAGTTGACACAATAACATAAAAACAACATAAATCTAACCTTGTACACTTCGCGGCTCGTGCCGTAATTTCGGACTCGTGCGGGAAAACAGTGCCTTTCGCCACTTGTACTTTAATATACTATTAATACTTTTATTTAAAAAAAATAATATTATTCTTAAAAAATGCAAATAAATTAAACAAAATTCGATCTTTCAACTGCCGGATATCCGGCCGCCGGATATCTAGCTATCCGGCTTCGATTCTTGCCGGATATTCGGGATGCGGTGTCTGGCCAAATAACTATCCATTTCATCTCTATATGTATATTAGGGTGCTTCAAAAAAAATTTTTTTTCGCTCTTACCCTCTCAAATGTTTTTATTTAATATAAAAAAAATCCTCACCAAATATGGGCGTTCCAGCTCAACTTTAAGAGGTCGCTGTTTTTATTTTAGTTTCCCATTGAATTAACATGGGAAAAAATTAATTTATGTTTGGAATTTTATACCTCTGTATCAAAGTAACTTATGGCAATGATCATTGCAGTTTCTTATATAAAATTTAACGCTCTACAAAAAAGGTCTTCTATTATTTTTCGATAAATTGATTTCTTCTAGAGTTATTCGAGGTCAAAGTTTTCCCCCTTTCACCTCCCGTCTGCTAATTGTACCAGAAAATTTGATGTTAATCAAAGTTTGACCTCGAATAACCCTAGAAGAAATCAATTTATCGAAAAATAATAGGAGAGCTTTTTTGTAGAGCGTTATTTTATATAAGAAACTGCAATGATCATTGCCATAAGTTACTTTGATACAGAGGTATAAAATTCCAAACATAAATTAATTTTTTCCCATGTTAATTCAATGGGAAACTAAAATAAAAACAGCGACCTCTTAGAGTTGAGCTGGAACGCCCATATTTGGTGAGGATTTTTTTTTATATTAAATAAAAACATTTGAGAGGGTAAGAGCGAAAAAAAAATTTTTTTGAAGCACCCTAATGTATATGCTGTATATAATTATAATAATAATACTATTAGAGAATTTTTTTAAAGAAAAATTAAATTTAATTTATTATAATTTAACTATATATTTTTAATTATCGTTCACTTATATGAGCTAAGAGTTTAGGGCAATAATAAGAAAGTAAACAACTCCATGGACATACCTTTTAACTCCATGGAGTTGATGTCCATGGAGTTGATGTTTTTATAGTTAAAGTCACAAACTTTAGAAAATGGTACATAATGTATCTTTAGTTAACTGTAATTTAAGCAAAGCATATTTGGTTATTTCACCTGGAGAAAGTTGATCTTTAATAAAAATACTTACCCGTTTTTTCGCAAATAATTGTTCTTTATAAATTTTTATTAAATATAACACCCCATTTGCCTTGCTTACACAAATCAACACTAAATCACTCAAACGACGAAGTCTTCAAACATTACTAAAATACGTTTTATACAGGGGATTTATCATATATTAAAAGACTGCAAAGAACTCAGCTGTAAAATGGTGTCTCATGCTGTATTCGACATTTTGGGTTAAAATATCAATAAGTTTGGTTTTGGTTGTGTTTTTATATACATTCCAAGTTAGAGGAAATGCAATATGAAAGAATCATTTCACAATTGCATCTAGTCTAATAGTATATGGATGATTTGTTGTCCCTACGCTAGGTGGTGACAGTCCATGGAGTTGACTTTAAAGCGTTTAAGCAAATTCAAATTAATAAAATAAATAATGTTTTATTTTTTTGGTTAAGTACGTTCTACTGCTAGACATAAACTGTCTATTGTAGTGTTATTTAAATGCTAACTACTTTCATTAGTATATTTTATTTAAGTTTCAGCTTATTTGCTCCGTTCTGGAGAATCACCCATATAGTAATAATTTTTTGTGTAAAACTTGAATAGTAATCCTAAACAAGCACGTTATTTAAATGCACAAATATTGTGTACTATATTTTCTATAATTTTCCCAAAATGTAACGGGTGCGAAATTTGAACATTTTATCGAGTACCTATTGAAACTCTTCCGTGTTTATTCTTAATATTAGCTTCTTAGCATCACAATGTACGAATATTTTAAGGTTATAAATTATGTCGCAATTAAACTATTTGACTTCAGATATAGTTTTTATTTTGTTAAATAACATCTGTTTTTTTGTCAAGGGGTAAGGTTTCATGGAAATACCCTTTTTAATATCTGTTTAATAAAAGTACATAACTTTTTAGCCAAGAAGATTATTTTCCCCGCCCACGATTGTTCAACGTCAAAAAGGTCAATCGTTTGAGATAGCCACGGCACTCTGTTCTCTTCTCATCGGTTTCGGTTACAACGCCTATGTTGTTTCCGGATACGCAATCAAAGACATCACCGAAAAAATCATGCTGCGCATCGATTGTCCGTTCGTGGAGGTCGCCGAAGATGAGGAGGTCGAAGAAGAGGTCGAAAAAGTTTCCAAGTACACTGTCACACCTCCGAGGGACTTGAGGAGCAAGCTCTTGCTCATGATGGAGGGAAGGGAGAAGGAAAAAATTAGGTTGGAGGAAGAAAAGGCGGCTGAGATAGAAAGAAATAGGATGTTGGTAATTAAATATATAGGGCTAATGACTGATACAATAAAAAAAATTATTATTTATAATTTGGTAACGATAAAACCTACTCAAGAAAAATAAATGCTTTGTATCAATATAAATAAATCTGTATTTTTGAATATTAAACATTTTATAATTAGGATGAAGAAAAACGCCCATTTGACTCATTAGAAGGTCAAAGAATCCACGGATGGATTCTTTTAAAGGAAGGTAAAGATGTAGAAGCTCCATTTTTTCTGGAACCCACTACGGGTTTTAGATACGAGTTGGACTCGGCAATGTATTGTGGAATTGAAAGCTTATGGAATGACAAAAACTATTGGGTACAATTCACAACAATTAAACAAAAAATACATAATATTCTTATTCCAGATTAACATGCAACAATGCACTGAAGGTATGTCCTGTATAGAGTATGATTTAACAGATGTTGAAAAATGGGAACATTTGTTAATTGGAGAACCAATTGGTAGTAGAAAGTATAAAACTGAAGATATTGGTGAAGAGGATGATGGTGGGAAGGAAATGTATGATGAAAAGCATTTGGATATGCCTCTCTCATGGAGTTTACCTATCAGCATGCCACATGAAGGTAAACGAATCTTGGATTATTTTACTATACACCATTTTTAATCCAAAATGTTTTTTATTATTATTTAGCTTTGGCAACTCGTTTTCCCAACGGTTCCAAAACATCCCACTACAAGCGAACCATAGTGGAAGAGTTTGCACCTTACGTAATGTCAGATGGTCTAGTAACGCGTATTGCGAGTTACAAAGATTTTGATTGCACAGTGTTGGTAAAAATCGAAGAGAGGTATAAGAATAGAAGCGATAAACTTTATAAAAACGTTTACGATCTGGAAACGAATATTGTTGAGGATTATTTTCATCCTGGACGAGAAGATGGATGTATAAGTAAGTAACTTTGATGGAATGTATGTATGTTGTCGAATAATATTTTGATGGTTTTTTAGAACATACTCATTATCATAATAAAGAATCGATCGATGACTTCAGGATTTTAGATTTTAATAACAGATTTGATGGTTTAATTAAAATTGAGACAGATTTAAAACATCTCACTGAACATTATGCCAACAGAGATGATTTGTAAGCTTTAATAAATAATTAATGTTTGAAAAAATGGGACATAAATTTGTTAAAAACCTATTTTCTTAATATCACTGGTTAACAAGGTTTTGGACTGGATTAACCAAATGCTGTTTCTTAAATAATTTGATGCGTAATATTATATTACGTCATCTAAAAAAGCTACTCTTCCTTCAAGATCATTTTTTCAACTAAGAAATCATTAGTGGACATTTATGTGTTTGGTTTGGGTAAACATTTTTAATCATTAATTTAACTAACAATTTTTGAGAGGAAAAAAGATTATGGAAAAACTTTAAAAGGTTGTTTAAGTAAGTACTTTTGCTGCATGGCAAGAAGCGCCATCGTGTTTAAACTAGATATCATCCACATCACGGGCTTGATTTCCAGGTAACTAATAGTCCATTATCATGACGCCATAGCGAATGCCATTGACTGTTATGTTCAGGCCATCCTCATCTTTGAAAAAATATAGCCTGGTGATAGCACCTACACCGAGAAAAAGCTTTTATATTGTGAATGGGTTAACCATTGAGCCAATGGTGTACTGTATTTGCAATACCTAAATTACAGCTATGATCAGATGAATGATTGTCTTACTTTTATTTGTGCAAACCTGCTTAAAATTAGTTCAAACATAAGAAGTCATTGAATAAAATTGTGATTGTATTAAATCCGTATTAAAACTTAAATGGTTTAAACATAATAAATTATTGAATTAAATTTTTATTTAATTGAAGCCACAATGGAGCCTAATGAAAAACTATCATTGGCATAAATAAAGTTATGGTTTCTAATGAATGGCTACATTAAATGCAATTAAAGCTCTAATTGCTTTAAATATGTATATTCTTGTGCAAATATTAGTTGTATAATACATTAATATGAAATTTAAATAAAAATGAACTCTGGAAACTGCTTCTGGTAGTCTTGTGTACACAGATTTTTCGATTCATAAAATGTGAATTGTTCTGTTTTCTGTAGAAACTATTAGGAACCCAGTAGAAGTGTTGGTGATATTAGGCTCTAAGAAAGTTGCTGACCCATCACTAGCAACAGTTACTGTACTAAATGTGCAGGATCTGTCTGCCATGGCACATGGTTATTCTAAAACAAAATAGGAATTTCATCTTATGTATTTAGAGGGGAATCCTTAAGATTGCTGAAAGTCCTAATAAAATTGAATATAGGCCGCATTGAAAAAATGGGAATGATAATTGGGCAAATACCAAGTATTTTTCAAGATAGTGAAAACATTGGTATTCACTGTAAGACAGTAATAACTTACTTTACCTTAGGTTCCATTGGAATAAAAAACATGAACATTAAAAGAAACAAAGACTATTCTTATTTCAATTGTTTTTAATTTTTGGTTGAAGCATTATAACTTTTAATATAAATCGTTTTATATTTAATTAAATATTGTTAATTTTACCTTGATCAGATAAATTTTGAATACAATAATTTCAAAAATTTTCAAGGAAGTTCACATTTCCATTAGGTTTAAATCTAAAGATTCAGTAATTTTAACTTGATAATATTTTGTTATGGGCTGAATATAATATTTGTAGTAACATCAATCCCTTACCCTCAATTGCTCCAAACATATTTGATTGAATAAACTTTAACATTTTTCGACTGTTTCTAAATTCCCAAAGAACTTGCTTCACAAAGTGCAGATTTTCGTAATCTGGCTCCACAATTTGGAGTCGCTGTTCAAGGGTAACCCTTTCCATGATGCAATGGTATTTAATACTTATTCGTTTCACTTGTGGATAAAAATTGCTTTTAAATGTGACAAAACGCGTTCTACTTTTGGTTCCAAATTTCTCAAAACCAGACCTAATGGTGCCAGTTTCGAATTCAGCGTAACAAACTCATTTAAGAAACATCCTCACAATTTCCAGTCCGAAATTTTCAGACCAGTGTAATATAAAATAGTTATTTATGTCATTAGGTTAAGAAGTAAGGCTTTTTGTGCTAAGCTCAAAGTTTGAAGGCCGACGCGTAGCGGAGGCCTACAATTGAGCGAAGCACAAAAAGACACTTCTTGGCCGAATGGCATACAACATTTTATCTTCAAAGCACTTTATATAGGTCAATTTAATTCAACATGAAAGTGGCATAACCTCACTTTTTTTAATCTCATTTATTTATTAGCTAAAGATTACATTAAATGTACAATAATTATTATTCCTTTTAGAAGCAGTAATAGTTTGCAATACCTAGCTACATGATTTAAGTAGAAATGGATTTTTGTAAGAAAATGGTTTACTTACCCTCTTGCTATTACATTGAATTCAATTAATTGTTTAATAAATAGGTACCTAATAGGTATCTAATTTCAATTTGTTTGCATTTTTATTAAAAAATAGGTAGTTTGGAATGTTTACGCTGTGTTTAACATTTAATTTTACTGAAAACTTAAAGCAAATTAAAATTTAAAGATAATTTAAATCGTAGAAAAAGAAAACACAACTGTGAAACGTCAAATTGCAATGTCCTAACCTCACTTTTTATTTTATTATTCATATTTAATTTTACAATAATTTAATGAAAAATATTAAACATTATAATGTTATAACAGTAAAACAAACAAATTAGTGCTTATTATAAATAAATTAAACCAGTTTAGTACGTTAATTTCTTAGAAAAGGATTAATTTGTCAAAACAATACCCCTAGCGAGAAAAAATCGAACTAATTACTTGCCTCATAAAAATTTTTATCGGCCTAGGCCATAACAAGGTATTTCTTTATCGAATGTTGACAACAATAAAGTTTAAATTATAGACCGCGTGGAGATAAATATAATTATTTGAATTTTTAGCCAAAATAATCGACACACCGACTATGGACCCAAAACAGATGGCCGTAGAAGAGATATTATTGTAATAACATTAAAAATAAATACAAAAATTACGTAAACATATTTTTTTCAGAAAATTACCGAAAAATATGATAGAAACGAAAAACTGCATTACGCTGATGACATTAATATCCGAGAATTTAATTTTCCCACCCGCGAAATTAACATTAAATATCACTATGGACCCAGTCAAATTACTTATTCCACCAGGTAAACAACAAATTAAATCTACTTAAGTAGACTATACTTTATTTTAATTATTATGAAGAGTGTTAAAAAAAGGTATTATCTGTGGGGTTTTCACTAACGCTTTCAAAACTTAAAGACAAAATTTAACTTAAGCAGCAAATTTTAAAACATATGCTCTAAAATGTTAGTCTGATTAATTGGGAAGTGTCTACCACATCCCAAATGACTAATAATAATATACTATAATAACATTTTTTTTATTATTTATACAGGGTGAGTCATTTAACTTGAAACTTTGAAATATCTCAGTTCTAACTATAGTATGCATTTGCAAATAGGTAGATTTTGTCTAAAACATTTTTTCATATTTTTAATAGATGGCGCTGTAATAAAAAAAAATTGTTAAATTTTTCTTCTGTACCTATACGATTCTGCAATAATTTTTCTATAAAAATATCAATTTTTTTAGTAATAAAAATCTTATTAAATTAAATCTGATTTTTTTAAGTACACACGATTTTTTAACTAATATTTAAGTTTCGTTTGGTTTAAGTTTTTTACATTATTTCATTCGGTGATAATTATCAATTGCGCACCATGGTCACTTTTTACCTGCCAGCATTAAATCCTTTAATTTAAAGGATTATTGTACTATTTTTAATAAAAATACCTCATTTAAGGTAAAAAAAACATTATTTTTTCAATTAATTAATTTAATTCTAATTAAAAAAATGGTATTTAGTTATAAATAATAATTATTATAGAGGTATAAAGAAACTAAACTGCGCACCAGTCAATGTGTCGCGACCAAAAATTTCGTCCTATTTCAAAACGACATAACTTTTTGGTTTCTTGAACGATTTTATTTTGGTTTGTGATTTTTGCTAGCTTCATTCTCTGGAAATTCATGCTATAGATATGAATCTCACGGTTCTTCAAGTAAATTTCCTACATTGTGATATGTAAAACGGTGAAAAATTTTAATAACTTCATCCAAGCCCCGTTTGCAAAAAAAATATTTTTTTCTCGTTTTTACTTTGAAATAATGAAGTATTATGTCTTACCTTGAAACGTTTTTCAAATTTTTCGAATTGGAATCTAAGTAACGAAAATATGATTTTTTTTTCAAAAGGGTACATTTAATGCTTTTTTGTAGGCAATACACTCAGCCTTTTTAAGATGAAAAAAGATAAGATGGTGAAAGATTGTTCCTTGAATAATTCTGAACAAGTGACAAGCAACAAACCTCCATTAATTTCAGAGGAACCTAAGCAACGACCACTTTTTCAATTTGACATTTTGGAGAAAATTTGAGAAAACTAAACCTGAACCGATATTTACGTTCGTGACATGTTTGCTTTATAATTTTGACCTCCTGATGTGATTCAGTTGTTAAATTTAAGTTTTAGATAGAACCAAAGAATCAAAATTCGAAAACAATTCCCGGCTGTTAAATGTCTCAATAACATGCCTTTGCCAATGCCATTTGGAGATTCATTTTTTGGGAGAAATTACTGCAATTTGTTTGAGTGGTTAGGATAATGTTACATAAATTGCATTTATATTGTGCACTAGTGATAACTTATTACTGATAAGTACCTACCTAATTGTTAATAAAGTTAAATACAAAATTTGTTTGTTCATTTTTGAAAATTTTATGCGAAGATATAATCATAATAAAAACTACAACATTTAACAAAAAAATGTAACAAACAATAACAATAATAACTTTCAATATTTCGTTGGCCCTCTCCTAACCCGTAATAATTCGTTAACCCTCCTGGGCATTCCCTAGACCAAGTTCCTTAGAAATTCTTGGGGTATGGCTTCCCATTCTTCCTGAATCGAATTTACCAATTCATCTAAATTCTCCATGCGTCCCTTTCTCTCTTTCATCTTCAGTTTCATTCTGCTCCATACATGCTTAATAGGATTCATATCCGGAGACAGAGGTGGCCAATTCATTCTCTCAATATCATGGTCCCTTAAATACTCATTTAAGATATTAGCGCGATGCGGACGGGCATTGTCGTTCACCAACACCAAATTATTGACATTTAATTTTCATCATTTGATCCTTGATTTGATCATTCAGTGATATGATAATAACGTACTAAAGATGCAAAATACAGTAAAAAACAGTACAATCCAGCAATCAGATTTTATTGAGAAATTTAACAGCCAGGAATTGTTTTCAAATTTTGTTTCTTGGTGATTTTGGTTTTATCTGAAACCTAAATTTGACAACTGAATTACAATCAGGTCAAAATTATGAAGAAAACATGTCACGAACGTAAATATCGGTTCAGGTTTAGTTTCCTAAAATTTTCACCAAAACGTCATTTTGAAAAAGTGGTCTTTGCTTAGATTCCCCTGAAAATAATGGTTGTTGCTTGTCGCTTGTTCAGAATTATTGAAGGAACAATCTTTCACCATCTTATCTTTTTGTTCTTAAAAAGGCTAAATGTATTTCCTACAAAAAAGTATCAAATGTACTCCATTGAAAAAAAAATCATATTTTTGTTGCTAAGATTCCAATTCGAAAAATTTGAAAAACATTTCAAGGTAAGATATAATACTTCATTATTTCAAAGTAAAAACGAGAAAAAAATATTTATTTTACAAACTGGGCTTGGAAGAAGTTATTGAAATTTTTCACTGTTTTACATATCACCCTGTAGTAAATTTACTTGAAGAACCGTGAGCTTTATATCTATAGCATGAATTGCCAGAGAATGGGGCTAGCAGACATCACAAACCAAAATAAATTCGTTCAAGAAACAAAAAAGTTATGTCGTTTTGAAAAAGGATGAAATTTTTGGTCGCGACACATTGAGTGGTGCGCAGTTTATTTATAGTTTAGCATTATTTAATCAATTTAATTCGAAGATTAATTTGCAAACAACAATACCTCCTTTCGTTAAGCAGTTATTCATAATGAATTTTTTAACAGTGGAAGAAAAAATAGAAATGATTTTGATTTATGGAGAAGCAGGCAGGAATCTTGATAATGCTGTTAATATCTACGCTCAGCGTTTTCCGGATAAAATTCGATCACGTACTTCATTTCACAGTACAGTCAAGCATTTTACTAGAAACGGGAGTGTTCAACCAAAAAAAAAGAGTTCGTCGAGCAACAGTCACAGGTGGAAATAATGAAATTAATGTATTAGCAGCAACGGCCGCTAATCCTCCTGCAAGCACACGAGAATTATCTAGAGATTTGGGAATATCCCAGAGCAGTGTTAGCAGAATATTAAACGAAATGCGAATTAATAAATGCATTGAAGTCGAAGGCCACCATTTTGAGCATCTACTTTAATTAAAATTTAAAAATAAATACATTTAAAAAATAAAACCAAGTATTTTATTCAAAAACTTTTGGAGAATCGTATACAGAAGAAAAATCGAACAAAATTGATTTTTTTTCATTACAGCGCCATCTATTACAAATATGAAAAAATGTTTTAGACAAAATCTACATATTTTTAGTCGAATGATCCGAATCTGCAATAAAAAATAGGGTGTTCCAGGGAGGACCAATTTTAATACTGATTGATTTTCCTCCTCGAATCATAATTTTTATTTTAAACATTTTTTCGTAAAATGCATACTATCTGAGTAATTTGCAAGTTAAATGACTCACCCTGTATACTTATATATTTTTTATTTTTTACATAATAAATCTTGTGTTTTCATTTAGACCGAAAATTATTAATTAAACATAACCAGCAAGAGTAAGGGATTTCAAATAAGCTATCACTGTTTTTTTATCACTACTTTGTACCCGAAAACTCCTCTGTTTCGATTTTGTTGGGCCACCCTGGGTATTGCAAAAATAACCATATAATCCAGCCCTGTGTAATGCTACTATATTTTTGTGCTAAAAAAGGTGTTCTAGGTATTTTCAGAAGCCTCCACCGGCTGAGATTGGAGAGGTGGAAACTTTTCATCCAGAGTTGACTTTTGGCTATCAGAGCGATCTAGAAGCCAAGCCACCTACGCTGGTACAACTGTATTATTTGTTGGAGAAACAAATGAAAGACGAGGAAAGGTTAACTGACGATGTCAGGATTATGGAGAAACAAGTAAATTCGATTTTGTTTCCATATGAACTGCGCACCACTCAATGTGTCGCGACCAAAAAATTCGTTCTTTTTTAGAACGACATAACTTTTTTGTTTCTTGAACGATTTTATTTTGGTCTGTGATGTCTCCTAGCCCCATCCTCTGGCAATTCATGATATAGATATGAAACTCAAGGTTCTTCAAGTAAATTTCCCACAGGGTGATATGATACACGGTGAAAATTTTCAATAACTTCATCCAAGCCCCGTTTGTAAAAAAATATTTTTTTTCGTTTATACTTTGAAATAATGAAGTATTATGTCTTACCTAGAAACGTTTTTCAAATTTTTGGAATTGTAATCTTAGCAACGAAAATATGTTTTTTTTACAAAAGAGTACATTTAAGGTTTTTTGTAGGCAATTTAACAGCCGGGAATTGTTTTCAAATTTTGATTCTTATTGATTTTGGTTTTATCTGAATCTTAAATTTGACAACTGAATCACAATCAGGAGGTCAAAATTATAAAGGAAACCTGTCACGAACTTAAATATTGGTTCAGGATTAGTTTTCGCAAATTTTCACCAAAATGTCATTTTGAAAAAGTGGTCTTTGCTTAGGCCCCTCTGAAAATAATGGAAGTTTGTAGCTTGTCGCTTGTTCAGAATTATTCAAGGAACAATCTTTCACCATCTTATCTCCTTGTTCTTAAAAAGACTGAGTGTATTGCCTACCAAAAAGCCTTAAATGTAGTCTTTCTAAACAAAAAATCATATTTTCTTTGCTAAGATTCCAATACGAAAAAATTGAAAACCTTTTCAAGGTAAGACATAATACTTCATTATTTCAAAGTAAAAACGAGAAAAAAAATATTTTTTTACAAACGGGGCTTGGATGAAGTTATTGAAATTTTTAACCTTTTTACATATCACCCTGTACGAAATTTACTTGAAGAACTGTGAGCTTCATATCTATAGCATGAGTTGCCATAGGATGGAGCTAGCAGAAATCACAGACCAAAATAAAATCGTTTAAGAAACAAAAAAGTTATGTCGTTTTAAAAAAGGACGATGTTTTTTGGTCGCGACACATTGAGTGGTGGGCAGTTTAGATGAGGTATTCTTACTAATAGTAATATATTTTAAGATCAAAGATTTCCTATTTCTTCGTAACCGAGAACTGGCCTTCCCATCCCTGGAAGTTTCCCTCTTCAACAGAGAACAAAACATCGAAAATCGCATGGCGATGCTGCAGGAGGAAGCTGAAGCTAAGCTTCAAATGGACAAAGAAATGGAGGAAGAAACCGACTACTTTGGTCCATACATCGCCAAATTCGATAACCCTCACATGCTCTCTTCCTTCCAGATTCGCCAGCTTAAACTGCAATGTTTAACGGATTTCAAAGAGATGCTGGTTAACAGAGCGAATAATATTCAAAAGAAATTCGAAAAGGTTAGATTTATATTGAATAAAGTGGATATCTACATTTTGAGTTGCAAGGGCCGAGAAATTAAACAAAAAGTTTAAAGGGTGGTTTTAGCACAAAATATACAAAACTAATCGGTTTGTTATTTTTAAAGGTCTATTCAAGTGAAAAAAGTGGCTAAAATATGGCAAAACTTGCAGTAAGTAATATACTTGTTGAAAAAAAATACATTTTTTATGAAAGTTATTTTTAACAATTAAGAATAAAATTACAAAAAGTTGTTAATACACTATTTTGTATAATACAATACAATGGCACCTAGAATGTGGTATGTTGCCAGGGAAGTTAGTTTAAGTAGAAATAAAAAAACAATATTTTTTTCTGTCAAACACTTTTCGTATTAAAATTTTATTATTTCCCAATAATATGTTTATTTAAAAGGATTAAACACAACTTTCTCAAGACTTTTCAAAAAACAAAGTTATTATGATTTGAGGAGCATCCGTGCAAAACCGTCTAAATCCATTTTATTCAGTTTTTTTTTTTGATTTCGCATCTTTGGGTTCATTTCTATCGACAACCAAGATAATTCTGTTTAAATCCGACTATATCCATGTTAAAATCGCATTTAAAAGGTAGCTTTAGGAGCAAAAATGGCCAAATCCACGTTTTTATAGCAAACCCGGCTATATCCAATAAATAATAATGATGATGAGCATGTGACTCAAATATGTCGATACTACTACTAAAATTTGTTCTGTTATTTTATGTTTGCACTAAATTTATTTTGTTAATATTTTTGAATAATAAAGGTTTTTTTTCACATTTTATTCGGTTTTTGAGCAAAACCGGCTATATACAAAACATTTTTTAAAATTTTGGCCTTACCTAATATAAAGTTTTTGAAAACGAAAGTATGTCTTATAAATTAAGTACCAAAAAGCCCACAAAACTCAAGTTTGCTTTTTCTTTTATATGAAAAGGCCAGGAAACCGAGAGTTTTTGCCATTTTTCCAACATTTTATTAAAGTGGATATAGCCGGTTTTGCACGGATGCTCCTCATTTAATGTTTGGGTATTTTAAACTGTCAATTGTTGAATAAAAAAATTGTAATTTATTTATACTTAAAATATCCCCCCTGCATTTTTCGTACACACTGTATTATAATAAATTATTGTATTAAAATAATGTTTTTGTAAGTTTACAGTCACTTATTTTTAATAAAATAACCTACATAAAAAATGTAAAAAGAAAATATCAATATGTTGGATATCAAAGGGAGAATATTGACTGCAAGTTTCGCTATGGTTTAGCCATTTTTTCACCTTAAAAATAATAAAAGATATTTTTTTAACACCCCTTAAACTTTTTTTTTGGAACAGGGTGATCCCCTATAATGTCGCCCCCCTTTAACTTTTTTATTTTAAGCGTCCCAAAAAATTTAAAAGTGTGGTTATATAGGTACTAAAAATACTTTTTTTCTACTTATAAAAAAAAATTCGAAAATTGTTCAGTATACAGGGAAAACAAAAAGTTTATTTTTTTTCAATGGATCACCCTATATATGAATTTATTTTTCGATTCCTTGTAAAATTCTAAGCATAATTCATAAATCAAATTAAAGATAATAAGTTGAAATAGTTTGTCTTTCTCTGTCTGAGTACGCCATTTTTACTTATTTAACAAGACATATTGACATAATGTCACTATAGTAATTTATTTTCAATAAAAAATTTGGTATACTGAGGCTTCTTGATTTCTAAAAGTTTAAAAAAAACATTTAATGATAACATTTTGATTGCGAATATTTCAGAAACGGTTGAATTTAGGTATAAGGTTTGTTTTATGAATTATGCTACAAGGAATCGAAAAATATATTCATATATAGGGTGATCCGCTAAAAAAAATAAACTTTTTGTTTTTCCCTGTATATTGATCAATTTTCAATTTTTTTATAGGTAGAAAAAAAGTATTTTTAGTACCTACATAACCACACTTTTAAATTTTTTGGGACGCTTAAAATAAAAAAGTTAAAGGGAGGCGACATTATAGGGGATCACCCTATAAAATGGAGGTGAAATAGTCAAATAATATTATTTATAAATATAAGAATGGTTTTTAGTTTTTTAAATTCCTTGTTTTATATTGCGTAAAAGCAATATCGAATTTGGGCAGTTTACACATTAAAAATACGTAGATCACACCTGAAATCCGGTAATCTATTTATCCATAGAAACGGCAACACTGCTAACGCGTAAAATTTTACTTAACATTGCATGATCTGGCAACCTCTAAATATATATTTTTTTTAATCTGAAAAAATTTTGCGTAAAAACAATATCGAATTTGGGCAGTTTACACATTAAAAATACGTAGATCACACCTGAAATCCGTTAATCTATTTATCCAAAAATAATTACTAATAAATAATAAATAAGTAAAACAGCCCTGGTATTTTAAAATTGCACAATTTTAACAAAATTTGATAATTGAAAACTGCCTTACATACATAAAATTAAGAAATGGTAGTACAAATTCGCATAAACTAAAGAAAAAAGCCAAGACGTTTACCCATTTTTCAGGAGTACCATGGCCCTTCTTTTTTTATAAATATTTATACAGCCAAGCTAAGTTTTTTTAAGACGAATTCAACGATATAATAAAACTCAATCTCCATAAAATATGTAGAAATTAAAAATGGCAGAATAACTCGTATCATTAGTTTTGCTTCTAAAAAATACTAAAAAACTTATTGTTGTACCCACTATATAAGGACCTAATTAAGTTTTATTAGTAGTAAGTTTACTTTTGATTGTTTTAGTTCTCTGAAATTTTACAACAAAAACAAGCATGGTACAATCAAAACTACGATGATCTTACTGAGTTTGATATTCAAAGTACAATGCAAGAAATGTCCTATATTATTTTCTACATGCATACTTTGGAGCTAAGACTTATCAGACATCGGGATCTCTCAGCATCAAGGTAATACAAAAAATAGTATTGTAATTATTTTGTACCAGTTTGTTATAAATATTTCTTTGAGTTTTATAGTACGTAGTAGAGGCGCGAATTTTAACTTTATACCGTTATACTAAAATACGCTTTTAATGGTTTTATAACATGTTATAAAACCATTAACACGTAAAAAGGTTTCAATTGTCAAAAAATACACTCACTTACTCCTTGTTCTTGAATATTTTCTTGTAAAATAAAATATTATTTGAACTATTTTACTATTTTTTTACTTTTAGATATGAAGCAGTGGCTCAATATTTGGAAGATCATAAGTTCAACTAAATAATGCAATACAATTTACTTTTACATATATTTTTGTAATCTTGCTTTAAATAAAAAATTTTATTTCTACATAAAAGTGTATTAATTTGAATACTATTTATCTAACCCAAATAAACATATTAAAAATAATAATATAAATAAATAATCTATGAATAATAAAAGTTGTTAATACAATTGCTATAATAATACTATGATAGTTTTAGAAACTTTTTTTTCAGCTTAGTTTAACTAATTTTGGGCCGCTGATTTAAAAAATTTCATTAGTTTTTCTCTAGGACGTCTAGGATTTAAAATAATTTCGTAATAAAATGCTCTGCTCAATGACCTCAAAATGTAAGTTTTTTGTTAGTATTTTAATTATTTATTAAATTATTTTGGCTTAAATTTATCTTGAATGTACTGAAGTAATTGGTATACGACAAATAGGTCATATTTATCTCAACAATATGACATTTTAAATATTAAAACGAAAATTTTATTGTATTATATGTAAAAAAAAACATTGTTTTACATTTTTGTCGTTTATTTTAATTATTAAATTGAAAGGGCAACAAAGTAAACAATTTTCAGTATTTTTTATCCAAATTAAGCCCTCAAAATTTAATGCATTGCATAATTTTGCTTTTTTCTACCTTAAACTTATTAAATCGTATCAAATATCGAATTGGATTATAGTATTATTTTGCTTAATCCTCATCATCGTTGCTGCAAATTCCAGCAAATGTCTCCTAGCAATGAATCCAACTTCTTTCCACTATACCCATAGATATGCTCTAGATTTGCAGTTAAAATCGTTTTCCATGTTCATCAGTTCGGCAAATTTATCAGGATGAAAAAAAAAGAAAATGTATTTTAAATGACATATTAACGCTAATTATTTACGAAACGGAGAGCATTTTTTCAATGAATTGGCGCCAATTTTAGGCCCGATATGAACCCAGAACATTTTCTATGACAGCTTTAACACTGCCATATACGACAAGCTTATCAACTTTTAGAGCATTTTTGAATGCTTGGTCTTTCATTAAACGTCGTATATCAGGTCCATTTAATATTCCTAAAAAATTAAAGTAGGTATATCTCATAAAATTTTGTAATCAAATATTGCGATGGTTTTTCTTGGGCGTAAAGGTACCGCAACAAAAACAAAACAAATTTACAATTTAATTTTAAAGACGACATAAAGGTTCATCTCCTTTCTCTTTCTCTTTTTGTTCTTAAAATCACTTTCAAGTAAAAATAAAATTTAAATTTTAAGTAGATAAAGGCGCCTTTATACTTCAATTCGATATTAAATTTTGATAAGACTTAATAAATAATATTGGAGATTAAATTTTTGGGTACTTTAGGCATGATGTGAGTTAAAAAAAATATCAAATAATAGTCGAAGAGTAATGCTTATACCGAAACCCATTTACTGTGTTGCCTTTTCAATTTAATTTAGTAATTAAAAAAACGACACAAAAATTTCAAATTTTTTTTTATATAACTGGATAAAAAACAAACACTGTTTTTGAGTTTCACGAATTTTTTTAAATTTTATTTGACAATTGTTTCGCTAACACTGTTAAAAAAATTCGTGAAAGTCAAAAACAGTGTTTGTTTTTTATCCAGTTATATATTAGTGACATGGAGTTTCATCAAGTAAAGGTCGAAACAATAAAATATTATAATTTTAGTTTTTATATTTAATAATACTATCATAGTATACGGCTACAATGGAACAAAAAAACTTCTATTTGACATTTATCTACCGATGACCTTTTATATGTTTGACAAAAAAGGTCAAAAATATACTGAACATCCAAAATAGATTTAAGGCAAAATAATTTAATAAATAATCAAAATATTAACAAAAAACTTACCTTTTGAGATAATTGGGCAAAGCATTTTATTACGCAATTATTTCGGATCCTAGACGTCCTGGAGCAAAACGAATGGCATTTTTGAAATCAGCATCCCAAAATTAGTTAATATAGGTGGGCGTACTCAATGTTAGTAATTCGAACTATCATAGTGTAATTGATACACTAGTTTATTATTAAACTTAATTTATTTTTATTTTAATTTAGTTTTATTAACTGGCTTTCTTGAGTTTGTACAAATTTTGTAATCGATTTTAAACTAACTTCCCGGTGATTTAGAGAAAACATAGCTCAGAACTGAATAAAACAATCTGGTATATTTCAAATTGTAATTGATACAATAATTTAATATTAAACTTTATCTATTTTTATTAAGTTTGCAAAAATGGCGAATGCACCGGGATTAATAGTATTTTTTCGAGCCTAGGAACAATAATTTTAATATTATAACACATGTGGCAAAGTTGCGTATTATTAACTACTCGAGAAAAAATTAACTACTTATCTTTTTTAGCATAAAATTTAAACCACACCAGTTCCAAAACAAATGCTAAAATTGCCGTGACATAATAGAAACTAATAAAACCAAAAATTGGTATTAAATGCTTAAGCTTTAAAAATTCCACATCCTCAACAACTTCTTTAACTTTGGGCAAATCTTCGTGTCGTATTATGTTTTTGATGATGCCAGTTTCAGTCAAACGCATAATAATATTGGTTATATTTTTATGAAAAGGAAAGCCCGGTCTTAAATAAATTGTAAAATGCATCAGACCTATATTTATATCCGTTGAGTGCAGTATTATTTGGTTGTCGGGTGTTCTGTAGAATTCTAAATAAAAGTTTTTACCAATCTCACCCAAAGCGCAACCATATAAAGCTCCTTTTGCCAAACTATCAACGCATCTATTTATCTCTAAGGTTTTCTGTATTTTGTCATACTTATCCGTATTTTTATAGTAAATTCTGTGAGATTCGTAAGCAAATAAAGTCAAGTCGCCATTAAAAAGTCTTTCTTCTGTGCTATATTTAAAGGAATATTGAACGTTGCTTAGTTTTGAAGCGAAATACGTTGAATATGCCGACGCGTAGAAAATATTAAAAATCATTATTGGTAAAAATATTAATCGTATAACGTAAAATTTAGGAAGTCTGGTGCTAACTCCCATGGTTACAGCGTACACTTTAAGGCTAATTTCAATTATGCGGGGCTTTTTAGATATTAATTTAAACCCAAAAGCTGTAAGACATACACTCAATACAATTATAAAATTAACAATCCAATATGTGTAAAAATCTTGTAATTTAAGTAAGCTTTGTATATTAGTTTGCAGCAAACCATAAGGCACAAACCAATGCACATGATCAAAATGATGAGGATAACTGTAAATAAACCTATTACATCTCGCCACTGTTAGTTGATATGATCCCAATATAAAATCTGCATTGTTCTTAAGAAGTTTAAAATTTCCAGTCAGAGTTCCATTGTCCAAAACATCTCCTACATCGTGGGCTGACTGTGACTTAATGTAATTTAAAGAAATATTCATGGAACTAGCAATTATTTCAATTAAAGCAATTTCAAAGCCTTTGGAGTTGTTTTTAAAATACCTGGGCTTGTAATCAATAATTCCTGCTGTGTATGTTTTAAAAGGGATATTTTTAATGATGGAAATATTTTCCTTCAAGCAGTATTTTTCCCATTTGTAAGCATTATTGTTGAAAATCGATTCAAATACGTAATATTTATCTTTTAATATTATCAGAGATGTTAAATCTTCATAAGTAATTATTTTTATTATTTTATTTACGAAACTATTATCCAGTGTATCTGACAGTAAAATTAACAATTTTATGTTGTTATTCCAATGTAGTATTTGTTGTTTAAAATATGTTAATGTATTTTTAAAGTCTTTTAGATTTAAAACACTCATGACCAAATTTAGGGGACGATATCTTCTTCTAATAAACCCACTTTTTTTCTGCAATATCATGTAAGTATAGTTAAATAAATATCCAAAATTCTGCAAGAAATGTTCAGGAAAGTATTTATTTTCTTGAGTAAACACAAAATCAGATTTGTCCATTAAAAAGTAGTTTGTTAATATTGCCTTAAAACATGTTGAAAACACTGGACTCTCCATTTTAAAGAAATACTAAGAATGTATTATCTACTTTGTATATTAGTTATAAAAGGAAACACATTTAAAAAAATATATCTGTTGACCTATCCATTTATTTGATAGAAGGTGTAATGGAAAATATAATTAGAATATTCTATTAAAAGAAGCAATATATTTAATTAAACACATTAAATAAATAACTTGTAATTCTATATTGAATTGTGTGCAATTCAATAAATTTATTAAGGATTAATCCAGTGGCGTAACAACTCAACGTGAGGCTCTCAACAAATTTTAGACCGAGCTCGGTGTGATATTTTAAATTAAAATTTTGCTCTTTAAAATGTAATTTATAAATAAAGTTAATTTTTCGAATCAACACTCCATCAAATTACCTACCCTGGAAAAGTTATTGGCCACCCTGTGGCAAACAAAAATAATAATTATGTCGACTAGTGTAATTAGCACTTAGAAGGGTAAGTTTGTTGTTTATATTCCTTTTTAATTAAATAATAAAAAAAATAATTTACTGATTACCCTTTTATTATATTATTTGTTTTGTAGTTATATCTATATGCAGTTAACCGCATTATTTATTTAATCTAGTTTTTTTCTGAACCTAATAAAACTATAGTAATAGTAATAACTAAAAATATTTGTTATTTCCTGTATCAAATATTGATAAATAACGTAGGTAACATAATTACTAATGAAAAACAATTAACATCTGCTGTTTGTGTTTATGTATTTATAGTCTAGTCATAAAATAACAAAGAAAAACAATGTTTAAAGTTATTATTATTAAATATCTATATTTTCTAAACATGAAATATTTAATTTAGAAAAAGTTAAATTTAAAAATTATCGAAGAAATGCTCCAGAAATGTACTAATTTAAAAATTATAATAGGTAGGGGAATAAATTGAGATGTCCCCCTAGTGAACATGATTATTTTTTATTTTTGGCTGTTTGGGAAGCCACCAGGTCTAGTAATAACATGAAGGTTAGTTTTTCATATGTTTTTTTAAACATCCCTTTGTCTATTTGAAATAGGTTATTGTATCTTTTGAGACCATAATATTTTTTAAAAATACAATTGTGGATACATAAAATATTTATAAAAAAATCTACTTACTGAGATATTAAACTTCACGGTGGATAGGTTTTTAAATAGTAAATTAATGAACTTAAACTTTTGAATTATAAAACAGCAACACTCTCATCTGCATATAAATTTTAACTAACCTTCAGGAATTAAAATTTAAAGCAAAAACAGATTCACGAAGGATATAGTGAATTTTTGTTACACCTACATAAATGCTTATAAAAATTATTTCTTTTAATTTTTAATAATATTCTATATTTGATTCGACTGCTTTGGATGTGCTTAATTTACTTAGTGTACTGATTTTTATGCTTGTACCACCTTAGATATTTGAAAACATATAGGTTAACCTAGAAAGAGTAACAGTCACGGAGGATAGGTTTTTAACTTTTAAAACATTGGAAAAAATAATTAATTGGGGTTAAAAATCTGGAACCTGAGCTGTAATATCTAGTTAATTATGAAAGATCAAAACACAATAAAAGTGTAGTTCAAACATTTCGTGATTCACCCGTATATTACCAATCAAAAAATTACTTATTTTTGTTGCACAGTGTTATTACAAATAACTTATTAGTCAACAATGGTATAAATTAGCATATGGTTAAACAACAGTTCCGCCAAGAGATTTATCAAAGATCATAATAAACTGTGAAAAACCTTTTCAGCATATTGCGGCAGATAAGGTATATGAATCTTGCTTCCGTTATTTTTATTGGCTAGGCCTACCGAGTTCTATAATTTTATCATTAAACTAGTGTCACAGCGAACTTATGTACATATGTAAGTATTTGTCTATTCATAATCATATTTTTAATTAAAATTTTTATGAGTTTTGGCATGTTTATTTATGATGTAATTGTATATAAGTCTAAATAATAAATTAAACTTAACATTTATGTACATATACTTATGACATACAAATTTAAATTTTTATTTATTTATTTAGAAACTATTTCTTTTAATTTTTTTTAACCTCAAATCGTACTTTTTTATGACAGTAAGTAATCTAAAAGCTTAAAAGCCACCAGCTTTTTAGTCATGATCTGAAGTTAGCTTTAAGTTAGTAAACAGATGTTAAAAATTATTAAATAGTTTATTGACGCCAATCTTTAAAGTTTAAAAGTACTGAAATTTTGAAAGCCGGTAAAATATATTCCTAGCACCAATTTTGGTTACTATGTTTGTATAGATGTCGCTCTATACAAATATTTAAATTAATTTTATTAAATTTTATTTAAACATTTGTTCGCAAGCTTCTCTTGTTTTAAATTAAACTTCTTAAAAACTAAATAATGCACTATTTTAAAGAACAAGCTTTATTGAAAAATTAAATATAAGGATGCTTTTTAATTTTTTTTAAATATAATAATTATTATAGAATCAAAAATATCTACTCTTTAAAAATGAATTAGTCAAAAATGATTAATTACTACAGTTATGCTGCTTTTTCACGTATACCATGTTATACCATGGAATAGCATGGTATCCCAAATATAATAGCCAGTTTTTCCATATAAAATGGAATTGACTATATCTCAAAATTGTTCTACTCCCACCTTTAAAACGCCCTTTATCGTACATGTTTTCATTACACTAAGTGACCTTTTAAATACACATTGACAAGTTGTGGCTTTATGGCGCTTTAGTCACGGGCTGAAGTTAGCAACAGGTTTTTAGTCACGGGCTGTTAGTTAGTTTTAAGTTACTTGACACTTCTCAAATTTCATACAATCGTTAAAATAAAGTGCCTTTCTTGTAAAATAATACTAAGAGTGAAAATTATTTTATTATCTCAATACAAAAATATGAAAGTATTAAATAGTTTCTCAACGCCAATATTTGAAAAGTTTATATGAACATTGTACTGACCTTTTAATTTCGCCGGTAGTAAACTATAACTTAAATTGGGGCTGTAAAGTGCTCATAAAACATTTTCTTTACATTCACTGTGAAAAACTGTCAATTTTCAAGAAATACGATTTATATCCTTTATAATCTGTGTTTATAAAATATAAAAAGTTGACATTTGACGGTGACACACAGATTCCCTTATTGTTTCATAGATGGCGCTTCATAGAAATTTTTGATTTAAATCATTTTAAGATAAGAATGTATTTGTCGTAGAAAAAGTATAGTATGCACCTCGTTTATAAACTTTTATATACACTCATTAATTTAAGCACTCGCTCGCAAGCTCGCTCGAGCATAAAATTAAATTCGTGTATAAAATGGCGTTTATCAAACTTGATACATAATATACCATCTTTAAAACGCCCATTATCATACATTTTTCCAAGACACTAAGTGATCTTTTAAATACACTTTGACAAGTTGTGGCTTTGTGGCGTTTTGGTCACGGGCTGAAGTTAGCAATAGGTTTTTAGTCACGTACTAAAGTTAATTTTAAGTTAGTTGACAGTTGTCAAATATTATATACAATCGTTAAATTCTTGTGAAATAATAATTTGGAAAATATGTTATTCTTTTAATACAAAATTATAAGTATTGAATAAATTATCAACGCCAATACCTATTTGAAAAGTTTATATGCAAGTTTGTACTGACCTTTTGATTTTGCCGGCAGTAAACTATATTTAACTAAAAGCATTAAAAATTTCGGGTAGGGACTCCACCCTAAAGTGCCCATAAAACATTCCCTTCACTTCAACTGCTTCTAAATCATCATTTAAAGGGATGAATTTCGATTAATTATTTTTTTTTGTCGCTCTATACAAATATTTAATTTAAATCATTTCATAAGAATTTGTCGTAGAGAAACTATAGTATGCAACTGGTTTATAAACTTTTCTAGACACTTATTTTATTTGTGACTAAAATGACGTTTATCAAACTATTATAATTTTATTTTATTTTGGGTAGTTTTTTAAAACCTTGTATAATAATCTTATTTACTAAAAGTTATATTGGGTAAGGTTATATATTTTGACGCTGTTTATAGATAGATAAATATACATGTATATATACTATAGACAATAGTGTGTTATTTAAACTCAGCCTTCCGGTCCTGATAAGGCACATCCAACATCCAGTATTGTGAACAAATGTAAAAATTATATTTTTTTAATTTAATTAAAAAATATATGCAGTGCATAATTATTAAATATTGATATGCAGGGTAAAAAAGTTCTTGAAAAATACAGTGATTTAAATACAGAATATTTGTCAATGAATCTTAAAAATATTTTAAAATATTTAAAACGGGAAAACCCAGTAATACTATTAAAAATAATAATGAATAGACTGCATATTGAAATGTCTTAAATTCCAAATAAAAAAATCTTTATACCTATTTTTTTAGGTAAAAAATTATGGACCAAATACTACTAAATCGAAGTTCGTCAATATTAAACGATACCGTAGACATAAACAATTCTGCAGTTAAAAAAACACTTTTGTTGTATGATTATTTCATTCCCATGATAGGAATTTTGATCGTTATAACCAATTTAGCTGTTGTTTTATCTAGTGGGCTCCTGTTGAAAAAAGGTAATTAAAATAAAATAAAAATATTTTTTGTAATTAAATTTTTTTTTAAAATGTGGTATTTTTCAGGCCAAGAACCAAGATCTACATACCTATACTTAGGCAATGTAGCCCTAACGGACTTTTTTACTGGAATTGCCGTTATATTTGGGCAAGTATTCCCAATACAATATAGGGATCACTATGTATGTTCACTACAAATTGGTAAGACCCTAGTAAAATCTAAAGTTTTAATTTTTTACCACAAAAATTACAGGTATGATTGTTTCCAGCACCTTAGCTTCAGTACTTTCAGTGGGACTGATTGCGATTGATAGATTTTTGTACATTATTCATGGGTTAAAATACCAGCAATGGGTTTATCCTCAAAGAGCCAGGTTAAGCATTGGATTTACATGGATAGTAGGTAAATAGTTATTTTATATAAAAGGAAGTAAATTTAATTTAAAATATTTTTAGGTGGTTTCATAGGTTTCCTACCTTTAATGGGTTGGTATGGGGACACTCAAAATGGTAAAATATGTTGGTTCATCCTACTAGCACCAAAGGAGTTAGTGCTGTTGACAGTCATCATAGGAATAATCCCGATTTTAGTAGTTATAGTACTATACCTTGTAATTCTATTTCATGCCTTAAAGAAAATATTTCAACTGCAAAATCTAAACAAGCAGTCTTCAAATCAGCAAGAAGAAAAAATCAATAATTTAAGAATGTTTAGAGGAAACGCAAAGAATAAAGGAACTCGCACTCCACCTCCCAAAAAGGGGTTCTCGAGGGTTTTTAAAAAGGCGCCATTAAAATCCGTAAACACACCAAGCAAATGGAAAGCGATCAAAGTAGTACTATTCACCACAGGAAGCTTCATAGGAACATGGTCTCCGTACTTCATAGTCAGTCTTTTGTATGTTTACAAATGCGATTTTAACACAGAAACAAAATACTGCAAAAATCTACGGCTTCTTATAGCGAGTCCTCTGGCAATTTTAGGGTTCATGAACAGCTTTTTTAATCCTATCATTTACGCTTGGTGGCATAAAGGATTTAGGGATTTTGTTAAGAGGAGGTTTAAGATATTCTCCAAAAAGGAGGATTCCATTACTAAATCAACAAGTCAAACCATTAGTTCCAAGAAAAATTCGATGTCTTCAGAAATTCACCTGAATGTTTTAAACTAATACACTTATTTTTAGTTTAAATGATTGTGGTTTTCACGCTCATATATTTTTGTACCAATTTTCAAGGCTTTTTGTATTAGGTTATGCTATTACTTTTGTAAAAATACATTGGAAAATAAACTATATTGGACCAAAATCTTGATTTTGTTTATATCCATTTTGTAAGTTTTAAGATATTTATGATTCAATTTAATCCCTTTGATATAAGGTATAGTTTTACTAATTTTGAGCCGCTGATTTAAAAAATGTCACTCGTTTTGTTCTTGGATGTCTAGGATTTAAAATAATTGCCCAATAAAATGCTCTGGATCTCGGAAAGATAACTCATCGCCGATGAGTCACGTAGGCACTGAATATATAAGGAACAGCGCAGTATGGAGCAGTCAGTCAAGTTTTGGTACTCGCGACGAAATAAATAAATATACGTGCAAATAAATAGACTCTTGAACAGTAGTGATATATAAATAATAAGTAGTTAAGTGTTTAGTTAGTTTTATAGTTTCTTAGTGTTTTAAGTGTAATTAAGTTATAAAATAAATAGTTTAGTTCGTTAATAAACCAGTGCCTGTTTTAATTCACACCACGAACAGTAAAAACGGTACAATATTATAATTATTTATTTAAATATTTTGCCTTAAATGTATCTTGAGGATACTGGAGTAATCGGTATACGTCAAATGGATAATTGTACCTAATTAAAAAAACAACTATTATTTGATATTTTATTGTCGTTTATTTTAATTATTGAATTGAAAAAGCAAACAAATTAAAGAAGTTTCGGTATAAAAATTAGGTCTCCTTGACAATTCTACTCCTGTCAATTTAATCCTATTAAAAACTGTCAAAAGTATGGTTTGCTGACGGATAAAAAAATTAACAGAAAATTTCACTTAAGTGACCAAGATTAGCGAATATTTTTCTATTTACCTTCTCCATAGTAACGGATGTATAATTCTATAGAGAATTGCCAAAGTGACACAATAATGACTTAACTTATTTACTCGTGGAATTTACTCAACAAATACCACTCGAGGTTCGATTGAGCAGGAAATTTTTTGGACTTTTAATTTTAACTTGGTGGTTTGTTAATTTGACTCTAAGAAATTTGGGCGAGAAAATAACTCGAGCTACGATACCTCCCAAGTTTTTCTGAAAAGTCAAAAAATATCCAGCTAAATCAAACCTCTGGAGGTATTACATTTGACTAATATTTAATATTTTTTATCTACATTAAGCCCACAAAATTCAATGCATTGCTTAATTTTGCTTTCCGACTTCATGAAAATTTATTTTTTTTACTGTTTTTTAATCTTAAATTTATTAAATAGTATCAAATATCAAATTGATATTAATTTGCTTAATCCTTATCATCGTCCAACGTCTTTTGCTGCAAATTGCAGCAAATGTCTCCCATCAATGAATCTAACTTCTTTTTGCTATACCAATGCTCTATACGCTAAAGAAGTATCGCTAGTAGCGCCACCACTCGGCTGTTATCATCGTAACAAAAGTACAACTTTTAATAATCAGCTGTTAAACGCTTATGTTACAAACGAGTATTTTTCAGAATAAAGCCGGAAAATGTTAAAATATATCGGAAAAAAACCGTGGCACGATTTGTTGTGTTGTTGGGTGTATTTCGAGAGGAAATCCTGGGTTAAGTTTTTACCGGTTTTCCAATAAACAGTGTTAATCTAAATGAAGAAATAAATTGCATACAGTCTCTGTAAATATAAATTGTACCTATTAGATACAATAAATACACATTTCAGTAGTGATTAACATGACAAGTATAAACATTTTAATTCAGTAAAAATCGTCAAACAAATAAGTCGTCTAAATTCAAACAGCATTTAGCATTATTAAAAGCTTTGTTTAAGAAAGTCTCCACGCAACGGTAAAATACCATTATATTATGTATTATAATAATAATAATAATAAGTTTATTAACGAAAAAGAATCAAAATACATATTTAATAAAGAAAAAGTACTTAATAATAATAAAATAAAATTAATAAATATCCCTAATTTCTTCCTTTTTTTTATTTATTTATATCGTTAGTTAATAAACTGCTTAATCCACTGAGGTACATGTACCTGTGCGTGGCTTATAGTTATTTTTATTTAATTAAAAAAAAACAAACAATTTTTCCATGCTATTTGAGTATATTAAATTTTTGTTGGGTTCAATGTTATTTTCTATTACATTTTTATGTTAAGTAAATTATATTGCTTATGTTATTACTTCGTACTGTTTAAATCCATTTATTTATTTCTTTTTGGTAGTACTTAAATCGTTAATTTCTTTTATATATTTTTTGTATCAATTTTTTTATGTTTAAAATCTATTACAAACTGGTCCATTTTATTATTTTGTTTTACAAACTTATTATCAGAAACAGAGAAGAGAAAATTTTAGGGATATTTATTTTACATTCGTTATAGTCAAAACTTTGAATAAAGGTATATTAAATTTAGTTTTGGATAATTAGAAAATGATAAAAACCTTTAAATATTAAACATATATAAATATATTTTTTTATTTTTTACTTCTTGTTGTTCTTGTCTTTGGTTCTGCTTTTTTCTCTTGGCTTGAATTTTCCACTTCAATATCCTGTTGGTCGTGCTTCTCAAAATTAATATCCCTATTTTTCTTAAGATTTTCGAGGGTATATGATACGTCTTCTACTATAAGTGTGTTCTTTACTATCTTGGTTTTTAACTTGTTTTTTTTTGCGGTGTTTAAATATTTCCTTAGTTCTTTTTGGATATCCTGATCTTCTTTTGATAGGTCGTCTGATATAAAAATGTTTATATTTTTCGTTTCTTTAAGTTCTTTAAGTTTATATGCATTTTTTAATATTTCCTTTTTCTTTAAAAACGAAATTAATTTGATTTTTAAAGGTTTACTTATTTCAGATTTTTCTTCGCCAATTTCATATATATTGTTTATATCACTTTGGTTTATATTAATACCAAGCGCTTTTTGTAAAAGAAGCAAATTTTTTTCCAGTGTGTTGTCTTTCGGGCAGCCAAAAACAATAATGTTGTTTTTTTTAAACTGGTGTTCAACTTTTTTGAATTTATCTTTTAAAACTTGATTTTCCTTTTCTAAAGTTGATACTTCGTTTTTTAATTGATTTAAACTGTTCTTAATTTCGTTCAACGAACTTTGATTTTCATCTGCTTTTGCTTCTATGTTAATTAATTTATTAAATACATCTTCAATCGTGATTTGCTTTTTCTTATCTGTCATATTTATTTTTGCGGTACACACTGTATATCACATTCAAACACTGCGATTTGTTTTCGAGTTTTTTGCTTCGTTTTTTATCAAGAGCACAATAGAATAAAGTAGATTTAATTAATAGTTTCACTACTAATAATGTCAACTTTAACATTGTTTTTATTGATTTGTTATTCACTAAACTTTGGTCTATTTATTCGTATAGTTTTCACCTTTATAGTCACTTGATTTCTACAACTTTGTCTTTTTTTAGCTGGAAGAATTATAGTATATAATATTATGTTTCCATGAATTCGTAGGTATATTTTGTTGTTTAAAATGCAGTTGTCGGCGTTTTTTAGAAAACTCAAATATAAAAATGGTTGATTTTAAGGTTATGTTTGTGCAAAAATTATTTTTTATTAATGTCTTAAAAATGTCCAAACTTAAATATAAATTATATTAGGTAAAGTTATCATTAGTTAATTCTGCACCAACAAATGTACTTACCGAATTGGAACCTTTGGCAAAACATGAAAGTGCGACGATTTAGTTCTCAAATTTTATTTAAAATTAAAAACACAATAATTCATCATGATCCCTTAGATAAAATACACACACAGTTACGTTACTATATAAGCATTTAAGCATTGAGTTTCTTAATCAATGATATAAGGAATAATCAATCAAATTCGAGTGCTAAAAAAGTTTTTTAATTTTTTCCTTGCAACGTAAAACACAAATAACGTGCGCGATTTAGCTGTGCAATTGCACAAAATTTGTCGAGTAAGACTTCTGCCTTTCTCTCTTTTATGAAAAAACTACCTATTTATTTCAAAATGATGTACAGTTCGTATGCTTTAAATGTATTGTTGGCAATTCTTAAATTCACGCAATGCATTCGAAGTCCACCAGATGGCGCGCGAGTTGCTAAAACCCGATACTTCTTTAGCTTATACTGTTAATGTGCTTAATCCTTATCGTCCTACGTCTTTTGATGCAAATTCCAGCAAATGTCTCCTAGCAATGAATCTTCTTTTTACTATTATTATTTCACCAAGTATCTGTAAATCTAGAGCATTGATATAATACCAATGCTATAGATTTACAGATACTTGGTGAAATCATTTTTCATGTTTATCAGATTCAATAGGTGACTGTCCGGAAAATTTATCGGGTTGAAAATGAAGAAAATGTATTATTAATGTATTTTTAATGACATTCTTTGAAAAGCGGAAAGCATTTATTTAATGAATTGAAGGCCTGATATGATAAGATTTAATAAATTTAAGATTGGAGATTTTGGGTACTTTAGGCATGATGTAAAAATATCAAATAATTGTCGAAGAGTAATGTTTATACCGAAACCCGTTAGTTTGGTGCCTTTTGCAATATAGTAGGTAATTAAAAAACGACACAAAAACTTCAAAAAATTATACTTTTTACAAAAAATTCATTAGAATTTTAGTTTTGGTATTTACATTGCCATTCCTTTGGCCTAAATATGTTCTTTGAGGTATTTAATACTATTATTGCCACAATATGTGATTTGGCATATACAATGTATTATACATACCGATGACTTTGTATAGAGTCCCTATACTTTTGATAACAAACGTCAAAAATATACACTTGGTACATCCAAAATAGATTTTAGGCAAAATAATTTAAGTAATCAAAATATTAACGAAAAAACTTACATTTTAAGATAATTGGACAGAGTATTTTATTACGCAATTCGAATTCTAGACGTCGTGGAGCAAAAAGGGTGCCACTTTTGAAATCAGCAGCCCAAAATTAGGTAATAGGTGGGCGTACTCAATGTTAGTGGTAATTCGATCATAGTGTAATTATAATAATATATTTACTACAAAATAAAACAAATACGTAAAAACACAATTTATTTATAACAATTTTGTAAATAAATTAAATATTAAAAATTAAAGCATTCGAAGTTTCATCAATAACTAAAAGACCATGATCCAGTTTGTCCAATGCAGTGACCATCTTCATCAAAAGTGGCCAAGGTTAACCTGTTTAACTTATTGGTCAACGATGGTAAATTCCCTGTACTTTCCGAACCAATTGATAGAGTATTCGTTTCTAAAAATAAACCAAATAAAACCACACAGAAAAATATACCACAAAAATCAACCAGTCTCGTTGTTGAGTTGATTTTCCAGCGTTTTATTATCAGGTTCATCTCCAGATTTGTCCGATTTCATTTGAGTTACGAATGTCGTTATTAACGTGTCCATCAAGGTGGCCTGTTTGGAGAAGACCTGCAGGATTTTCGACACCCTAGCGCCGTTTTCGATGACTAGAAATTGCAGGAATAAACAGGGCAAACAGTTCGGATCTTCCTGGGACGGTCTGGCGTATTCCCAGCTGAATTCTTCGAAACGCAGGCCCAATAAAAGAGTCTGGAAATAAAAAAAATAGTCCAAAATGTCATTGAATTATGTGCTACTTACACATTCTAGGTCGTCAATAATAAAAAGTCCTTTTGCATTAATTGCAACTAAAACGGGAATATCTTGGTGTGTTAAAAGACTAGGGAGACCACGAACTGGTTGTTCCACTTGGCCTTCAAAAAATGCTGACCTAAAAAGACAAATATTTTGTAATTTAATTGAGGTTTTATTATAGCGATGTGAGGTATCCAGATTTACTAAATAAACTGCGCACCACTGAGTGTCGCGACCAAAAATTTCGTCCTTTTTCAAAACGACATAACTTTTTTGTTTCTTGAACGATTTTATTTTGGTTTGTGATGTCTGCTAGCCCCATTCATGCGGTTTTTCAAGTAAATTTACTACAGGGTGATATGTAAAACACTGAAAAATTTGAATAACTTCATTCAAGCCCCGTTTGTAAAATAAATATTTTTTTCTCGTTTTTACTTATAAATAATGAAGTATTATGTCTTACCTTGAAACATTTTTTAAATTTTTCGAATTGGAATCTTAGCAACAAAAATATGATTTTTTTTTCAAAAAGATAAGATGGTGAAAGATTGTTCCTTGAATAATTCTGAACAAGCGACAAGCAACAAACTTCCATTATTTTCAGAGGAACCTAAGCAAAGACCACTTGTTCAAAATTACATTTTGGTGAAAATTTTCGAAAACTAAACCTGAACCGATATTTACGTTCGTGACATGTTTTCTTCATAATTTTGACCTGATTGTGATTCAGTTGTCAAATTTAGGTTTCAGATAAAACTAAAATCATCAAGAATCAAAATTTGAAAACAATTCCTGGCTGTTAAATGTCTCAATAAAATCTGATTGCTGGATTGTACTGTTTTTTTACTGTGTTTTGCATCTTTAGTACATTATTTTCATGTAACTGAATGATCAAATCAAGGATCAAATGATGAAAATTAAATGCCAATAATTTGGTGTTGGTGGACGACAATGCCCGTCCGCATCGCGCTAATATCGTAAATGAGTATTTAAGGGACCATGATATTGAGAAAATTAATTGGCCACCTTTGTCTCCGGATATGAATCCTATTGAGCATGTGTGGAGCAGGATGAAACTGAAGATGAAATAGAGGAAAGGCTCATGGAAGGATTGGATGAATTGGTAAATTTGATTCAGAAAGAATGGGAAGCCATACCCCAGGAATTTCTAAGGAACTTGGTCTAGGGAATGCCCAGGAGGGTTAACGAATTATTACGGGTTATTGGAGGGCCAACGAAAGTTATTATTGTTATTGTTTGTTACATTTTTCTGTTGAATGTTGTAGTTTTTATTATGATTATATCTTCGCATAAAATTTTCAAAAATGAACAAACAAATTTTGTTTTTAACTTTATTACCAATTAGGTAGGTTCTTATCAGTAATAAGTCATCACTAGTGCGCAATATAAATGTAATTTATGTAACATTATCATAACCACTTAAACAAATTGCAGTAATTTCTCCCAAAAAATGAATCCCAAATGGCATTGGCAAAGTCATGTTATTGAGACATTTAACAGCCGGGAATTGTTTTCGAATTTTGATTCTTGGTGATTTTGGTTTTATCTAAAACTTAAATTTGACAACTGAATCACATCAGGAGGTTAAAATTATAAAGCAAACATGTCACGAACGTAAATATCGGTTCAGGTTTAGTTTTCGCAAATTTTCTCCAAAATGTTATTTTGAAAAAGTGGTCTTTGCTTAGGTTCCTCTGAAATTAATGGAAGTTTGTTGCTTGTCGCTTGTTCAGAATTATTCAAGGAACAATCTTTTACCATCTTATCTTTTTTATCTTAAAAAGGCTGAGTGTATTGCCTATAAAAAAGCATTAAATGTACCCTTTTGAAAAAAAAATCATATTTTTGTTACTAAGATTCCAATTCAAAAAAATTGAAAAACGTTTCAAGGTAAGACATAATACTTCATTATTTCAAAGTAAAAACGAGAAAAAAAATATTTTTTTTACAAACGGGGCTTGGATGAAGTTATTGAAATTTTTCACCGTTTTACATATCACACTGTAGGAAATTTTCTTGAAGAACCGTGAGCTTCATATCTATAGCATGAATTTCCAAAGAATGGGACTAGCAGACATCACAAACCAAAATAAAATCGTTCAGGAAACAAAAAAGTTATGTCGTTTTGTAAAAGGACGAAATTTTTGGTCGCGACACATTGACTGGTGGGCAGTTTAGATTCCAAATCTGCTACCACTTTTATCAAAACACCTGCGATAAGGAAGCAACGGTAATTTTTGAACATGCTAGCAATCAAGATTAAGATTGTATTTGGACCTTTGAATTTGAGATGAAAATACCCATTTACTTACTTACCCATAAAACGGCAGGGACCAACAAAACTCCAAATACTTCTTCATCAACTTCCTATTGGTCGCCGACGTCGGAATCCTTTTGAACTGCTCCAGCAACCTGACCTCCGCCCGAATTTTTCGAACTTATGGGCAACCAGGTCCAAGTGGCACTTTTCCTGACGTGCTTCGGCAAATATTTCGCCTGCTCTTCTCTGAAATAATGCGTGGAGTGGGCTTGAGGATTATACGGACCCAACTCCACTCGCGCTTGGATTCCTCCAAGCATGATGTAGTGGGCTACCTCGCAAGGATACCGGCCTTCCAGGATGTTGTAACGGGCTTCTTCGTAGAGGAGTTCCAGGATTTTTTGGTCTCTAAAAGTTAACTAACGTGTTTTAGTAAGGCCAAGGGGATAATATCCCACAGGCCCTCTATGCCAATTATAGTTTCATATGAAGGGGTAAGAAGCAAAAGGGTACAAGTGCAAAATAGAGAATTGGACTTATTAACTTGTAAAGTTTTGCTATATACAAAAATCTGGATACTTCTTTCAATATCGTTGTTTGCTTTAATCAACATGCAAAACCCTTACAATTTTCAGGTTACGGGAAAATTTAAAAAAAATTGACTCCATTCTGCACTTAACTTATGTTCATGCTAAAATGCACTTGTCTCCTTTTGCTCTATATGTAAAACAGATATATAACGGAACTTACTTAATTTTTTCTTCCAGATTTAGCGGGTAAAATATGTTTTTTTGGAATTTTATCATAGGTTCATCCCTTAATTGTCTATTATACGATGCGTGACTATATTTTTCTATGAATGTTCTCCAATGTTGTTTTAAAACATAAGGTTTTTGGCTTGGTTTTAACTGCAACTCTAAAATAAGAATACATACATAATTTTCCCACTAAATGCCTTTTTTTAAATTAAGTTTTACTGTTTTATATAGTCAACCCGTAACATCGTGTGATCGCGACGTGACCTATACATTTTATTTTTAGTAGCTCCACTTCACTACCATCACACTCTTTAAAAAAATGTTAGGGTTTATGAAACTTATCACTAGGGTTAATTTTCTTAGAAAGATATAACTTTAGGTTTTAAGTGTTTTAAAAAGTATGTTTTATAGAAGCAGTTAAAACCAAATTTCTGGAGGAAACTGTCCTAAAAATATTTGCTTGTGCTTACAGCCTGTAAGTACTTTCTACAGCTAAAACTTTAATCTGATTTATTATGTTCATGTGTGCTGGCTTCTTAAGAGCAGTTTGTCTCGATGGCAATACATTAAAAGACATTTTAGGTTTAAAACTAAATTACGTGCCGCTATAATAGGTAACTAGTGTCTAAGGTGTTTCATTTAAAACGATTATTTTTTGTTTTGCCGGGTTTTAAGCTATCATATTGTTACTTACAGAGCATTTAACGCTTTTTAAAAGAGCCTTTTAGAATTTTTCTCTAACTTGATTCACTTTTTTCCCATATTTTTAAAAATATTTAGAGAATGGCTTGTCTTACCGAAAAATTTGGAAGTAAAAAGTTGTAGAAAATTTAATTCTCTACAAAAAAGTCTTTACCTTTATATTATAAGTACACAGATTGCAAGATATGAGCAGATTAATATTTAAAAATTTGAATTTGAAGTTCAGTTCCATCACTATTAAATTTCTTGAAAACTGTGCACTTCAGCGCAACATAGGAACTTTTTGTGTAGTACTTAGAATCAAAATGAAGGGCTCTGAAGCAAACTTGGAGGAGTTTTTTTTTTCGATGTTTTGAACAATATTTCGGTGAAAAACAAAAAATAGTCGTTTTAAATAAAACACCATACTAGAGTCGTAAAACTATAGTTTTCTGCGACGCCTTTTTTACTTTTCTATGTATGCGTATGCTAATTAGATTATCCTGTATAATTTGAAAATTAAAATGGTATAAAATCTGTATGATTTGGATATTTTAAATAAAATTTAAAATTTGTCGATAAACTACGGTAAATAATAAATTGCACAAATTAAATTTATATTATATTTATTGGGAGCGCCATGGCCGAACAAAAAGTTATATTTTTTTCGCAAACTTCAATTTAAATTCTGCTTGCGCAGAACTTGTTTATTTAATGTCATTATAAACTCATATAAATTTAGTGTGGGTCCCATATCTAATAATTGAGATCAGTGGCGGCCCGTGACATTTCATTTTGGTGAGCAGAGGCAGGGTTTCGCCCTCAATTAAAGGCGAAGAAATTTTTTTAAGCCCAACTTAAAAAAACTGACGTCGCAGTTCACAACCTGTACTTAAAACTAAGTAAAAAATATCGGTACAATTTCTCACCGTAATATCCATAATGGACTAAATTCACATAAATTACCAAGTTCAATTAACTAAACCCACAGAATAAACCACTTACAAGAGAATCATAAAATAGACAAACTCATAGAAAAAGAATAAACAAAATATTGCGTAAATAACCACAGATTTGTTTTTTAAACAGTTCAGAATTTTATAACCAAAACAAACCTAAATAAGGAATCTGTATTTATTTTATTGGTTACTGTGATGGCTACAAGATGGCGATAGTGTTAAAATATGTTTATTTTAGAATAGAAATATAATTTCGATTAAATCGATTTATTGTAAGAAAAATAATATCATTTATTATTGAATTTTGAAAAACGTGTGAAGTATAATTTATCTAAAATTCCGCAACAGTGTTGCCACAACACCTGCTTATTTCCTTGGATGTAGGCGTGCCTGCCTCGCGTATGCTAATACGAGAGAAGGAGAAAACTATGATATCGCATTGTAATAGAACGAGACAACAAGCCTAACGCCAATCGTGAGTCTAAATTAGTTCAGGCATGCTTCTGAGCCAATGTTCTAGCTATAAATATTAATTTAAATTGCGGTCGTTTCAAATTCAAATAATTTAAATGTTGCTGGGTATTCTACGTATAAAATCAATCAATTTTATTGACTATTTCACAATTCATGTAATCCAAAATTTAGTATATTATAGAAAGTAAAATATTTAAATTATACATAATTTTTTAATTCTCTATGATGAGGCACTGCCTCACCTGCCTACCCTGACGGGCCGCCACTGATTGAGATATCGGTATACCCAAAACCCACCAGCCGCCACTAAGGTTTCTCCTTTTTGGTTCTAAGAAAGTCTGCTGTCATCTGGAGTTATAAAGAATAATGACACGTTTAAAGTTGCAGGTTAAGTTTTAATACTAAATAGTTTAGTAATTAATCGAGTTGAAGAATACCGTTCAATTATTTTGTTTTGTGTGGTTTCTTTTGCTGGAGTACATTATTCACTTCAAGAAGCTGTTGTAACATCAAGACAACATCAGTTGGTGGAAAAATGTACGATAATGGGCGTTTTAAAGGTGGGAGTGGAAAAAAGTATTTTATTACTTTTTTTTCAATATAAAAAACAAACCTAATAGGGGACTCGTCATCCACAGTGTAAATAAATGCGAGGCCATCTGCTTGTTAATCCCTAAGTCTTCGCAATTAATTATGGCCTGGCAAATTATATCACAAGTAGCAGTAGGCGTTTCCTCAATCTCCATAATTATGGCCACGTGGTTGTGCAAGTAGACGCATGTGGGTATCACAGGTCCTAACAAGATGTCTTTGGTTGAGTTATTCGAAGTACTGGGCACCACGGCTTTCGATAACTGGGCAGTGCTTGTTTCTAAAAAAAAAAAATATTTTAGTAGAAAAAAACTCAAATTAGGTAATTGGGTGATTACTATTAAGGCTCTCTGCCATTTGTCAGTTGTCCCTTTTTTATTAAAAAAATATTAAATTGAGTCAGCTAATATAGAACTGTATTCATAAATACCGCCTAAATAAAAACAGCTTTGTTATAAAATACCTGGAGTTTAGCATTACATATAAAAGAATTTTGTAACCCTTGTAGTTTATAACTGTGGCACGAGATGGCGCCGCTGCAGGCAATGGTATCGCTATTGTTATTTTGCGCGTTACAAACAAGCAGCGTGTGTTTTTGAAGGTTATCTTTCGTCACGACATTTACTCTTTAAGAATTTGCAGTATTTAATTTTCTTTTTCATGTAAAGTAAACCAATTTCTTCCTTTTTTAATTAATGCAATGTTTTATGTGGCACATGTCACTTGGAAAATACATTTTTTTATTGTGAAAAATGTCTCCTTCGTCACATGTCGCTTTGACATTAAAACTTAAAAATAAGAGACTCTTTAAGCGAAACTTTACTGCTGAGAGTAATATTAGAATTACCTTTAGTTTGCCTAAATAATAGTCACAATGGACATGAAAATGTGAAATATTTATTTTTTACAGGTAGATGGGGCTAAAAAGTATAATGCCCTAATTAATATTTAGACATAATTTGTGTTTTTTGGCATTAAATAATATATATTACCTACCTATGCATGTTACGGATAAAGTAAGAATTACAGGTAAACTAAAGTTTAACCGGTTAAAGTTGGGGAGCTCAGGTAGAGATTTGCGGTTAAAGTCTGAAGAGTTTCCAACCCTTTTATTTTTAACTACCTAAAGCTAGGTCTAAGTAATGCAAATCGGTTGATAAGCGAATCTGCGTGGTTAATTGGATTTTTTATTTCAGAGAATTAAGTACAAGCCTAATAAATTAATTTTAAAAATTGAAAAAACAATATTACTCAAAATATTTTAAAGAAACTAAAAACCCGTTAAAGCCAAAAATCGTTGTACTAACTTGGCTATTCCTGGAAATTTAAAAAATATTAAGTTTTACATGTAAACGTATGAATTTATCATATGTTTCTTTGCTGAGTTACCATCACCATGTTTTGTTTTTACTAAGTTTGATTCCAATATGGCAGCAAAACAAGGGAAAAACAAATATGGTGGCTGTAACTAAAATCTAATAGCAAAAAACTCACAAATTGGATAAAAGTGTAGAAAAATGTGTAAAAATGTGAAACATTATTTTTTGTAAATTCATAGGAATAACGAAGTTCTAACGATTTTTTGTTTTGTCAGGTTTTTAGTTTTGTTTTAATAGACTTGTAATTGGGCAAATTTTCTCCAATTTATACAAATGTATATAGTTTATAGAAGAAATATTATTATGATCAAGAATATTAAATGTTTTATTTTTTAATTATCAATATTTAAATATCCACAAAAATGAGCAAATTTCATTGGTCCATCATTCATTGGAATTTGGTAATAATAAAAATGTATTTACTACTCGGTAATAGTATATTCTGTAACAAGTTTGGAATACGGCATATTCCGCTCGAGTGAAGAGTTTGTTACACGAGCCGAAGGCGAGTTTGACGGTTTCACGAGAGGGAAATATGCAATTCCAAACGTGTTTCAGACTATACTTTTTCTACGTTTCCAAAAAATACCATATACAAATAATTTAATTGGAAGAAAGTGAGGTTGGATCGGTCTAAAATTTGTTAGATATTTAAAACAGAGATGTCGCCACGAGTGTTTATTCTGTCATCAGATGATAGAATATTTCATTCTGTAACACTTTACGGAATATGTCATTCCATATATAAAAGTGATATTAGAACGGTCAATAACACTAGTAAACAATAAAAAAGGTCGGTAATAAAAATAGCTCAGTCCTATAGATTTTGACCTGCTCGACGCAAATCCGACGCCCAAAAAATTTTCCGAAGTCTCGTTTAGACGATACGGGCAGGACCATGATACAAAGAAAAATTGTTAAATAATAACGATAAAAATTAGTAAATAAAAAAGGTCGGTAATAAAAATAGCACAGTCCTATAGATTTTGACCTGCTCGAGGCAAATCTGGCGACCAAAAAATTTTCCAAAGTCGTTTAGACGATACGGGCAGCACCATGATACAATGAAAAATTATTAAATAATAACGATAAAAATTAGTAAATAAAAAAGGTCGGTAATAAAAATAACACACTCCTATAGATTTTGACCTGCTCGACGCAATTCCGGCGACCAAAAAATTTTCCAAAGTCTCGTTTAGACGATACGGGCTGCACCATGATACAAAGAAAAATTGTTAAATAATACCGATAAAAATATGTAAACAAAATAATTTGAACGATAAAAAACAGTTAACATAAAAAAAAACATGCCTTAAATTTTTACAATATGTACAGATATGAATGTTGTTCATGGAATGCTGAAATATAAGTTAAAAGTAACGTCATCCTAAAATTTTCATATGGTGTATCTATGCAATAAATGGTACCAAAATACTGTGCTTCTATTTTTTATTTACGACTTCAGAAAATTTTTTTAAAAACATTTTGGATCTCTTTCAGTCATAAACAATCGAAAAATTCTATTTTTAACCAGGACCTTTTTTTTAAGTTAAAATTTGTTGCCTAGTGTAATAGGAGTAGAAAAAATTATATAATTAATCAAATAATATATCACGAGAACTATGAATTTAAACTAGGCTCAAAAGTTTTTTGTTTGTTTTTTCTTGGAAAATGTTGAATTATTTTGCATGAAACTATTTTACAAAAAGAAAAATCAAATAAAAAACTTTCTAATTTATTTTTTCCACTTCTATTACGGAATATGACCGTTCTAATATCACTTTTTAATCTGGAACGACATATATTCTTTACAGAATGAATTATTCTATCATCGGATGACGGAATAAACACTGGAGGTATCTCCATCTTTTAGATCGATCCAACCTCACTTTTTCTCAATTAAATTATTTTTTCATGGTATTTTTTGGAAACGGAGAAAAAGTATAGTCTGAAACAAGTTTGAAATTGCATATTCTGCTCTTGTAAAAACCGTCAAACTCGCCTTCGGCTCGTATGACAAACTCTTCACTCGAGCGGAATATGCTGTATTCCAAACTTGTTACAGAATATACTATTCCGTGATTTAAAAACACTGTTTTTATTTGGAGATAATTTTTTTAACAAAAAATGGCGAATGCGCCGGGTTTAAAAATCGGTATTTTATGTATTATTATTATTTTTATTTACACGTTCGGGGACGGCTATAGCAGTCAAATAATTATCTCTTATCTGGGTAATGACGATTATAGCCGTCTTTCTTAATTGATAAAATATACGAGGGTCTAAGCAGTCATAAAATTCAGTTAAACATATGAAGGTACAAATAAACTTTCCATTCAGTTATACTAAAATTGACCTATTTTAGGCAAATGTGTAAACTACCTAAACCACCTTAAAACCAAAATTAAAAAGTGACATTTCCAGTGATACCTCCTATATAAAACTGTCTGCGAACGTGTTAATAACAACTATTACTAAATTTAAGAAGGATTGAAACGCCATTTTAGTCGAAAATCCTAATTAGGCACGAGCGAAGCTTGCGTAACAAATGTTTAATAATAATGACCGTTTAGAAAACTTTATAAACTAGTTGCATACCATACGACAAACAATATTATAAAAAAATGTTTTATAATCAATTAAAATATTTGTATAGAGCGACATCAATACCTACAAAAGTATTCTAGTTTGGTCTCAGCGAAATCAAAAGGTCAGTAAAAGCTTGCATATAAACTTTTTCAAAATTGGGGTCTAAAAATAATAATTTTGTATTTGTGTATTAAGATAATACAACACAATAATTTTCACATTTAGTAAAATGTTACTTAAAAGGTACTATTTTAACGATTGTATAAAATTGTGACTAAAACGCCATAAAGTCACTTCATGTCAATGTACTTATATTTAAAACATGGAAAAATGGGCGTTTTATAATTTATATTATGCTTACCGTCAGTTGGTTTGTCATTAATAGCCTCTGCAGAAGCATTGCTGGTTTCTTTATTATTTAACGTTCTTTCCCTTTCACGATCCCATTCGTTTTGAATTCCCTGGAACTGTTTATTGTCTGCACAATAGGCTCCATCTTTGCCGCATAAGCTGGAAAAACTGTTGGAAACCGCTGGAACCCTTTGCGAGACCGAGTAAAGAGCACCTTGACTAGACGAGACGTCTTCAGATTGTACGTATTCGTCATGCTTTCTGAAAAAAAATCAAATATAATAATTTTTAAAATATTTTATTTTTTTAATCGCATGATTATGTTTTACTAAAACCCGTTGGGACCAATAAAAAAATTCGACTACTGTCAGATCTAATCTAGCCTTACTCTACTTTAGGTAATCAATATAATTGTACGTTTTATAATAATAATAATAATAATAATAATAATAATAACAATAATAATAATAACTTTATTGACGGTATTAAACCACTTACAAAAAAATACATTCAAATGTCTACAATTAGGATGGATAACAATTAATTTTATAATTACATTGTTTCTTGAATACGTCCAATGAGCAATTAAAAAAGTCCAAATCAAGGTTGTTCAACAAACAAAATTATTCTTGAAGATAAAATATTGAGGCGAGTCTTTTTGTGCTTCGCTTAATTGTAGATTGCATTTTGAAAATTAAAAAATGAAATAAAATATTGCTTATTTTTTTCTACAGTTAAATAAACCTATATTTCTAATAATTTCTATATTATAATACATTTTTTATTTGTTACGTTTGTTTATTTTATTAATACGTTGAAAATAGAATTTATTTATTTAAGTATTTCTATTATTATTACATCTTTTTTAAGTATGTTTTGTATAACCTTGTCCTTTAAAATTCCAACTGAAAGTAAACAAGATTTGACTATGAGGCGCCGTTTGTCCGTTAATAATTTTTGCTATATATAAGAATATTTTTTACATATAAACTTTAAATTTCCTATATACAGGGTGTCCCAGAACTCGCGCCACAGAGAAAAAGGGGGCGTGCCGATAGCAATGGAGATGCCAAATTTAAAAATAAAAAAATTCTAGGTAATAGTGTAATCGAATGAGACCAAAAAAGCGGCAGCCAATACCGAGAGATCTCGCCTAGGTTAAACGTAGGAGCTTTAAAAATTGCTAGGAGACGATAGAACATTGTTGTATTAAAAACATTTAAAAATCTTTTGGCCAACTGTATTTACTAAGTTGTTAGAAGCATTCAAAAAATGAGGTTATTAATCTATGACTGATACTTCAGAACGCCAATGTTTTAAAGTAAAAAATCAAACCAGTTGTACTTTATTTAGCTTTTTTTGGGCCCACGCTCCCCATAAATAGTTATCATTTCGGTATAATCATCAAGGAAAACATTATGTATAATAACTTAAATTATTATCTAATATATAATATATTATATAATATTAATGACAAAAGTAAAGATTGACAGCATTGTCAATAATAACTTAATTTATAACCTAATATAATATTAATGACAGGAGTAAAGATTGACAGCAGTTTTACAATGAATTAAATTCCAGTGGACCAAATATTTTACATATTTTTTATTATCAACAATGCAACCTAAGTATCCTAGAAATTTAAAGAATTCCCTGTGGTGATCTATTGGGATTGGCTATCGTTTTTTATTCTTATCTCCCTTATCCTTTGCGTTGGACAATTTGAATTTTTAAATATGTGTTTCAAATTACTTTCGGTACGTTCCCTTTTTCTCTGTGGCGCGAGTTCTGGGACCCCCTGTATAATTTAATTTGTTGATAACCGCAAAGCGCCCTTATTCTCAAGCGGCATTATCTGAACTAAAAAGTTTCTATATATAAGCATAGGAAATTTAAAGTTTATATATAAAAATAATTTACGGACAAACGGCGCCTCATATTTGACTGCCAAACTTTTTTTTATAATTAAATTAAATTAAATTAAATAAAAAACGTTAAATTCTTATACAAAATTAAAAATGAAGACCAAACATTTCAATATGGTTAAATTATTCTTGGGGTTTTTATTTAATTGTAAATCGTTAGGCATTTAAAATGTCTGTGGATATCCATGTTTATATACTGACATATTTACGAGCCATAAGACATTATTAATGTTAAAACAATGTATTTACTTACTTTGCATTCAAAATTGCAAAAAATGGCGAATGCGCCGGGGTTACTGTTACAGCTAACACCTAATAAATATTTTAAAATATGATAAAAAATTTATCAAGTTTGATAAACTTATACGAGAGATTATTCACAAGGATGAGGTTTTCGTCTCGAGTCGCTAGACGCGAGACTTAAATCCTCCGAGTGAATAATGCGCATAATCTACTACTTAATCTACTCCAATAAGTAGGTAGATAATTAACTGAATTTCAAAAATAAATAAATAAAATCTGACACCTGTCAAATGTTTTACCTCACTTTTTACCAATTTTAAATGTTATTATAGTGGCCTTCTGCCAATTTAAAATCCGATTGGTTCAAATCAGTGTGAATATTAAAATCGGCCAATCACTGATGCCCAACAACGTGAATAATAAGTTCATTATTTCCTTTGTTAAGCAGGGAATTTATAATGATTATAATAAAATAATTTTTACGATTGTATGATCACTTAGTGTCATGGAAACAGGTGGGGAGTAAAAAAAAAGTATTTTTAAAATTATAATTTTATAGGGAATTACATATGTATATTAAAAGTTGCAAAAATTACCTTTTTTTAATTAAGTTACTAATAATTATAATTAACGATGAAAATATTTGAATATAAAATGTAACTATAGGGTAATAATTATTATAATTATAATAATTATAATTATTATGATATTTTTAAATAAATTTATATTGTAAAATTAAATACAAATAATATCACACAAATCAATAACATAAAATAGGTAGGTATATATAATTAAAAATGTCTATTTTAATTTTAACTGCATTCTAAAATTTAAGTAAGTAATACCTAATTTTATGGTATGACTCTTCACATTTCCAATAGTATTTAGTTAATTATTAAATCCTTGTAGGTTATGACAAAATCTATAATTTAACAATGGTGCTTTGTTCTGCATTTGACTGTAAAAGTTGAGTGACAAGAAAGAGACTGGAATAGCATTTTAATGAATAATTTGTCTTAAAAGATTAAAACAATAAAAATAAATATAAATAATAAAAACCTTATAGGTACCTATAGATATTTTAAAATCTGCTTGCCCGTCTGCCAAAGTCAGAAAATCACGTTTTATGGCATTAGTGCGCCATTTTCGAGACCCCCTGTATATATGTTTTAGCAATTTTTTAAATTTTGTAGGATTTACTTTTGTTTTTTAATGTAAGCTCCTTTGAACCGATAATTAATTATTTAATTAAAGATAAGTCATAATTTATACATACGTACATAAAAAATATCTTCTAAATGTTTTAAAAATATAGGTATATATTTTTATTTATATATGTCAATGTTATTAGGATTTTTTTTTATTTTAAATAAAAACCTAGTAGGTATTATTATCTATTAATTATTTTTCATTGTCCTTAATATTAGTTTAAAAGTAAATTCATTAGGTACCTAGGTAAAGTAAATTTAAAATAAGTGACATTTGAATATTTGTTCAATATTCAATTGTTTACTATATATAACTATATAGTTAATGGGTACCTAGCAATAGCTATTGCTTATTAGAATTATTGACAAAAATATTAATATGTATTTACGATTATTATTTACCTAGTTAATTTATAAAATTCAATAACAAAAAAATACATTCTTTATTTATAAAGGCTTAGGTTCCTACCTATATTGATCGACAATATACTCCTGATTCTGCGAATTGTATACCCTATTTCTCGGAAACTCCAAAGGAATCACAGTAACGTTGTAATTATTTGATTGGATAATAATTTGTTGCGTATCTTTTGTTTCCGGGACATTTTTCACGTCCATCACAGACACCGGAGATATTTCGCGCACAGATGCATCAAAAACGCGTAACTGGCATTTTATTGATTTTCATAGGAGTCACGGTTAGGCGAGAAGACCTCCAAACTGCATTACAATTACGTTTGTGGGTGTAAGTATTATGTAAATGTTGTATTTAATTGGGTGTGCAAATGCAAATCTGTAAAAATTAATAAATTTTTGTTTAAAATGTATTGTTAAAACCGCAATACCAACCAAAAATTTACAAACATACAATTTTCTATAAAAAATGTCTTAAACAAATTAGTTTTATTAACACAATAGGTATAAGTTAAATTTAAATTTAATATTATTAAAATGGTAATCAAAGTTGGCGCGTTATAATGTAGCGTCATCTATTAACAATGTAACAAAGGTCGGCGCATAAAAGGTTTAAAACATGGCTGGATTATCACGTGTTTGATGTTTAAAACACGTGTAACCCAACAAGTAGAGACTGCTCGGTCGGTAATTGATATTTCGTAAACTATACCCCGTTTAGTGCGACATGTCTTTATAATAAGCTTGATTTTCGTTAATTTAGCTCAAAAAATAGAGTTTATAGCTCAATTTTGTTGTGAAGTTTGTTTTATTTGATGTTATTTTAGTGTATGTTGTAAGGAAAGTTGTTATATTAAATTCATAACAAAGAAACGTCGGTTATGTTTTCATAAAAACTCGGTATAGTTGGCTGGGTATGACAGGAGGTCACGCATGTAGTGTTGTATGAAGTAAAATTAATGTTTGCATCGCCTACTTGTTTTGGTCATTTGATGTGAAAAGTTTAAGTTTTGGACGCTGGGTTTTTATTATTTGTACCTACCTGTTAAAAAGGACTTGTAATATGAGTGACGACGATAGGGATATAGACGTTGAAAGTGATGTAAGTTTACAAGCGGGGATATTTTTGCAACATGGATCAATATTATTCAACAAATGTGACTTATTTTTAGGAAGGTGATGATTCAGATTCGAGACATCCCACATCAAGGCAATCTGCTGGAAACCAATACTTTTCACAGGTAGTTTTTTTGTTTATGATTTTAAACTAGCAAGTGTTTTACCTGCCTACTATGTATTTATTTACAAATAATTATTATCAAGAAACATTAATCCAAGGTGTTGTTTTTAAATAACAATTGAATAACTGGGTACAAGGGATTAAAAACAAACTTTTGTGCTATCTATTTTAATTATTTATGAGCTACCATATTATGTTAATTAGGGTTACCTACTAAATAAACATTGTTGTGTTTATGAAAAGGTAATGGATATACTTGATAAAGAAATTAGTTAGGTTAATGTAATTTTAACAAATTTAATTTTTATATCAAAAAGTCCCATGTTGACATTTAAATATGAATAATTGAGGTTATCTATCGTCAGTTTAACTCTAATTTTGTCCTATTATCTAAAAAAAAATACTTATGGGCCATTCCACGCGTAACGGGACTTTGTAATAGTCCCGCCCGTTACGCTTTAAATTATTAATTTTTAAGGAATTAAACAGTCAATCACGATACCTAATTTTGCCAAATAAAAACCTTGTTAAACAGCTTTTGTTTAGAACTATTTATAAAAATTTGACATTGGTAATATAATAGAACAATATTATTTTGTAAATAAAAACACGGCAACTGTCCTATCCGTTAAGCGTGGAATGGCCCTTATAATATACTTAATGGATTATGTGTTCCTAATTAAAAAATTATTCATTGTATTTAGGTTATTTTTGTCATATTTTCTGAAAATAATACAATATAATATATTAAATATATTTTATGTTCAAAATTAGGACCCCTATACATAGGTAGGTATAGAGGACATTCCATAAAAATGTGGACATGATCCAAAAATCCCAATTTAATGTATATTGTATAGTATATAGCCCATAGGCTGTGCATCTTATTTCTAAGCAACAACTTTACAATATTTATTCGTTTTACAAATTAAATTTAAGAACTGTCAATTTAGCAAGTGTCATAACTTAGTCCTATATTTTTTGAACATTGCTATGTCAAAAGGTATCAAGCTTAATGTAACTCAAGTTACCAAACTTTTTGTTTATTTTTTAAAACCAAATATATGAAAAAACATTAATATTTGTATAAATTTCTTTATGTTTAACCTGTTTAACCTTGATCTATTTTTCTTTATTATGATATTAATTTAATTGTTTACAAATAGTACAATAAAATTGTTAATGTTGGTTAAACTTTTAGAATTAAGTTTTGTCGTTTTACTGCCAAATAATATATCTGATTGTAACGCGAGTTACCATGGAATGTCCCATAGTAGGTATTATTTTCAGAAAATAAGACGATATAGCGTTAAACTGACACTTATGTATATACGGTAAAGAAGTATCGCTAGTAGCGCCACCACTCGGTTGATATCATCGTAACAAAAGTACAACTTTTGATAATCAGCTGACAAACCAGTGTTTTTGAGAATAAAGCCGGAAAATGTTAAAAAATATCGGAAAAAACCGTGGCACGATTTGTTGTGTTGTTGGGTGTATTTCGAGAGGAAATCCTGGGTTGAGTTTTTACAGTCCCTGTAAATATAAATTGTATCTATTAGATAGGTACAATAAATACACATTTTAGTAATGATTAACGTGAAAAGTGTAAACATGTCAATTCAGTAATAATCGTCAACCAAATAAGTCGTCTAAATTTAAAAAGCCTTTAGCATTATTAAAAGCGTTGATTAAGAATTCTTTAAAGTATCCACTCAACGGTAAAATACCATTATATTATGTATTATATAATATTATGTTGCCATGAATTCGTATGTAAATTTTGTTGTTTAAAATGCAGTTGTCGGCGTTTTTTAGAGAACTCAAATATAAAAATGGTTGATTTTAAGGTTATGTTTGTGCAAAAATTATTTTTTACTAATTTTTTAAAAATGCCCAAACTTAAATATAAATTATATTGGGTAAAGTTATCATTAGTTAATTCTGCACCAACAAATGTACTTACTAAATTGGATCCTTTGGCAAAACATGAAAATGCAACGATTTAGTTCTTGAATTTTATTTACAATTAAAAACACAATAATTCACCATGATCCCTTAGATAAAATACACAAACTAACGTAACCGAGGGGGTAACAACTGACCCAAAATTTGTACATGTATTGCGCATTACGTGCCTTTTTTATAGTAATACCAGTAATACCCGTGTAATGTCAGTAATTCCAGTGTAATGCCAGTAATTCCAGTATAGTGCCAGTAATTCCAGTGTACTGCCAGTAATTCCAGTGTAATACCAGTAATTCCAGTGTAATGCTAGTAATTCCATATTTACTCATACATACATTTTTGTTGGAAGAAAATAATATAAAAATAAAAGAAATCTTGACCATTCTTAACAAAATTTAAAAAATGGATAGGTAGTTAATTGTTATATTAAGTCAGGAAAAATTCTAATGTAAAATTATTTACTTACATTGTGGTTTTAAATTAAATTAATACATTTTGATTTAATTTTTTAAAGAATTTGTCAAAATGACAAATGTCATGAAATCTTATAATCTATAATTATTTAAAGCAGACATGCCAATTTTCGATTTAAAATACAAAAATCTTAGGCCAGTATGGATATTTAGCTTTTAATACAGCCTTGTTTTCGTCAATCACGTTAACAGCGTCTGCATTAAGTCCTCGTTAAATAAAAATACACTTCATCCTGGGTAGAAACGCTTCTTACAAAATTTCAGGAAATTATTGAGAAAAAATGCTTCAAAAGACAAAGTTTGTGTTTATGGAGAACTGTTTGTTTTCTTAGCAAATGTTCTAAATGATGAGCAAAAACTAAATATCTTGGTAAAATTAAAAATACCTATAAATGATTTTATCTCACACTGAAAGAAATATATGTTTGTTATAGCAATGTATGTAGTAATCCATATATGAAACATAAAATATATTTACCTTAACCATTTTTATATTTAGTTTAACCATATTATGTGAAAACTAAATATAAAAATGGTTTAGGTAAATATATTTTATGTTTCATATATGGACTACCATATACATTGCTAAAATAAACATATATTTCTTTCAGTGCACTTACCTCGAGCTTAAATTTAAATACCTAACTGTCTAACTAACTTCTAAACAAACACTGCAATTCACAACCACAAAATTCAACCTTATGCCATAAAATACGAGCGTAATGCCGTAATTCGTACGTAATGCCGTGAAATTTGTAAGTAATGCAATGTAATTCCGCCTAATACCAGCGTAATACTGCGGAATGCCAACATAATGCCGGTAATGTCATGTAATGCCAGGAATGCCGCCGTAATGCGGGGTAATGCATCACAATTTGTACATGTATTGCCAGCAGTTGTTACCCCCTCGAACGTAACTATATAAGCATTTAAGTGTTGAGTTTCTTAATTAATGATATAAAGAATAATCAATTGAAATCGAGTACTAAACCAGTTTTTAAGTTTTTTCCTTGCAACGTAAAACACAAATAACGTGCGCGATTTAGCTGTGCAATTCAACAAAATTTGTCGAGTAAGACTTCTGCCTTCCTCTCTTTTGTGAAAAAACTACCTATTTATTTAAAAATTATGGATAATCTGTGCTTTAAATGTATTGTTGACAATTCCTAAATTCAAGCAATGCTATCGAAGTCCACCAGATGGCGCGCGCGTTGCGAAAACCCGATACTTCTTTAGCGTATAGTACCCATAGTTTTTGTATCATAGTACCTATGTTTTTAACATTTTTTAATATTGCCTTAATACTAAATAAAAATTTAAAAATAAATAAAAAGGTATTTGTTTAATAGAAAACTATTTAAGACTAATTGGCTCAAGTTTTTTACCTCCTAGTCTGTTAAAATCCGTTTAAACCAATAAAAAAAATCGACTACTGTGACAGTAGTACTTATTATAATTGAATGTTTTATAGATACAATTGTGCCTTGAAGATAAAACTTTCTAGTCATTGGGCTGAGAAGTTTTAACTTTTTTTGTTTATTTTGACGACTCCATTTCATAAAAAAATGTTTTTTATTGTCAAATAAACGTTATCCAATATAGCACTAAAAAATATTGTTCTATTGTGTTGAATTATACAATATATAAAACAATAATAATAGGGTTTGTAATATTTTATATTGAATAATTTTATAAACCTTATACTAAAATACGCGTTTAATGGTTTTATGCCTCATGGTATAATTACCATTGTGACAAGGTATGGTTGTTTCACACTAATTTTCAACATCATGTCTCAACTCCATTATAAACTGGCACAAAAAGACACTTCTCAGCCTTATGACATAAATAAGTTAGTGCGCCATATTCAACACTAAAATTCCCGCAGTCCACATCTTGAAGAAAAAGATGTTTTAAGAATATTAGAGTTGATTAAGATGTTGCGTTACTCAATGCTATTAATAGCATAGGTCGATAGACATAAATATCACCGTAATAAAACCATTTCTTTAATATTAATTCCTATTTAAAAAACTTTTTTAGGCGGAAAAGAGAGCACACCATAATGCACTAGAGCGAAAGCGGCGCGATCACATCAAAGACAGCTTTAGCAGCTTAAGGGATTCAGTGCCTTCCCTCAATGGTGAAAAGGTGGTAAGTCACTTTGAAAATCTTTTAGTACTTAAACGTTTCCTCAATAAACAGATCAACTGGCAACAAAACTTTTTAACTTTTTTTAGGCGAGTCGAGCGCAAATATTGAAAAAAGCCGCCGAATACATAGTGTTTATGAAAAAGAAAAACAACTCACACCAGCAGGACATTGACGATCTAAAGAGGCAGAACAATCTCTTGGAAGCTCAAAGTAATATTAAAGGGTTGTGTGTTGAAAAAAATGTTGTTTAATGTGTAGGTATTGTTTTAGTACGTACATTAGAAAAAGCCAAAATGTCTGGCACATATAATTTGGGTAGTGACAGCAAGGACAGTATCTTTAATGAAACTGAATCTGACACGTCGGATATGGAGGGTACAGTACAACAAAAAAGACCCAAGAAAATGAAAGTTGGAACTTATCATTAGAAAAAGGACTGGTAAGTAGGTTTTATTTTTTACTGATAACAGAGTGAATAAGAATGGACTTTGTCAAGATTGGCGTTACAAAATTTTTTCTTCTATTATTTTTTTTGGAAAGAAAGATTATAAAAAAATAATAAATAGGTTTTTTTTCAGATTTTTTGTGAAGAAAGTGTAAATGGACGTCTTAAATCTTGGTATTTATTACCAAAAATATTTTTGCCAGGTGCATAGTTAGATCACAAAATAATGTTTCTAGAAACAGTGTTTTACTTCTGCAGCCTTTGTTTTTTATTAAGTTTTCTATTTAATTATTTTTTTAGGATTCCTGAAAATGGTACAAATTTTTATGAAATTTTCATTAAAGTTATTTTTTCAAAACATTTACCATGTATGGAGTAAAACTACTGAATCTTTTGCATTAGTCTGTGATTAGTTGGATTATTTTTATGCAACCGTTCACATTTTTATTAACGTTTACAAATATTCAATCAAATTGACAAATTTAATGCGGTATTTCATTTTTTTAATACTACATAAAATGTGAACAGTTCTTCTAAATTTCCAGTGAACATTAGTAAAAATTAATGTCCATTTTTTTTAAAACAATATTGTTTTACTTTTTAATAAAATAATTGTTTTGTATAGATAAACTTATTTTAAGAATGTGTATTATAAATATTTAATTTTTTTTACTTAAATGTTTGTAGTTTTATTACAAGCATACCTATTATAACAAAAAACATAGTTGTAAGTTATTAATAAATAATTTACTCTAAAAACTCTTTTATTTCCCAAAAAGTCCTTAAAATTATACTTTTTTTAAGTAAATCCATAAGAAACCGTAAAAAAATTTGAGGTTTAGTTACCCTGGGAATTCCCTTTAGTTCTGTTCAACGTCACCGAGCGCTACGATCGCCATTCGACCGCCACCTACCATTCAAAGTTTGAATTTCAAACAGTTTTTCTCAACGGCGACCGCCACCTACCATTCAAAGTTTGAATCATAGATAACAAAGCCTTTTGGTTTTTGTCATAGATAACAAAGCCTGGTTTTTGATTAGAATTTGACACTTATGTTCTGTGTTGACACGGTTTTTCTCAACGGCGGTTTTTCTATGGCGGTTGAGTATATTTACTTAGTAAATTTTATTAATTAATTGATAACAAAGATAACAAAGCCTGGTTTTTGATTAGGATTTGACACGGTTTTTCTCAACGGCGGTTAAGTATATTTACTTAGTAAATTTTACTTATTAATTGATTGCAAGATGGGTCGTGCGAGGGGACTTCTCAACGGCGGTTAAGTATATTTACTTAGTAAATTTTACTTATTAATTGATTTCAAGATGGGTCGTGCGAGGGGACTTTTCACCGTCTGCTCAAGAACCATGAGGTATGTTTTTATGTTATAGTAGTTTATAAACAAATGTTTATTATATAATATATATTATTATTATATAATAAATATTTATTACAAAGTAGCTTAAGTAATTCTTATAAATTATTAAGTAAGTTGGGGGCTTAAGTATAAGTATTAGGGTGGGTTAAAAAATTATTTTTTTAGCATATTGTATATTGATTAATATTATGAATAAAAAAATAATAATAAGATTTCGTATTTTTATTACCTTAAACTAAAATATTATGTAATGTCATTGACATTTATTAAAATTTATTCAAAAAAGCGCTATGTTCCCGCTTCTCCGCTTTTAGTTCAGTTCAACGTCACCGTGGCGTCCAGAGTTGCCGATCTAAAAGGCTTTGTTATCTATGGTTTAGTTGGCAAATAAATACTAGGGACCCTAAATTTATAATCATACTCTATGTTTATAATTGGCTGAATTGAGTAAAACAAACTAATTCAGTGAAAAAATGTCAAATATAAGTTGATAAAAAATGAAATAACTTTACCTCTGATGAAATATAGGTGACTTTACGGCATTCCCAGAAATAAAGATGTATTTTTGAATATGTTTGAAAAGGAATGCAGGAATTTATATAAAATAATAAAAAAATATTTGTGTAAATTTTGTCTCTTACTAAAGTCACTAAACGTTAATACCAAAGATCCCATTATCTTTGCTTTTAGTTGGTTTATAAGAATTATATTACTCCAAAAATACCTTTTAGCCACTTCTTCCACTGGCATTGGAAATTATTTCTATAAAATTGTTTTTAAAATTTCATTTCGTTTAGAATTTTCTGTTATCTTTGGCATTGTTAATTCTGACAATTAAATGTCAAAGTATTTAAAATTAAGGCTTTGGACAGGAGTACCAATTTTAAATAATTAATATACCAAAGTATATTAACATACAGTACCAACATTGTCAAATTTCGAATTAAAAAAAACAAACTAATCGTCTTGGAACTTTTCGAGACCACCCTGTATATTATGAACGTTAAATTCTTTTTCTATGCGTTGAATTACGCTGTAGATGGCGCTGGGAGCGCATTTTCAAATTTTACTTTGAACGGTTTTATTAAACACCTCTTGTGTGTATTTAATTACCTATAAATCCCAAATCACTTTTTAAAACGAATTCTTCCCGAATCATTTCATATTAGTATACGTGCATTCCTTAAACATTTGAAGGTCAAATTAATGTAAACAGCTGGCCAATTGACAGATGAGTAATGAGTAAGGTTATATTTATATCGTCACGTCACTAAACTAATATTTTACGGGTTTATAAATGAAATAGTTGCCCTAGACGCGAAAAGTCGTGAAACTATGGCCGCTAATCTGGATAGTAATATCGAAAATAACAACGACAACATGGAAAAATGTTACGAAAATTATATTTTAATTGACGTTGGGGCTAACTTGACCAATAAAAAGTACAGCAGGGATCTAGATTCTGTTATACAACGTGCTAAAGATTCAGGTTTGTATTTGATTCAACTGTTTGGGTATGAGAATGACAGCATACTTGATTTAGGTGTTCAAAAAATTATGGTAACGGGGACCTCTGTTAAGGGTAGTAAAGAAGCTTTAAGATTGACAAGGATATATCCAGGAACTTTATATTCCACTGCAGGTAAATATTTAGTGCTTTATAAACATTCCAAGAAAGAACCAGTAGTCTAAAATGTTTAAAACTATTATTTTATAGGAATACATCCTCATGATGCAAAATCTTACACTGATGAATCATGGACTGAATTAAAAATGTTAGCTCAAAACCCTGAATGTGTAGCTGTGGGCGAATGTGGTTTAGATTATAATAGAAACTTTTCAGAACCTGAAGAACAGAGAAAAGTATTCAGAAAACATGTAAGTATTGTAGTAGAGTAAATTAAATAGTTTATTGTATTGTATGTTTTGTAGATCGAATTAGCAATAGAGTTAAAGAAACCGTTGTTTGTGCATGAACGTGATGCTCATGAAGATTTATTAGCCATTTTAAATGAGTTTAAAGGAAAATTGCCTTCAGTTTTAGTTCACTGTTTTACTGGAAGTTGTGAAAATGCCCTTTCCTACCTAAATAATGGGTTTTACATAGGACTTACAGGTTTGTTGTAAAGATATTAAGGAAAATCTTGTTCATGTTATTTTGTTGTTTAGGTTACCTGTGTAAAGATAAATCAGATACTGGGGTCAGGAAACTTTTGGTCGATGGTACCATTCCTTTGGATAAGTTGGTTGTCGAAACAGATGCCCCATTTATGTATCCCAATACAAGAGCCTCAAAATTGCCCACACATGTAAAAGATGGACTTACTGAAAGGTAAAAATATCAATACATGTAAAAAAATTGACTGTTTATTATAATTCTGGGTTTATTATTAATTATTTACTTTAATTAACTTTAGTTAGCATCAGGGGTCAATAAATTAAAATTCTTAAAATTAAGTAGAAAAATTATTTTTAAATTGAGAGGAAGCCTACCTGAACTAAATAGTAATTAAAATGCTTAATTATACAAATCAAAACTTTGTTTAATGTGCAAATTTACATAATTTAATTAGTTAATATTATTATTCTTATTTTAAAAGTTAAAATATAATGTCATCTCTATTTTATAATATAAAACCAATATTTGGGTTATTTTTTTAAATGTTTGTTAAAAAATTGGGTTGGGACATGATATTAAAAATCAGTGTGAAACCACTTTTAGTAGGTATAGTAATAATTAATTTTTCGTTAAAAATGACTTTGAAAATCTATGAATTCTCTTAATAGCGTGACGTATGTGCGGTAATTACCTTTACTTTAAAGTCGGTACAATACTTAAGAATGAAGTATTTTAAGTTACAAAGTAATTTGTAACTTAAAATATAATAATATTTTTATTGTTGAATATCCAACATTTGTTTCCAGGTTATGTTCATATTGTTCAGAGTATTTAAATCGTTTGAAAATCGCGTTAAACTTATTACTAGAGGTGCGAATTTTAAATTTAAAACATAATTTAAGAACTTTACACTAAAATACGGTGTAAGGTTTTTTACCAAGTAACAAAGTTTAAACTGTCAACGAAATTGGTTATGATCTTATTTTTTTCTACTCCTATTACGGAATTTGACCCTTCTAATATCACTTTTATCTATGGAATGACATATATTCCGTAAAGTGTTACAGAATGAAATATATCATCTGATGACAGAATAAACACTCGTGGCGACATCTCTGTTTTTAATATCTAACAAATTTTAGACCAATCCAACCTCATTTTCTTCCAATTAAATTGACGCGTTTCTCGGAAAAACATCATTAGTCCAAAATTAACATATTTGGGAAAATGAAAAAAACTCTCTGACATTCCCATTTTTGACCAAAGTACTTTATTGACCTATTTACTACATGTAAAAAATTGTAAGATAATTCGTCCAGAATTCCTCATGTTTGTTTTTTCAAACGAATATGAAAAAAACACAAAAAATACATGAACATGTGAGGTTTTTAGAAGAAAAAAAACAACAATTCTCCTTACTACAAACAAAATATTAACTCTGAGTAACAAAATAAAATGAAACGACTAAAAACTGTATTACTGCCACACTCAGTCTTCGCATCCACTGCTGTTATCATCGTTGTCGACCGTGTTATCAGGACTGTCAGGTGCTATGGTCTTCTGGTCTTTTATCAAGTTATCATAAAATTTTCTATTGCTGTGGCCATGTAAAAGAGGTAGAAGCTTTTCTAGAGTGTCCAAAAATGTCACATGTTATGAACATGTGACTTTCTTAGACGAAACAGAGTGGACTTGTGATGTTTTTAGAAGAACAAGCTAAATTTCATATTTAATTATTATGGAACCTATGACATTTTTACGAGAAACACTTATTTGTATACGTATATATGGAGGTTAGGAAACAGTTGGTGCAAATATCTAAATTTCGACGATATTGGACTAATGATGTTTTTCCGAGAAACGCGTCAATTATTTTCCTATGGTATTTTTTGGAAATGTCAAAATTCGGAAAAAATTATTAGGGTCGTTTTTTCGAAAAAAATAAGTACGCCCTTTTTTTCGTTATAAATATTTAAAAAAACGTTTTTAATGAAATTTGGTTTGTATCCATTTTAAAGCATTCAGTGGCGTACTTATTTTTTTCGAATAAATGACCCCAATAATTTTTTCCTAATTTTGACATAGAAAAAATGACATAGTAGGCATCTGTCAAGTGACATTAAAAATATTTTTTAGGAATTTGTGATTTTACAACAAAATCCAGTCGGTTCGGAAATTTTTATCAAAATACAGATTGACCGTACAAACGATGTTTGACGATAACAACGTGTTATTCGATTTGGTGTGTTGTGATAAAAATAATAAAACACAATTAAATTGTTTTCTAGAATGATCGAGTATAATATTTCGAAAATTAAAAATTTAAATATAAATACCGTTTTTATATTTAAATACCATTAAATTGAATTACATCATCTACATTTATATTTAATAATTTAATTGATAAAATTGTTTTTAATAATTTATACTTTATCTAGGCATAAATATCATGAATAAGGAATCATAATAATTATTTTACCTATGTTGTATTTATTTTATTAATACTCATAATTTTTGTATTAAAATTTTTGTAAACGTATTAACTATAGTTAATTTTCAGTTTTAAAAAGTTTTATTCATAGACATTAACACCTGAAGATTTAAAATAAATCTAATTTCCTGGATTATCTATTATTTACTCATTATAAAATAAAATATATTTAGCAGAAAAGTTTCTGAATACGAAAAAATTTTAGAAACTTATGTATCTTTGCACAGAAACTAAATTGACAAAGACAGCACATTTTTGGTATGTGAATGACTCCCAAATTGTCACTTTAAATTATATTTGTAACGCAAAGTTTTAGCTACATAGGTATATTTCATTAGGAAACTTTTTTTATTGAACAATGCTCCTTAGAATTTGCTGTCTTTGTTTAATAGTTTTGGTATTTTTAATGCTAAAAAAGTTTTAATTTAAGTATATATATAATTATATACCAATATTGGTATAATAATTATGGGATTACTTTTTTGTATATTTTTTAATGACCAAAAGTTAATTAAACAAAGGCAGTTTTATACAAAGATAACCAGGGTCAATATATTCGTCTTTATAAAAATAATAATTTTAAAATAAAATTTGAAATGAAATTTCCAAGAATTTAAAACCTGGGTGGACTGATTAAATTTTAACAATCCTTTAATAATTCAACAGAAAGTCTGAATCAATTTATTCCTAGAGAAAAGCGTAACAGATAAGATATAAAAATTAGTAGCAAATAAATTATTTTAGCATTTTCAAACAATACCTATAAATACAATATTGTTACATTATGTTTTGCTTCTCGACATATGGATATGTACATAATATGTATACTAGACTGGGCCAAAAAAATCGACTATTTTTTTTTTGTAAAGTATATCGAAAATATTTTGGGGTGAAAAAATTATGGTGAAAGTTTGAGTCCATAATATTAATATTAAGAGGTCTATCATCGCAATTTTAGTTTTTTTTCCTGAGCGAGTTTTTGTCTCAGAACTCCCAAACCATTGAGTTTAACAAAATTGACTTTAGAATATTTTTTGAAGAAAATTGAATGCTCTACAAAAAAATTTCCCGTCAGATGAACCGTTTTCTTACAATCATGCCTTAAAAATTGGTATAGTTTTTTTTGCCTTTTAACTTTGGAATTTTGTAATTCATGTAAAAATCAGTACCCGGAAAAAAAAACGATAAATATTCTTATGGGAAATAAAATGCTCTGCAAAAAAAGTCTTTTATTATTTTTGGCTAAATTCACTCCATCAAAAGTTATTCAAGGTTAAATTTGAAGTCAAAACGAAATTTTAACCTTGAATAACTTTTGATTGAGTGAATTTAGCCAAAAATGTTGAGAGGCTTTTTTTGTAAAGCATTTGATTTCACATAAGAATATTTATCGGTTTTTTATGGATACTGATTTTTACATAAATTACAAAATTCCAATTTAAAAGATCAAAATGTAAAACTATACCAATTTTTAAGGCATGATTTTAAGGAAACGGTACATCTGACGGAAAATTTCACTTTAACCTTTTTTGTAGAGCATTTAATTAAAAAAAAAATATTTTCGAGTCAATTGACTCGAAAATATTTTTTTTTTAATTAATTAATTTAAAATTAATTTTGTTAAACTCAATGGTTTGGGAGTTCTGAGACAAAAACTTGCTGAGGAAAAAAAATAAAATTGCGATGATAGACCTCTTAATATTAATATTATGGACTCAAACTTTCACAATAATTTTTGTCTCCCCAAACCATATTTTCGATATACTTTTCAAAAAAAAAATAGTTTATTGTTTTGGCCCAATCTAATGTATACATATGTATATTTATCGCTGTTTACACGCGTCGTACATTCGTTAGTAATTTAAATTAAACAAAATAACCAAATTTTTATTGTTCATATATTCCAAAAATAGCACAAAAATATTTATTTGTAGTCCAAGGACACGTTTATTGCGATTAATTTCTAATTATTACAATACATATTTGCGTTAGAATATTTTTAATAAACAATTATTCTATATAGAACCACTCAAAGAGATACCTTGATATACAATTAGTTGTAACAACCCATCTACCTATTAAATTATTTTATTTTGTTGTTTTTGAGTTTGCATAATATTTCACAATATTGCCAAATCGATTTTCTTTAATTTAAAATTATAACTATAATTATTGAATAATAATTGGGTTTTTAAACATAATTCCCCCATTAGTATTAGGCAAATTATAAATATGTTTTTATTTTGAAATTTTGCACACGTTTATATAAACATAAATATAATAAAATATGCATTTTTTAAGTCCATATTTAATGGGTAACGCAATATTTGTGTTTTTAAAAAGAATTGTGAAAAAAAATTATTGTTTGATATAAAAAACCATTTAAATTTACAAAATTGTACGATTGTTTTAAAACCATTAATATTTTGTTACAAAAATAAACTTTATTTTTCCAAAAAACAAGTTTTACGTATTTTACAAATACCTACTGACAAAGTCCAGACTACGCACATTATTTCCTGAAAATACGTATTTTCTGAAAGAGGGCCAATTTAATTCTAGTAATGGCTAAAATTAGAAAGCTTTATTGATAAACCTACGCTCAATATACATACGTGTTTATCATTGTTTTAAAATAAATAAAAATATTTTTAATAAAACATTTTTTTCAGGTCTATGACTTTTTTGCACAGATACTGCACTTTTCAAAGAAATGAGCCATGTTCCTTGCCCGCCATAGTAGAGATGGTTGCTGCTTTTATGAATAAAAAGCCTGAAGAAGTTGCCCTATCCACCTCATTCAATGCTATGAAATTATTTGGTCTTTCTTAATCGTTGAAACATTTACATATGTATTAAAATTTTTGGTGTTATTTTTCTTTATTAAATTGCCATTAGATTAGGTCTAAATGCTATATTTTTTATTGCAATTTTCCTATTTTTTTAGATAGTTTTATTTATTTTTACTATTATTTATTTCTAATATTTTTAAACATTGTATTGTATTGTTCAAACAAAATGAAACTAAGGTGCCTTAAACTACCCTGTATATCTCCAATTATATAAAAAATCGTTGTCTATATCTTTAAATAAAAATTAAATATTTTCAATTTTTGTCTTATTCTTTCCAGATCCCCCTGCTACTAATAAGTAATAATAATAAGTAAATAATTATAATTATTACAAAAACAGCTCAACTAGAACCGAAGAATTATACACAATAAGCATTGTTTTTCTAAGATAAAAGAACATTTAAAATTATCCAAATATTTGGCCATAGAAATAATACTCGAGTATTAATAATTATTTCTATGTATTTGGCAAACACTTTTTAATACACAAAAGATTTAACAGTGTTATAAATATTTCGTAGTTTTTGTCTGAGAATGCCTAAAAAAGTCTAAATCATAAATACTAAGTAGGTAAGTACCTAACAATAGTTATAAATTATTGTTATGTTACATTTTTCTAACATTGCTGACGTAATTTTCATTAAAATTATGGTGCACCACAAGTTGTGGTCCACAACCCATATGGATTATGATTAAAACTTAATCAAAATAGGTAGAATTATATATATATAATTATATCCTTATATAAGGATAAATTCAACGTCTAGGGGACCAAATTTTACTTTTACAAAATTTTTAAAACCTACTTATAACTTAGGTACCTATATAAAGTCTTTATAATAAAGACGTTTATTTAAAAACCTTTATCTACCTATATGCATATTCTAGAAAATGTAGGACACGATAACGATTTGTTAATCTAAAAAAGTAAAGTAAACAAAACCTTTGTCTTCCTATATTGATTGCCAAAGATTAATTATTAAGTAAAATACTAATATATTTATAATTTAACAATTAAGTAGGTAGAAACTACGAAAATATGTCCCAATTAAAATTGCAAATCTTTTAACTTCCGTTAAAATGAAGTTTTTATTGATTTTTCCAATTAAATTATTTGGTTCCTTTAAGGCCTTTTCAAAAATCAAATATTTCAGAAATATTTGTATGAACAAATTATTTGTTACAAATATCAACATGTTTATTTGCATTTTGTATTATTGTTATTGTTATTATTTTTATTTGTGAAAATCAGCTGATCAGCTGATCGATAAAATGGCCGTCCTGTTTGTTGGTGATAAAAGTGTTGCCAAAGCAATTTTATGAAAAATAAAAACACCAACTAAGAAAAACGCGATTTTCTCCATATTTACAACATACTTTTTATAATTTGTTAAATTAATATTATATATTTGATATTTGTAAGTATACTAAATAAACAGATTACTTAAATTATCTTTTTTAAAGATTATTTCCAGAATATGATAAACGAGTTATTTTTGGTCTGAGATTATAAAAGAGTGGGGGAACCAGAGTGTATATAAGCAAACGGTGCGGGCGGAGAAATCAAATTCTCTGTGACTTGAGTAAGAAAAGTTTGAATTGAGAAGTTATAATTTTCGAGTGATATATTTGTGATTTTGCAGCTTTTGTGAGTCTAGCAAGTAAGTTATACATTTATTTTAATATTTAAATTGGTCTGAAGTTAATTTTTGTAAGTTTTTTGTTGATTTGATGCTCGAAATGGTAGTTACCAAGTAACATTTTCTTTTTGTTAAAAATAACAAAATTTTTAATAGTAGACCGAATTCTGAAGTAAATAATCACATGTAAGTCAAAATTCTGTTAAATGTGGCGTATTTTTGCAATTTAATCGCGAACAATTTCCTTTGTTCCCGTAAATCCAATATGGCGGCGGTCTATCAAATTTAATGCGTCATGGTTAAATCCTTTGTTCTAGAAAAACAATCAATTCCTAGAATGCTTTTCTAAATTGCCGTTTCTATTGCAGGATGCAGATCTTTGTGAAAACACTGACAGGAAAAACCATCACCTTGGAGGTTGAACCTTCCGACACCATTGAAAACGTAAAAGCTAAGATCCAAGACAAAGAGGGAATTCCCCCAGATCAGCAACGTTTGATCTTCGCTGGTAAACAATTGGAAGACGGACGCACCTTGTCCGATTACAACATCCAGAAAGAATCCACTCTGCATTTGGTTCTCCGTCTCAGAGGAGGTATGCAGATCTTCGTCAAGACTTTGACTGGAAAAACCATCACCTTGGAAGTAGAACCCTCCGACACCATCGAAAACGTTAAAGCTAAGATCCAAGATAAGGAAGGTATCCCTCCAGATCAGCAACGTTTGATCTTTGCCGGAAAACAGTTGGAGGATGGCAGAACCCTCTCAGACTACAACATTCAGAAAGAATCCACTCTCCATTTGGTCCTCCGTTTGAGAGGTGGTATGCAAATTTTTGTCAAAACGTTGACTGGAAAAACCATCACTTTGGAGGTTGAACCTTCAGATACCATTGAAAATGTAAAAGCCAAAATTCAAGACAAAGAAGGTATCCCCCCTGATCAGCAACGTTTGATCTTTGCCGGTAAACAGTTGGAAGATGGCAGAACCCTCTCAGACTACAACATCCAAAAGGAATCGACCCTTCATTTGGTACTCCGTTTAAGAGGTGGTATGCAAATTTTTGTCAAAACGTTGACTGGAAAGACTATTACTTTGGAAGTTGAACCATCTGATACCATTGAAAACGTTAAAGCCAAAATTCAAGATAAGGAAGGTATCCCACCAGACCAGCAACGTTTAATCTTTGCCGGTAAACAATTGGAAGATGGTCGTACCTTGTCTGACTACAACATCCAGAAAGAATCCACCCTTCATTTGGTACTCCGTTTGAGAGGTGGTATGCAAATTTTCGTCAAAACTTTGACTGGAAAAACTATCACCTTGGAAGTTGAACCCTCCGATACCATTGAGAATGTTAAGGCTAAAATCCAAGATAAGGAAGGTATCCCACCAGACCAGCAACGTTTGATTTTCGCCGGAAAACAATTGGAAGATGGCAGAACCCTCTCAGACTACAACATCCAAAAAGAATCCACCCTCCATTTGGTACTCCGTTTGAGAGGAGGTATGCAAATTTTCGTCAAAACCTTGACGGGAAAGACCATTACCTTGGAAGTAGAACCATCTGATACCATTGAAAACGTTAAAGCCAAAATCCAAGATAAGGAAGGTATTCCACCAGACCAACAACGTTTGATTTTCGCTGGAAAACAATTGGAAGATGGCAGAACTCTCTCAGACTACAACATCCAAAAGGAATCTACCCTCCACTTGGTACTCCGTTTAAGAGGTGGTATGCAAATTTTCGTCAAAACTTTGACTGGAAAAACTATCACCCTGGAAGTTGAACCTTCTGATACCATTGAAAATGTAAAAGCCAAAATTCAAGACAAAGAAGGTATCCCCCCAGATCAGCAACGTTTAATCTTCGCCGGAAAGCAGTTGGAAGACGGAAGAACCCTCTCAGACTATAACATCCAAAAAGAATCCACCCTCCATTTGGTACTCCGTTTGAGAGGAGGTATGCAAATTTTCGTCAAAACCTTGACGGGAAAGACCATTACCTTGGAAGTAGAACCCTCTGATACCATTGAGAATGTTAAGGCTAAAATCCAAGATAAGGAAGGTATCCCACCAGACCAGCAACGTTTGATTTTCGCCGGAAAACAATTGGAAGATGGAAGAACTCTCTCAGACTACAACATCCAAAAGGAATCTACCCTCCATTTGGTACTCCGTCTCAGAGGTGGTATGCAAATTTTCGTTAAAACTTTGACTGGAAAAACCATCACCTTGGAAGTTGAACCTTCCGATACCATTGAAAATGTAAAAGCCAAAATTCAAGACAAAGAAGGTATCCCCCCAGATCAGCAACGTTTAATCTTCGCCGGAAAGCAATTGGAAGATGGAAGAACCCTCTCAGACTATAACATCCAAAAAGAATCCACCCTCCATTTGGTACTCCGTTTGAGAGGAGGTATGCAAATTTTCGTCAAAACCTTGACGGGAAAGACCATTACCTTGGAAGTAGAACCCTCTGATACCATTGAGAATGTTAAGGCTAAAATCCAAGATAAGGAAGGTATCCCACCAGACCAGCAACGTTTGATTTTTGCTGGAAAACAATTGGAAGATGGAAGAACTCTCTCAGACTACAACATCCAAAAGGAATCTACCCTCCATTTGGTACTCCGTCTCAGAGGTGGTATGCAAATTTTCGTCAAAACTTTGACTGGAAAAACTATCACCCTGGAAGTTGAACCTTCTGATACCATTGAAAATGTGAAAGCCAAAATCCAAGACAAAGAAGGTATCCCCCCAGATCAGCAACGTTTAATCTTCGCCGGAAAGCAATTGGAAGACGGAAGAACCCTCTCAGACTATAACATCCAAAAAGAATCCACCCTCCATTTAGTACTCCGTTTGAGAGGTGGTATGCAAATCTTTGTCAAAACCTTGACAGGAAAGACCATCACCTTGGAAGTAGAACCCTCTGACACCATCGAAAACGTTAAAGCTAAAATCCAAGATAAGGAAGGTATCCCACCAGACCAGCAACGTTTGATTTTCGCCGGCAAACAATTGGAAGATGGCAGAACCCTCTCAGACTACAACATCCAAAAAGAATCCACCCTCCATCTGGTACTCCGTTTGAGAGGTGGTATGCAAATTTTCGTCAAAACCTTGACGGGAAAGACTATTACCTTGGAAGTAGAACCCTCTGATACCATTGAAAACGTAAAGGCCAAAATTCAAGATAAAGAGGGTATCCCACCAGATCAACAACGTTTAATCTTTGCCGGAAAACAATTGGAAGATGGCCGCACTTTATCCGACTACAACATCCAGAAAGAATCAACACTCCATTTGGTACTTCGTCTTAGAGGAGGATTGTGAATCTGGACTTGCAATATTAACAGTACTAAAAAAAGCAGTGAAATAGTATTTTATTTTATGTTAAAGGCTGATGATTTTTTTACCTTTCCTCAAAAATTTTGAGTAAATATATGATATAGCAAACTACTTTCTTGGTTTTATTAATATAATAATTATTTAATTACTAAAATTCAAAAAAAATATGTGAGCACAAAGGTAAGCATGTGTATGTGAGGTAAGTAAATGTAATATAATTTTCGGTTGAACGTTTTGTTTTGAATTTAAAAATAATAAAAAATAAAAGGGTCGTAGAATAGTTACCTATTTGTTTTACAAGTGTTGAAAAGCGACTTTTTCATGCGAGTTTTTAAGTTGCCCACGAGGCCGTTAGGCCGAGTGTGCATTAACACGAGCTTGAAGAAAGCTTTTCTCACAAGTATAACACAATGTTTTTTCTGCGTCCCTTTTATTTTTTATTATTTTTAAATACAAAACAAAATAACCTTAAAACTTTTTTGACAGCTGAATGTCAAACTATGGTTTTCGGTTCTTTTCACACAGACCTGTCACTTTTCACACAGAAATGTCACTTTACATTCGTGTTTTGCCTTGCCAATGAAAAGATTCATTTTCTAAGCAACGATGCCATCATGAAAAGTGACTTTTACATAGTGGTCGTAGAAAAAAAAAATGTGTTATACTTGTGAGAAAAGCTTTCTTCAAGCTCGTGTTAATTAACACGAGCTTGAAGAAAGCTTTTCTCACAAGTATAACACAATGTTTTTTTTCTACGACCACTATGTAAAAGTCACTTTTCATGATGGCATCGTTGCTTAGAAAATGAATCTTTTCATTGGCATTAATGCACTCGGCCTCGTGGGCAACTTAAAAACTCGCATGAAAAAGTCGCTTTTTAACACTTGTAAAACAAATAACTATTTCGGTTGAACGTTTTCAGCCAAGGTGGGAAGTTCGAGGGGGGAGGGATTAATAAAAAACAATTTTTATCCACTTTCAATAAAAAATTTAACGCGAAAAAATTTCAAAATGTTACCAACTTTAGTTGAAATTTGTATTAAATAAATTAAAATTACATTTTGTATTAAAATATATATTAAAACTACATTTTGGTACAACCTAAATAAAATACTGCAAAAATTAAATATATTATGACTGACCAAATAGCTAACTAGTGGTCAATTGACCATCACCTACTCTAAATTTATGTTTAATTTGGATCAAATTACCCTGCAGAAAAATGGCTCTTGTATTTGATTGTTTATTTCTATTCTAATTGTTAAAGTAAGGGAAAAAGTAAAACAAAAATAAGCAAAAATTATTTTTTTATTGCAATATCTCTTTTAGTTTGTTCATTATATTGTTTAGCTCTTCTGTTTTTTTGAGATCCTGAAGTATCATCCCTATGCCAATTGGGATTTTGTAGTCCATTTATTTGAGTATCCAGTATTTCCCTGCAGGTTGTTCCTCTTGGCATATGAACATACCTCACATTTCGATTTTGAACAAAAAAGTTATCAAAGTAATGTTCTCTACCTAAAAATAAACTATTAAATATACATGCTATATTTCTCAGATTTTAGTCGAGAAAATTTAGTAGTTGGTAGAACAAAAATAAGAAGAAACGTTTATGCATAAACGTTTCTTCTTATTCACATGTGAACTTGCATGTTTTAAAGGTTTGTTTTATTTATTCTTTTAACACCTTTGCCAAATTAAATAAAAACTTGTCAAGTTTTTAATAATGGGTAAAGGGCTTAATTTAATGTAATTAAATTTTACTAGATATTAAAAGTAAAATTTGGTTATGCTACTACTTTTTTATAAGTTTAATATTATTTTTAGATTAAGCAATTAAACTACAATTTTTTGTCTTTACATTTTTTCCCTATAGGGCTATATATAGCTATAGCCAAAGATAATACATGTATTATCTTTGGCTATAGCTTGTTTAAATTTCAAGAAAAATTAAATTTTGTTTATCCACTTGCCATTATGGTCACAAGCAGTTAAACAAACTTAATATTTTTCTAAAAAATTAAGCTAGAAAGAAAAAAAATGCTGAAGACAAAACAGTTGTATTTTTAATCTTAATATCAAATTCAAAAAAGCAGTGGCATGACCAAAGTTTTTTTATTAACTTTAATACCCTGTATCTTGGAAAACAAAGCTTTAAAGCATAGGTACAAGTTCATTTCTTCTTAATTTTTTATAGACTTAAATTTTCCCAAATAAAATCCCTGTATAGAACTATTAAATACATTTTATAGAATTAAAGGGGAAAGGTACAAGTGCATTTTAGCATAACGTGAAAATGGTACAGGTTCTGCATGTTGATTAATGCAAACATTCCACTTCTCTTTTTTGGTTCTTACCCCTTCAATTGTTATTTTACCTACCTCTTGGGTCGTAATAAACAGCATTTTTTAATTCTAAATTCATATAACCATCCACAGAAATAACTCTTCCAGAAACACAGCTATCATTTCTTAAATCAATTGTTGTATAGGAATTTTCTACACCTTTTACCAAAGCTGTGAGACTGTTGTGATAATGAAATTTTTCAGTCCTTGTTGCTTGTCTTGAGTCCATTTTGATGTAATGAAACTATAGTAGGTAGTTTCTCACATGTATTTCTTAAAACAACCAACGTAGTTAATAAATTATATAAATATGAAAAAAATGTGTAAACTGTGTAATACACAGTGTGTATTTTAAACGAATGACATTTTTGACATTAAACAATCGCACTGTTGTCGAGTTTTCAGTTCAAATTAAAATATATTTTTAATTGTTATTTGATGATATTTGCTTTACATTAAGTTATGAAGTAATTCAAAACCCATTATAAACTGTTTTTAGTTTATTTAGAGCTATAAATTGAGGATTTACTTGGTTTAATATTTATTATCAATTTCCACGCGCAACAGTGTTTTTCTGTCAAAACAATTGTTTGATTGCCAGATTTGTCAAGTGATTTTTGTATACTTTCAAAATTTAGTGTTTTTGAGAAAAACGGTGTGCTTAAAAAGCTTTCAGAGGTTAATTTATTATTATATGTTAAATGAATAATCTAAATAACTTGCTTAATGTTAATGTGTAATAAATTCAGTTAAATTAACCTCACTTCTTTGATTTTGTATTTTATAATAATGTGGAAATATGTTATTGGGACTGTAGCAGTCGGTTCACTGACATACAGCATTGTGTAGGTAACGTAGATAGTATTGCTGTATAAATTTAATCAATTTGACTTGCAGAAAGTACTTTTCTGGCGGTGTGTGTTATTGCACGACTCGTTTAGATGGGCTTGTTATCGTAATAACTGGAGGAAATAGCGGAATTGGAAAAGCATTAGCATTAGAGTTGGCTAAAAGAGGTACTGTATAATTTAAATTTTATAAGCTTTGTTATCAAACATGTTGTACATATGTATTTTAGGAGCTTCTTTGGTATTGGCATGTAGATCAATTGAGAAGGGAATAGAAGCTAAAAAATACATTCAGTCTCAGTTGCCAAATCAGCCTTGTAAGATTATTGTAAAGCAATTGGATTTAGCTTCAATTGCTAGCATAATAAAGTTCTCTGATACTTTATGTTGCGAATTTAAAGAGATTTATGCATTGGTTAACAATGCTGGTATCTTTTACCACCCACAAGGTTTAACTGAGGATAATTTTGAAGTAACATTCCAAACTAATTATCTTGGTAAAATACTTCCTTATTATATTCTTGATGTATACAATTTAAAACAAATTTATTTTAGGACATTTTATTTTAACCCATCAACTGTTGAAGTTGCTTAAAAAGTCTGTGCATGCAAGAATTATAAATGTAGCATCCGAAGGGCATAGGAGTGTGAACGTTTATGATCTAAAAGCTGTAACCAACTGTCATACAGAGTTTAGATCGCATTTTACTTCTTATGGAGTCTCCAAATTGGCATTAATTTTGTTCACAAAAGAGTTGTCGAAAAAACTTATCAGTAAGTTTAAGTTTATGAATATTTTAAATTACTTTACAAATTTAATTATATTTTTTCTTTACTATAAAAAACATGTTTCCTTTAGGAAAATTGTCTTATCTGCTAATATGTGGAAACTATAGTTTCTACATATTAGCAGATAAGACAATTTTCCTATATAGCAGAGACACAGTATTTCAATTTTTTTTTTAACAAGTAGTTTTTTGATAAAGTTTTTAAATTTTAGTTAAGATTGAATTTAAAGTAAAGATAAAATCCTAATGAACAAATTCGTTTTTAAATTAAACTTTTTTTAACATTATAATAATATGATAATAAAAGTTAAAATTACCAAAAAAGACACAGGGGAAAGTTATTTTTAAAGCATTTAGATCACATAATACCAATATTGTTTTAAAGATTATTGAATTTTAACAGTTTATAAATCAAATTCCCAAAAATGACACAGGGTCTTAAACAGGGTAAAGTTATTTTAGAGCATTTAGATTACATAATACCAATATTTTTTTTAAGAATATTGATTTTTTACAGTTTATAAATTATATCAATTTATATATAAAATATTAATTTATTTATATAGGCAGAAAGACCTTGGTTGAGTAGCCTTTTGATTTTTCCATAAATATATTTACTAAGAACAAATTTGTTTAATACAAGAAATGATTAAATTTTTGAAATCCTAATTTGATGCTTACTAAACTGACTCAAAATATAATTACATTAATGTTATTATAATTATAATGATTAAAGCTATAATCAGAAAATATTTTAATAACATGTTTTTGTTTTTAAACTATTACATAAGATAATAATACAACTAGTTAATCACTTTTTGGTGATTATTTTATAATACAATACTTATGATTTATAAAAATATAAAATTAAATGGAATTTTAACATTAAATGAAGTTAGTTAAACTTTTGTTGACAAAAAACCAAATCAGATTTTTATTTGTTATAATTAGGGATTTTTAAAACTATTTCAATTTTAGAACAACGTATTGTACAGGCGTTTCAGGGACACCTTGTACCAGTGGCGGCTGGTGGATTTTGGGCACACACATATCTCAGTTATTAGACATGGGACCCACATCAAATTTATATGAGTTTATAATGACATTAGACAAGTTCTGCGCAAGCAGAATTTATATTTAAGTTTGGGAAAAAAGTTAGTTTTTAAGTGTGCCCCCCAGCCTCCTGCCCCTCAAATTAAGATTTTGGGCACACACATATCTCAGTTATTAGACATGGGACCCACATCAAATTTATATGAGTTTATAATGACATTAGACAAGTTCTGCGCAAGCAGAATTTATATTTAAGTTTGGGAAAAAAGTTAGTTTTTAAGTGTGCCCCCCAGCCTCCTGCCCCTCAAATTAAGATAATACAAATTAAAGTTGTACAATATTTAATTCACTGAGGTTTCTGGACATATTTCAAATTTTATTTTAAAAAATAAGTATTACAGGTTATATACCATTTTAAATTTTTATTATTTCTTTTACTAAATTAAAAAAAATAGAAATGGTATAAAATCTGTAATACTTGATTTTTTTAATAAAATTTAAAATTTGTAGATAAACTTCAGTGAATTAAATATTGTACCACTTTAATTTGAATTATCTTAATTTGGGGGGCAGGAGGCTGGGGGGGCACTTAAAAACTAACTTTTTTCGCAAACTTATATATAATATAATGTTATTATAAACTCATATAAATTTGATGTGGGTCCCAACTGAGATATGGGTGTGCCCAAAATCCACCAGCCGCCACTGCCTTGTTAGAAATTTCTAACATAAAATGGTATTTTTTGTAATTTTTATATTAAGCAACTAAAATTACAACTTTTTTATCTATTGAATTTTTTTCGTATTTTCCTTAGTTGTGAAAAAAAAATATTTTTTTTTCTCGCAAACAAAATTCAAGACACAAAAAAGTTGTATTTTTAGATGAAAAAAAATATAAAAAAAATACAGAAAGTTAGTGGCGTACATTGTTTCGTCAAAAATATTTGTTAAGGGCACCTCAGAACGCCACTGGACTTAATAAATTTAATCAAATTAGAGCTAATTTAGCTCCTTAACACTCAAAATAACAAGGTACAAAAAAATTGGGTAAAGGATATTTAAAATATTTATTTTTATATCGTGAAATGAATAATAAAGATTTTGTTTCTATTGTGTATTCCATCCGCGGACACACTGTTTCAAATTCCTGGTCCATTAGAAGTTTCTGGGGAACGGAAAAAGATATCGATTTAAAATTTATAATACAGTGTATTAAATACACTCACAGGCAAAATAATCGATCCACACAAATTTTCGATGAATTTTAATCGCAAATAACTTTTTATTTGATTTCGGATTTAAACGAATCGCTCACATTTTAAAAACTACTAAAAAATACACGTACGTTTATAATATACAGGTTTAAACAAAAAGATGTTTTTTACCATAAGTTTAAGACACTCTGTAGAGTGGCAAAACCGTATATTGTTCTAAATTAAGTTTTAATTATCAAGTCACATTTATTTTTAACAGTTTTGTTTTTGGTTCACCTTGATATATTTATTTTTGTGGAAAATATGAATTTTTTTTTTAAACATTGCAATTTCCAATATTTTTCCTGTATGAAGAACTAAGGTTGCTATGGTCCATCCATAGCCTATGGAGGATGACAGTGACAGTTTTGTTGAATCGCAGACAACGCATAGCGGAAAGGTGCGGGCAGAAACAATTTGTATGAGTTCACGGCCTCGTTGGAACAAGAGGGTATTCAGTAAAATTTTAATTTAATAAATCGAAGTATAAACAATTAAATAATAATATTAAGAATTTATTTAATTTCATGCTTCAATTTTGTAACATGTATTTTTTATATGTATATAATAATAATAATAATAATTTATATGTTTTTTGCTTACTCATGTCGAAGCCAATCGGGGCCCCCCAGCCGGGGCCCCGTATCATTGATACCGCTGATACCGCGGTAGCTACGCCCCTGATAAGCATAATAAACATTAGGGATGCACCGGAATTCCGGCGGTACCACTAAATCCGGCCGATCCGGCCAGTTGGCCGGAACTGCCGTTCCGGCCGGATCGCTTTCCAGATATATTTTGTAATTGGTCAACATTGAAGGGTGTGCATGTTTCCTTGCCTATGATAGACCGGCGGCTGTGGTTCCCCGACTTCTTTTTATTTTTATTATTATTGGCAGGTGGCTGCTATTCTCCAATTGAATGAGTTACTCATTCAATTGGAGAATAGCAGCCACCTGCCAATAATAAAAAAAATAAAAAGAAGTCGTCATTATGAGTAGAATTGTTTTAATTTTGTTAACGCTAATTAAAAATTAATATTTAAATAAACAGTAATTTTTATCTAGGTAAAATTAATAGTAATAAACACTCTGCATACTGTAGCTAGTTTAAAAAAAAAATCAGCCTCAATATTTTCAATGTTTTACTTATTAATGGTTTAACCGTAAATAAAGATATTATTATTATTATTTGCCGGAATTCCGGCGATCCGGTCCGGCCAGCGGGCGAAATTCCGGTTCCGGCCGGATCGGCAAAATACGCGATCCGGTGCATCATATTATGCTTATCAGGGGCGTAGTATATTATAAAATATTAATTTTATAACGTGTGGTTTTTACTCACAATTTTTAATTGTGATTGGCGAGACAAATACTCCCGAGTAACGTCGAATGCCCCTTTGCGAATATGGGGGGTGAAATTTTTGGAATCTTAAAACATTGTTTAAAGGATAATACAAAATAATATTTCAAATTTTAGAAATTGTTAAGTATCTCTTCACTTTAGGTATAGGACGTGATATAGTAATTTTACTCAACATTTTATTAAGAATTTAAAAATTTTTGTTAAAATATATGGGGTGTTCTTTTTGATATTACAAAGTTTATGCCACTTTCGGTTAAACCGGAAGTGGAATTTTGTTTGAAATATTTTAGAAAAAATAGACTTAAATGGATTATAAACGCTTTTAAAATTTCAAATTGATATCTTTTTTCGTTCCCCAGAAACTTCCACGAATGTGAATCACCCTGTATATAATAATAATATTTATTTCCAAAAACGATAATTTACAAAATTCTATAGTAAAACATTAAAAATACAATGTAAATATTAGACTGGGCCAAAAAAAATCAAGTATATCGAAAATATGGTTTGGGGTGACAAAAAAAATTATTGTGAAAGTTTGAGTCCATAATATTAATATTAAGAGGTCTATCATCGCAATTTTCTGTCAGTTGAACCATTTCCTTAAAATCATGCCTTAAAAATTGGTATAGTTTTACATTTTGATCTTTTAAATTGGAATTTTGTAATTCATGTAAAAATCAGTATCCATAAAAAACCGATAAATATTCTTATGGGAAATCAAATGCTTTACAAAAAAAGCCTCTTAACATTTTTGGCTAAATTCACTCAATCAAAAGTTATTCAAGGGTAAAATTTCGTTTTGACTTCAAATTTAACCTTGAATAACTTTTAATTGAGTGAATTTAGCCAAAAATGATAAAATACTTTTTTTGTAGAGAATATGATTTCCCATAAGAATATTTATCGGTTTTTTTTTTCGGTTACTGATTTTTACATGAATTACAAAATTACAAAGTTAAAAGATCAAATTGTAAAACTATATAAATTTGTAAGAAAACGGTTCATCTGACGGAAAATTCCAATCAAACCTTTTTTGTAGAGCATTCAATTTTCTTAAAAAAATATTCTTAGGTCAAATTTGTAAAACCCAATGGTTTGGTAGTTCTAAGACAAAAATTCGCTCAGGAAAAAAAATCTAAAATTGCGATGATAGACCTCTTAATATTAATATTATGGACTCAAACTTTCACTATAATTTTTTTTGTTACCCCAAACAATATTTTCGATATAATTTACAAAAAAAACTTTTTTGGGCCAGTCTAGTAAATATACATATTTAATATAATGTATGGGCCATTCCACGCGTAACGGATAGGACAGTTTACCAATGTCAAATTTTTATAAATAGTTCTAAACAAAAGCTGTTTAACAAGGTTTTTATTTGACAAAATTAGGTATTGTGGTTGACTGTTTTCCTTAAAAACTAATAATTTAAAGCGTAACGGACGGGACTTTGTAACAGTCCCGCCCGTTACGCTTTAAATTATTAATTTTTAAGGAATTAATATAAACAGTCAATCACGATACGTAATTTTCCCAAATAAAAACCTTGTTAAACAGCTTTTGTTTAGAACTATTTATAAAATTTTGACATTGGTAATATAATATTATATCTATATCTATATAGAACAATATTATTTTGTAAATAAAAACACGGCAACTGTCCTATCCGTTAAGCGTGGAATGGGCCATATATGTAATATACATATAAAATTGTTAACTATTACATATCGTCCGCGTACAGCTAAAATCCACTATAGAAGGGAAAGGTTATTTTGAGAAAAATGGATTCTAATTAAATTAAAATCTTGTGACTATGTGGATTTTTCTTGTACCCCCATGAAATTTTAGTTCAATAATTTCAATTAAAAAAAAACAATTGTCTAACACCTATTTTTTTAGACACAAACGTTATTGTTAACTCCGTGAACCCGGGCAACGTTGAAACCGACGTCTACCGTCACTTTCCACCACTAAGCAACAAGTGGTTGTTCGCCTTGCAGTGGCCCCTGCGCATACTGCTCGTAAAACGCCCACATCAAGGAGCCCAAACTTTGCTTCACAGCCTCCTAACGTCGAACAGATCCACCGGGCAGTACTACAGCGACTGCAAGTTGGCTCTGCCCAGTCCTATAGCGGCCAGCGACAAGGTGGCGAAAGAGTACTACAAGCTTACCGTCGGAATACTGGATAAGAAGCTGATCGAGTCTGAGTGTTAAATTTAGGGAAGATGTCGCGCAAAATTGAAGAGTTTGATTCGCCGCATGGTAGAATTGGAAAGGAAATAATCTCTCCTGGACTGTTCGGCAGCAAACCTATAGAAAATAGTATTTGCGATATAAACCACGTAGATTTAAATGAATCAATTAAAATAACCATAGGACAGCAGGATAGTGATTTCGGTCGGATTTTGGATGTTTGTATACCCACTATGAGTAAGGGAGAAACATCAAAATTCACAGTGAAAGAATGCAGTTTCACCTTGCTATTGCATAGTTTTACAGAAGGAAAATATATCTACCAATTAACGCCCGAGGATAAATACAATTTGGCTCTAAAACACAAAGATGTCGGTGTGGATTTATTCAAAAATAATCGCAACAAAGACGCCGCATCCCGTTTTAGTAAAGCTTTGAAATACTTGCATTCCATTCCCATAGATGTAGCGAAAAAACCTGTCGAACTGGACGGTATTCTAGTAAAAGATATTAATACATTAAAAGGCACTCTTTACAATAATCTAGCGTCATGCTATTTCAAAAATCAATCCTGGACTTTGGTTATCGAAATTTGTAATAGAGTTATTAATTATGATAAGGATAATGTTAAGGCACTATATAAATTAGGAGTTTCATATAAGCATGAGAAAAACTATGAGAAATCGTATGAGAGTTTTAAGAGGGTGTTGGAGTTAGAACCTAATAATAAAGCATGTGGTGAACATTTAAAGTTTGTTGTATCTCAACTTAAAGAATCTCAAAAAAATGTCAATGATTTGGTTAAGAGAATGTTTGTTGCCTAAGTATTATGTAGAAGATAGTTAAAACTTAATTTTCACAAAATTTATTTTTGTTATATTTGGATCTGTGCAGCACACCATTACCATGTAGTAACCATTAATGGTTTATAAATTTATACTTAGTTCAATTTAATATAAAATTATAGAAGCAAATGATTATTTTATTTTTCCTAAATTCATCGATTATTGATTAATTAATTAATTTTTATTTCAAACAAGGTTTTTTTTAATTTTTAACCTAAGCCCCGACCACTTTTTAAATGATAAACTAGAAAAATATCTTAAAAGGCAAGAAAGAATCTTACTTTTTATTTCAAAGAAGGTTTGGAATACTGGATAAAAAGCTGATCGAATCTGAGTGTTAAATTTAGGGAAAATGTCGCGCAAAATTGAAGAGTTTGATTCGCCGCATGGTAGGATTGGAAAGGAAATAATCTCTCCTGGACTGTTCGGCAGCAAACCTATAGAAAATAGTATTTGCGATATTAACCACGTAGATTTAAATGAATCAATTAAAATAACCATAGGACAGCAGGATAGTGATTTCGGTCGGATTTTGGATGTTTGTATACCCACTATGAGTAAGGGAGAAACATCAAAATTCACAGTGAAAGAATACAGTTTCACCTTGCTATTGCATAGTTTTACAGAAGGAAAATATATCTACCAATTAACGCCCGAGGATAAATACAATTTGGCTCTAAAACACAAAGATGTCGGTGTGGATTTATTCAAAAATAATCGCAACAAAGACGCCGCATCCCGTTTTAGTAAAGCTTTGAAATACTTGCATTCCATTCCCATAGATGTAGCGAAAAAACCTGTCGAACTGGACGGTATTCTAGTAAAAGATATTAATACATTAAAAGGCACTCTTTACAATAATCTAGCGTCGTGCTATTTCAAAAATCAATCCTGGACTTTGGTTATCGAAATTTGTAATAGAGTTATTAATTATGATAAGGATAATGTTAAGGCACTATATAAATTAGGAGTTTCATATAAGCATGAGAAAAACTATGAGAAATCGTATGAGAGTTTTAAGAGGGTGTTGGAGTTAGAACCTAATAATAAAGCATGTGGTGAACATTTAAAGTTTGTTGTATCTCAACTTAAAGAATCTCAAAAAAATGTCAATGATTTGGTTAAGAGAATGTTTGTTGCCTAAGTATTATGTAGGAGATAGTTAAAACTTAATTTGCACAAAATTTATTTTTGTTATATTTGGATCTGTGCAGCACATCATTACCATGTAGTAACCATTAATGGTTTATAAATTTATACTTAGTTCAATTTAATATAAAATTATAGAAGCAAATGATTATTTTATTTTTCCTAAATTCATCGATTATTGATTAATTAATTAATTTTTATTTCAAACAAGGTTTTTTTAATTTTTAACCTAAGCCCCGACCACTTTTTAAATAATAAACTAGAAAAATATCTTAAAAGGCAAGAAAGAATCTTACTTTTTATTTCAAAGAAGGTTTGGAATACTGGATAAAAAGCTGATCGAATCTGAGTGTTAAATTTAGGGAAAATGTCGCGCAAAATTGAAGAGTTTGATTCGCCGCATGGTAGAATTGGAAAGGAAATAATCTCTCCTGGACTGTTCGGCAGCAAACCTATAGAAAATAGTATTTGCGATATTAACCACGTAGATTTAAATGAATCAATTAAAATAACCATAGGACAGCAGGATAGTGATTTCGGTCGGATTTTGGATGTTTGTATACCCACTATGAGTAAGGGAGAAACATCAAAATTCACAGTGAAAGAATACAGTTTCACCTTGCTATTGCATAGTTTTACAGAAGGAAAATATATCTACCAATTAACGCCCGAGGATAAATACAATTTGGCTCTAAAACACAAAGATGTCGGTGTGGATTTATTCAAAAATAATCGCAACAAAGACGCCGCATCCCGTTTTAGTAAAGCTTTGAAATACTTGCATTCCATTCCCATAGATGTAGCGAAAAAACCTGTCGAACTGGACGGTATTCTAGTAAAAGATATTAATACATTAAAAGGCACTCTTTACAATAATCTAGCGTCATGCTATTTCAAAAATCAATCCTGGACTTTGGTTATCGACATTTGTAATAGAGTTATTAATTATGATAAGGATAATGTTAAGGCACTATATAAATTAGGAGTTTCATATAAGCATGATAAAAACTATGAGAAATCGTATGAGAGTTTTAAGAGGGTTTTGGAGTTAGAACCTAATAATAAAGCATGTGGTGAACATTTAAAGTTTGTTGAATCTCAACTTAAAGAATCTCAAAAAAATATCAATGATTTGGTTAAGAGAATGTTTGTTGCCTAAGTATTATGTAGAAGATAGTTAAAACTTAATTTGCACAAAATTTATTTTTGTTATATTTGGATCTGTGCAGCACACCATTACCATGTAGTAACTCTTTATACTTGGTTCAATTTAATATAAAATTATAGAAGCAAATGATTGTTTTATTTTCCCTAAATTCATCAATCAATAATGCAATTGATTAATCAATAATATACTTTTTGAAGATAATTTTTTTATTCAAATATAAAAAATGAAATACTATAAATACTTAAAATCTAACTTATACACTTATAGGAAATATAATGTTCTAATTAATTCTTGGTTTCTTTTCTGGAGGTGGTTTAATTTTTTCTTGTTTTATTTCGGTTTTAATGTCCTTATTTTCAGTTTGTCCATTTTCAACATCAGTTTTTACAGGTGGAGCTAAAAAATAAAAATATAAATACAGACAAAATTTGGTGATAAAAAAATGCTAGGTTGGTACCACAAAAATTTATACAGTATTACAAAAAAAGATTACCTATGTTTTAAGATTTTTTTATATTACCTCTAATCTTTGAGATATTAAATATTTTAATAATCATTAATTTTAAATATAAAAAAATATAATACAAAAAAATGTTTTTATTTGAAGAGCTACATGGTTGGACAAATTTCAAAAGAAAATCAGTGGTTCTCAAATAGTACAAAAAACTGAAAACCTGTCAAAATCTATAAATTGGATTAAAATGTAGATAAATTTGTGTGTTCACAACTCACTTTTTATCAAAATTTCCAGATATAACGATTTTTATTTTAGACAGGTTTAAAGTTTTATTAAGATATTTTGAAAACTGCTATTTATTTCCAATTTTCAAATTTCATTCCATTGGGTTCATAATTACTCAACTTTTTTCTAATATGGATATATCCATACAGAATATTTTACATTTCTCATAAATTTAATTTTTGATAAAAGTTTTTGCTTGATATCAAACCCCCAGAATATTCCACACATAATTTTTATTGCCTGTGGTTAATTTGCAATTTTGATTTTTCAGAAAATTTTGGACTAAAAATTATTTAATAAAAATCATTGTTGGTCAGTTTTCATTCATTTGTAATTTCTTAAAAGTAAACATTTCTATTGACATGTACAAAGAATTTTCGAAAGTTTTCTACATACTTACTGTGATAATAACATTAATTTGATGAAAAGAACCAAAAATGATTTTTATCAATATTTTACATTCCAAAATTTTCACACAAATCAAAATTGCAATTTACCATGGTCAATAAAAATTATGTTGCATATTATGGGGGGTTTAAAATCAACCAAAAACTTCAATAATGATATTTGTAAAATAAATTTTTCCCTGTTTGTGGACATACCTACCTACTGGATGTATTTTCAAAATTAAAACGCCCATAAAAATTAATTTCCAGTCGTTTTTTTTTAAATTACAATTTATTATATTTAATTTATTTTTTAATTAATCAATATTAAAAAATCACAAACCCATATGCATTTTTTGTTTTAGTTTATTAATTTTTCCAAGGTATTTTTTTGTGGTATTGCAATTTATAAAAAAAACTACCTTGAATTTTTGGTTGAGGTGGAGCTGGCAAAGGAAACTTCCTAATAAGTTCACCCAAAAGCATATCGACTCTTTGCCTCTGAAACAATGAACTTGGTTCTTCTCTAGGTTTTTCCTCCTTGGGCTTGGCTTTATCTGTACCTCTTTGGGACTTAAAGTCCCAAGAATAACCCTTACTAGGATGGTACCTTGCAAAACTTGAAGCAGTCTCAAAGGCTGACTGAAGATGGTGAACAGCAGATAACTAAAATAAAATTTGTAATCTAGAACCTCTGTAAGGTAGTGGCAAATGCTTAAAATACTATAAATACTGTGTTATTAGAAAACAAAGTGCTTACCAATCTTGAATTCAATACACTAGCCAAATCAGGGGCTTGATATACAGTTCCAGCAATTATATAATAATCAGCTAAAGAAGTGACCTGTTGAGGCGAATATCTTTGTTGTTTTCTTATAACATACAAAATAGGTTCTTGTACATGCAATAAAACATACTCCAATCCTGTCATATTTCTAAAAATGGTTACATTTTTTAAAGGATACAAAAAAAGTTTCATTGGATGAATAGATTTCATTTTTCTTTGCATTTAAACTAAAATGATTATTACTCAAATGTTAAATTTAAAGTTAAAGGGGGTTTTTGAACAATATGGCAATTTTTATTATTGAAAAAGATTATTTTTTCAACCCAGGGTAAAACAAACAATAATAATCTCAATATAGCTGCCTCATTTTAATAAACAAATTATTCTTGTTATAAAAATAATTCTTACTGTAGTTGGTCAGGATTAAGCCTTTGCATCTTAACAATCTCATTGTTACAAGTCCTATCAAAAAACGGATTACTCCTTTCAGAAAAGTAATCCATCACATTGGAAGTATTTAAGTTTGGAATCCAGGCTGAATCGTGCCATGACACACTCAAGGGGTTATCAGTTATTCCTGGCAAACCAATCCGCCCTGCTCCCATCATTTTGACGGCCTATTTATGCTGGAATATATAATATTTTAAAAATAGTGCACAATATGAGTACAAGCTATAAATTTAACATAAAGATAAAAATAACATGGAACACACTGTGTTATGGCTATTTTTAAAACAATCAAGGTAAGTGTGTCGTAGGAAGTAATATTAATTCAATTTATGGCATTTTTCTTGAAGCATAGTACTGTTTTATTAATACTTACATTAGTTTTTAACAAGAAATTAGGTAAATAAAGGTGACAGATTTACAAACAGTATTGTTTTAAGGTTATGGTACATTGACAGTAGTTCAAATGAACCATCAATATTTTATTTTTATTTATTTATTTTTGTTGCTAAATAGGTGAGGATTTTAAACAGATAAATATAATCTTAAATTAAAACTAAATTAATTTATTCTTTTTGCTTTTTAGATGACCCTAAAACTTCTACCTCTTCACAAAAATGCCGAATACATGTTAGAATGTTGTAAATTAATAAATGAAGAATGGAAAAGAAGCGAAACTGCCCGTTTGAGAAGCCTGGAAGGTTCTTGCGATAAATTGCCGACTTGTTTGATACTTTTAGAAGATAAAAAAGTTATTGGTCATGTCAAGTTGTCTGTTATCGGTAGTATTAAGGAGGCATGTTTTCTGGAAACGGTTGTTATAAGCAAGGATTTAAGAGGGAAGGGGTTTGGGAGTGTGCTAATGAAAAAAACCGAGGAATATTGTAGGGAGTTTTTAAAATTAAAGACGATTTTTTTGTCAACCAAAGGGCAAGAAGGTTTTTATCGTAAATTGGGTTATAGTGATTGTAAACCTGTTTCTATTTATGGTGGAGGGACTAATTTGGCTGAAAATATACCAAACATTGAGCCCAGTGAAAATATTATATTACATTCAGGACCTCCGCCTCCTCCCATACCTTCCCACCTGAAAATAATGAGCAATCCAAAGACTTTCATGAAAAAAGATTTATAGTTTTTATATTATATTTATTTAAAAATAAATAAAGCAACAAAGAATAACTGCCTTTTCCTTAAACCTATAGAATACCTATTACAAAACCATGTTTCCTATAATATTTTCTACATAAACAATATAAAAAAATACCAAAGTAATTGTAACTTATTTTCTAATAATTTTTGGCTTTTTTTGTTTAATGGTCCCTATGTTGGGCCTCAAGTAATAAAATTAATGTTTTGTGCAGATACCACAGACTTTTTTGTAGTGTTCTGGTTGAGTCACACAATCAATTAAAAATCTGCCTAAATCGTGCTTTGAAATGGCCCTTCCTGGTGAGGCATCATACTGTATTTGGTAGTCTGTACCCGGCAAATCTAAAAATAAAAAATATTGAAAAAAATACAACAAAATAAAACCCTAAAAACTTACTGGCAATATGTGGTGGCAGAATACAAATATATTTCAATCCCGATTCCTTAACAATATCAAACTGCCTTTGATGGTCTGCATTTAAATCCTTAAACATTGGGGGCACCTTTTCAGGCTCATAGAACAAAAATGCTGACAAGCAAACCGAAATAATCTCAACATTCAATTCCTTCATTGCCTTAACGATATTCTTAGTGCCTTCGCTGAGAACTGTAGTGGCTTTTAAATCATTGTTGGTGCCCAACACCACAACTACTGCAGTAACGTTCTTAATAGCGTTTAGGACGTCATTATAATTTAAAACATCGCCTTTTACAACTTCCACACTGTTTCTCAAGTGGTCGGGAAGCTTGGAAGGGTCTCTCACAAAGGCCCTTACATTTAAACCTAAATAAAAAACATACCATTATTCAATTATGATTCATTAGCATATCTAATCATTGTATGACTTGCGTTAATGCTATCTAAGGTATTTTCGTACAAAATATCGTAAATTATTGTTTAAATACTAAATAATTTGAATTACCTTTATTAACAGCGGCTTCTACAGCACATAAGCCGGTCATACCGGTAGAACCAAATATTACAACTCTCTCCATTGTAATATAATGTGGAATTACACCGTAAATAGATTAATCAAGAATAATAAATTTATTACTTTGACAAATCACTGCGGCTGATGCATTAGGCCACCTATCGGCCATTTGAACTACTGCTTTAACGTTTGAATTCGAATAAAAGAGGGAATTTGAATATCAACGGAAACTACATAGTTTTCGTTATTTTAAAGCTTTTTTGCGTTAATTAAAATAATATTAATTTTTATTTATTTATTTTTGCGTATAAATATGTTTATTTATAATTGTAGTAGGCCATGCTGGCGTTGCTATGTATAATTTTCGTAATTCATTTGTTTCAAAACGCGTCAATTTGATTGAAATTTAAAATTAAAAAAATCATTCCTTCTGAGTTTGATGGCAAAGCTGTTTTGATAGAAAATTAAATTTGAACTTCATCAAGTAGTTAATTAATAAAAATGAACAATCCGGATAACGTTTACTTTGTAGTGCATAAAATAGTGGGCGATTCAATAATCGAATCTGTAAGATATGAAGAGGACCCGTTTAATTTGGATGTTATATCAAAGACCCCTGCATACTTTGAGAACGTAAGTTTCGAGATTAGCGATTTCAGCAGTAATTCGAATATGTTGAGGATAAATCCGCCGCGAGTTTCAGAAAATGATGATTCGTTTAAGTGTATAAAAATCGAGAACTTGTACATGTACTGTGATTTAGATGGCAACGCGGAGGAACGAAAGCTTCACGATTACCCAGGAAAGATTAACATTCCTACTATGATACGATGCCAAAACTGCGAGACAAATTTTCCCACCAAATACCAATATCAAAGACATCAATGCGAATTTAACGCGGAAAAGGTGGTTTTAAAGCCAGATGTCGATATAAACGATATAGAAAAAGGCGTGCGGATTAAATACGATTGTGCCACATGTGGCAAACAGTTTGTGAGCAAAAATAATTTGGAGAGGCATCAAGCCAGTCATGAAAATATGAAAGATAATATTTGCGAGCATTGCAATAAGCAATTTGTTAGCGAAAATCGTTTGAGGATTCACAAGGAGAATCATTGCAAGAAAGCCGGAGATGTTTCCAAGTTTTATAGAAGCGATGTGGCGGTTTGGAAGTGCAAGAAATGCCACGAAGTCTTTAGTTCTGTTGGTATTGCAGACCACCATCTTGCATTCTGTAAGGAAATAACCGACACTGAAAGATCGGAAATAGCGAACAAAAATAACGAAGTTCACTACATCCAGCACGATGCCACAGGGGCCTTGCTTGATTTCAGCCAAACTTTGAACTCCAACATTGAAAAAATCCTCACTGAAATTCTCTTGCAATGCGAGTTTTGTAACAGAACTTATGCGGATAAAAATCTGCTAATGCTCCACCAACGGCAGCACACCACGGAAAAAAATTACGAATGCGTGAACTGCGAGGAAATTTTTGAATCTTACGTCAGCGCCTCTCAGCATTGGTTGAAAAAATGCACCGACTACGCAAACTTGTTCTATCTACCAAAACTGGCGTATTGCGAGTATTGCGACAGGACTTTTAAGTCCCACGAGATTTTGTACAGTCACAAAATAAAAAAGAAGCACTATTCGACCAAGTTGCACAAAATAAAGTGCGATGAAACTGAGAGTCACAACGAAATAGAGAATGAAGACGAAGATCAAATGATCACGGTAAATGCCGATAAACCTGAGGAGAAAAAGGTGTTAATCTCCAAACTGATCGAGGACGTTTTGAAAACTCTCGATTTGCCAATGAAAACGACCGATGAAAACAATAAGGATAACGAAACGATTATAAAAGTGGAACATTTGAGCGATGCTAGTGCGAATAGGACCGACGAAGAGCCGGAGAAGAAGAAGAGGGGAAGAAAGCGAAAATGGCCCAGACAGTTGAATGGGAAGAAGAAAGTCAATGGTTCGGTGGATGATAAATACAAGTATCAATGCGAACGATGCGTAAATATTTTTACTACAGTTTATGATTTGGAGACACATAGAGAGAAGGAGCATGCTGCTAATTTTAATTGCGAAGAGTGTGGTCAGGTAACAGTTTTATTTTAGCATAATTTTCAAAAATTACATTTACCTGTTACAGGTAAATGTAATTTTTGAAAATAAAAACTTCCATAAGATTTGTAATTTTACAAACCTATGTTGATGCAGACTGCATGGGGTTACCTACAGTAGGTAACCCCATGCAGTCTGCATCAACATAGGTTTGTAAAATTACAAATCTTATGGAAGTTTTTATTTTTAAAAAACACTATAGGTAATTTTTTTTAAATTCCGCACCGTTTTTATTATTTTAAGTAGAATTTCCCAAATAAAAAAAAATTGATGATTCACAACTTGTTCGCAATAATCCGATGAATTTTAGTGTGATACTTGTAAAATGTTTTCTTTTGAGACGAATTTAAAAAATAATATTGCAAAAAAACTTGTTCTTTTTGTTTTTTGGGGGTTTGGACCCCCCATTAAATATGAGAAACAGTTGTGTTTTGAGATATTTTTAGACATTCTAGCAAGTTTATTATCCACTCTCTAAAAATGACTTAGTCAAAAATGACTAATTTAATAGTTATTAGTGGCTGCTTTTCATGGAATACCGCGGTTTCCCAAAATTTAACAGCCAATTCTTATGTAAAATTGTCCCCTGAATCCGAAAATACCGTCAAAAGTTAAAAGTATAACAGTTTTTGAGATATAGGTAGTCAATTTTCCATTCAATGTGGAATTGACTATATCTTAAAAACTGTTCCACTTTCATTATTTTCGACTGCATTTTCGGATTAAGGGGACAATTTTACATAAGAATTGGCTGTTAAATTTTGGGATACCATGGTATTCTATGGTTAACCATGGTACAAGTGAAAAAGCAGCCACTAATAACTATTAAATTAGTCATTTTTGAGTATATAGTTTCATTTAACTTTTATATTTTACCATAAATAAAAAGGGAGAGTACATTTTATAAAATTTTCATTGCAATGGTAGGACTGGAAAGTAAAAATAATTGAAATTGTTTAAGGAATTTTTATTTTTAAAAATTAAATTTTTTGCCAATTTTATTTTTTTAATATTATATTTATCGTGAAGGGAAAACATTTTATAACTGTAAAAAAATGCATCTAATAAATATTTTCACAGTGGGACCAATTTGTTTGCGACTCACCCCTGTAAAATCTTTATTTATTGTGCGATTTTAACCGGATTTGTTTTAAACTGTATTGATATTGATAAATTATATTTTTGAAGCAAAAAACGCCATATTTTTACAAAATACAAGGCCTACTATGTCAGTTTTTAAGAGTAAATTTTTAAGAATTCATATTAGCGATTTTTTTTAAACAAAATCTAAGCACGGCACTGGATTCACCACCCTTCAAAACAACCCTATACTAAATTTTATTGAAAAATTTTAAGAAAAAAATGCACGTAATAACTAAACTTACTTTGTCAAGTTTTCCATGAAAAAACATTGAAAAAAAATTAAACTAAAAGTAACATGGTACTATTTCTATAAGTTCAATTTTATTTCAATGTTTTTTTCATGGATAACTTGACAAAATAAGTTTTTGTGGTTATTATTGTAAATTTTTTTCTTAAAATTTTTCAATTAAATTGGGGTCGAGCTACACATCGTTGGAAGGCGCATTCAATTCTGAATTCAACGGTGTGCTTTGTTTTAATTTCTGTTGATTGACAGCAGAGAAATTAAATGTTAAACATTTGAAGAAAGCAAAATAAAAAAGGTTTAACAAAAAATACATCGGCGAATAAGCTACTCAAAATGGCCTCCACCGACCTCCATACAGTAGTACAGCCTGTTTTCAAAACAATTTCCGACATTTTCAAACATATCCGGTGTCAGCATACCTGGCACACCCTGTATATTATTCTAACATTTAAAAACTATAAAAATAAAAATTTAACCCGGCGCATTCGCCATTTTTGATCATATTAAAAAAATTTCGACAACTCAAGCCATTTTTATAACTGAGTATTTATGATTTATTCAAGTAGTAGGTTAAGTTTATCTATTCTTATTCCAATTCTAATTCAAAATTCAATTTTCTATAAAAATATTGTAGGCATTAATCCAGAACTAATTACTCTATCAACAGTAAAATTTTAAACTATGCATTTTATTGGATTAATCCATATTTTTGTAGTAAATTTAATTTTTCATAAAAGTTTTGTTTAAGTAGGTACTTTTTAAGTGTAACTTTAACTGGGTAGCCGTAAAACAGCATCAATATATATTTAACAATAAAATTTATTAAATACTTTATAATATAAAATGTATAATTTAAAAGATATAAAGTTTATATCTTTTAAATTATCCATTTTATTGGATTATTCAAAGGACCCTTTTTAAGGAAATTAAATTTGACATAACTTTTTTTAAATTTTTTACCAGTTACTTTAACCATTTTGCCGTAAAATGCAAAAACATTCTTTTTTATTTAAAATATGAATAAGGTGACGTGTACAGGTCTAAATATACTAATTGTAGTAAAAATGTTGAAATAACTGATAAAAGAGCATTCTATGTAAATTTTATTAACGTAAAATGTAGCAAAGCCATAGGAAATTGAAAACAAAATCAATAATTTCCTGTCATTTCGAAAGGAAAACTAAAATCAAAATAAAAGTACTTAGGAGTAAGATTAAGAGCTTTTTTTTCGGTATGTACATCAATACTTTGCTTTGGGGATGTTCCTTTAAAACGAATCACCCTAATTTATATACAGGGTGTTAAAAACGAGCAATGCTCTAGTCTGGAGTCCAGACTCTGGACCTAAAAAAGATTAAAAATTTATCAAAACCGTTTCAAGGTATGTGGGGGTAATCAGTATGACCACAAAGTACTATTTAGTACTGTTAAATATCAAGTTTTAAGAGCTCTTCAATGGGGGTATTGCCATTTAAAAATATTAAGTTTGGGGTGGCTACAGCTCAAGCGGTTGCTTAGTGAAGGTTATTTTTGTGGTCATACTGATTCGACTCACATATCCTAAAAACGGGTTTTCTTTCTAAGGGAACTACCGCCCCTAAATGAGGAGCCCCTGAAGATGGTTTTTATTTAATATATCCAAAACCGTTCAAGGTAGAAAAGTAAAATTTTGGGAATTAATCAAACTTTTTATGGCCAGTAAGATGTAATAATAACAATTCAAAATTTCCTTGAGGGGTGGGTCAGATAGATAGGGAATAGGGGTTAAAACCACCCTAACTTTTTGTACGTGTCTAGTGCTAGGATTTGATGTCAGATTATGAAATTTCGGAATTTTACACACGAAAAAGGTCCTCCTGTTAAACTTTGATATTGTCCACTGCTTTCGCTTAAAATCCATTTAAAAATTACCTCACATAGCATAAAAGATCATAATGAATTCACAAGAGAGAAAAATTCAGAGTAGGCCATAGAACACAGCTGCCATCTTTAGGAAAAATTATTTAAGACAGGTGACAGTTTCATGTAATATGTGACAGGGTGTTTAAAAATTGTCCATGGCCATGTTTAAAAATTGTCCATGGCCTACGCTGAATCTTTTTCTCTAGTTGTGATTTCATTATGAATTTCTATGCTATGTAAGGTAATATTTAAATCGATTTTAAGCGAAAACGGTACATGCTATCGAAGTTCATCAAAAGGACCTTTTTTGGGTGTAAAACTATGAAATTTTATGATCTGATATCAAATCATAGCACAAATACGTACAAAAAAGTTAGGGTAGTTTTACCCCCACTCCCTTTCTATCTGACCCACCTCTTATGAAAATTTTGAATTTGTTATTATTCCAACTTATTGGCTATAAAAAGTTTGATTATATCCCAAAATTTCAATTTTCTATCTTAAACAGTTTTGGAGATATTAAATAAAAACCATCTTCAGGGGCTCCACTTTCGGGGGATGTAGCTCCCTTGGAAATCATTTCTCGACCTATTTTTATAGGAACTTCTTATTTTTGTACGTAGAATCTGCTGCTAAAGTATTGCACGCTAATTATGGGACACCCTGTATAGTATACTAAACTATATTGCAACAAAGCAGATTTAGCAATAAACAATGGTTACCATAGTAACAAATAAACTTGACAGTTGAACCTGAAAAATATAATAATGAAAAATAAAATTAAAATTTAAAAAATTATCTCAGTATACCTAAGTACTATTAAAAATATCGAACTTGCCCGAAAACGAAAACGTGGACCATAAACCTTGAATTACTGACACCAATGAATTTACTGGGCCATCTAATATCATAATATCATAATGAAAAAAACCTTTTTAAAAGAAAATTCTAGCTTTAACAAAACTTATTTTTATTATTTTTCAGTAGTATCAGATTTTTAAAATAATTTTTATATGTTTTTATTTTACAATAGTATGATATTCAAAGATTTTGGATTTTAAAGTTATGTAGGTATACAAAAATATTTTGAAATTATTTCTTTATAAAGAAATGTTTGTTTTGTATAGCTAACGATATTGTAAAACATGCAAAACTCTATTGCTTAATGTATTTATTTATGACTATTTCCCTCGTCTTAATTTCCACCAATCACAAACGCGCAATTTTGAATTACAAATGGTTTCTAGGTGAAAAAACTGTGTGACAGCACCTGTCAGCAGTTTTTTCGAGTTTACCCGCGGCAAAACTTGACAGCTGTTGTCACCAAAAATTGCAATTTATATTTTAATTGTTAACAGTTACTCATGAAATAGTCTTGTCAAATACCATTCGGGCATCTAATTTTTCCTGTGAAAAAAATCGAAAAAACAAAATGCTAAGTAGGTAATATTTTTTAACAAAATGCATTCGTGCAGGTGCGACCAGCACTCATGCTTTTTGTTAAAATATTACTTAGCAACGTGTTTTTTCGATTCTTTTCGGAAAAATTAAATGCCCTTATGATATTACTTACGAATATCCATTATAGGTACTTCACAGTGCAAAAGCCCTTCTGATACACAGCAGAGCCCACAAAAGTCTCAAACCTTACGTTTGTGATACGTGCGGCAGAAGTTACTCCCAAACGTCCCATTTATGGCAACACATGCGATTCCACCAAGGTACCCTCAAAAAATAAAAAAATAAATCCTCCCAAGACATCCCAACAATTTCCTTTCCCAGGCATCAAACCTTTCGCTTGTCCCCACGAAGGCTGCGAGGCCCGCTACACGATCAGACCGGATCTAAAGGACCACATAAGGAAAGTTCACACCAGAGAACGTCCTTTTAAGTGCACCGTCTGCAATAAGTGCTTTTTGACCGGATCGGTTTATTATCAGCACCGGTTGATTCATACGAACGACAGAAGATACGGATGCGATGTAAGTAATAAAATATTTTTTTATTTTTCCACCTTTAAATCCCCCATTATCGTACAGGTTCCATGACACTAAGTGACCTTTTAAATACACATTGACAAGTTGTGGCTTTATGTCGCTTTAGTCACGGGCTGAAGTAAGCAACAATTTTTTAGTCACGGGCTGAAGTTAGTTTTAAGTTAGTTGACAGTTGTTAAATGTCATACAATCGTTAAAATAAAGTGCCTTTCTTGTAAAAGAGTAACCATTCTAACCAAGTTAGTAACTTCAGAATCTGTATTATCGGCTCCCGGTCAAAATTTTTATGTGCACATCGAAATGAATCCCTTGAAAATAGACTTACCACCGGTTACATCAGATATAGAAGCAGTTTTTCACAGTGAAAGTGGGCACTCTACTCAAAATTTTTAATGCCTAGTCAATTAAATCTAGTTTACTGCCAGTGAAATCAAAAGGTCAGTACAACTTGCATTTAAACTCTTAATATTGGCGTAAAGAAACTATTTAATACTTTTGTATTTTTTTATTGAGCACGGTTCACCGAAAACCGTTTTTAACGAAAAAAATAGAACAACTTTGAAACATTTTTAAAAAAAATACTTACCAATTAAGTATTCAAAAAAAAGTAAAATGAAAATCTTCCATGTAGATCTTGGGAAATAGCGATCGTAATTTATGTGTAGTATTGTATATTGATAATATTTTAACTGCATCAAACTTAATATTTGTAGAATATTTTTAGTTTGAAAGACTCATACGATAGTAGGAAACTCAAACTTTATTTTTCTGAATGCATTATTCAAAATTATAAACGTAAAAATTGAACAAAAATGTAAAAAACAACAAAATAAATCTAAGCCTACAGATGTTGACTATTGTATGCACTAAGACATCGAAGCAAGTTCATTTTATATTTTTCTAAGTTATTTCTGGATAAATTAAAATTCCTGGAAAATATATTGAATGAATGATGAACTTGCTCTGAGAAGAAACCAAGGGCTCTTTGCGTTTCTTCAATAAATTGAGGAACATGATAAATGAGAGCATGGATCTTTGATGTACATGTAATTCCAGCTTTTGATGATTGTAGTTTAAATTCTTTTATGTAGTCTTTATATTCATCTGCTAAGTTTTGGCCAATGCAGCCAGAAACTACTTGATTTAACGCGTCAAATACGGGTTATATTCATTGTCTAAAATAGGAATTATAAATCAGTAGGTAGAAAACATTTAAACAAAGCAAAGCTTATGACAAAGTTTTTAATACAGCAATCGACTTTAGTAGTTTTCATGCATTATTGCCATTAAATTTGCCATAATGGTCAAAGCAGATTCCAGCACTTTTCACCCATGCCTCCCAAATTCTGGATATTTGCTGTTTAGGGAATCAAAAAGTTTTTGTACAATGCCCAGCATAAGGTGAAGTTCTGGTGGTGGAATAAAGAACAAAACTGGGACATTTTGAACATTTAAACTCGAACAAAAACGTCTACATGTAAAAAACATCGATAAAAACTCAAAGCAAATCGGGGCGAAATTTACAAGTTTTAAACGCATAATTAAAAATAATATTTTGTATTCAGCGGCAAGATAAAAACTGAAGCAACAAATTGTAAACCCAGGCATGTTCAATAGTCGGTATATATAGGAAAAAGAGGATTAGTTTTAATACGAATCTCACTTATAGTTGGCGGCTACTTTTAACAAAAAGAAATAGTGTTTTTATGCGAGGCCAAATATCAGTAGTCTAAACTATACAAACATATTTCAATAAAAAACTGATATATTATCGAAAAAATTATAAAAAACTAAGAAAGAAAAAGTTTCTTTTTCATGCATTTTTTATTACCTACTAAAGAAATAAATTATAATTCATATTTTAAATATAGCAACCCAAAAAACTGAAAGGATTAAAAAAAACAGTTTTTTGACAAAATTTTTGACAAATCTACATGGAAGATTTTCATTTTACTTTTTTTTGATTACTTAGTTGGTAAGTATTTAAAAAAAAATGTTTTAAAGTTGTTCTATTTTTTTCGTTAAAAACGGTGTTCGGTAAACCTTGTGAGATAATAAAATAATTTACACCTTTAGTATTATTTTACAAGAAAGGCACTTTATTTTAAAGATTGTATGACATTTGACAACTGTCAACCAACTTAAAACTAACTTCAACCCGTGACTAAAAACCTGTTGCTAACTTCAGCCCGGGACTAAAACGCCATAAAGCCACAACTTGTGAATGTGTATTTAAAAGGTTACTTAGTGTCATAAAAACATGTACGATTTACTATTATTTCTTATAGACAAATGTCATTTTAGTAGTTCAGATTTATCTCGGTAATCCCGGTGCATTCACCATTTTTCTAATTTGGCAAATTAACCTTTTTTAAAACAGCGTTTTTAAAAAACCTCCTAACATACTAAATATTTATGTACATTATTATTTTTAATTTTAGGTGTTTGTTTAATAAGGAGATAAAATTAAAAATTTTTGGTGTTATTTGCAAATTGTAAATTAGTTTTAATACTTTTATTATTTTAATAAAAAACGAATACCTACTACAAATATTTTCATTATACACGATATTTAGTAATTTTAAATCAAATCCTGCATCATAAACTATTAATTTTAAAGCAAAATAAACTAAACTTTTGGTTTTTATCGTACTCGCTTATTTTGCAAAAAACGCCAAATAGTGTTTTTGCTTGTTGCAGGTTTGTCAGAAGCGCTTTTTCCGGGCGGACGCATTAAATAATCATAAAAGGATACACACAGATGAAAGGCCTTATCCTTGCGGCGTATGCGGTCGTGAGTTTAGACAAAAGGGCGACAGAAACAAGCACTTTCGTACTCAACATCCAGACGTCATTCAAACTATCGCACTATAAAGGGTCTTTTCTGTGGTTTTGCTTTAGCGCTTGAAAGGAGGTTAACATTCTAATTGAAATGTTTAAAATGCAGGAAAAGTACACAAAAATATAAAGTAGGGATTTCGTGGGGATTCATTAAAAATAGGTTTAATTTTAGTTAGGAGTTTTATGTTATGTTTTAATGTTTTAGAATTAAAGTAAAATGATTAAATTTAAAAGTAGAATTTGTCAAAGTTTGGTATTTTGTTAAATGTTAAATATTGTAATAAAATGTTTAATTATAATTTTATATAATAAATAAATAAAATTCCAAATGTATATATTTTTTAATTTCATTCTTATTTTTAGCACAAATTTTAGGATTTTTATAAATAAATGTGATTATTTCCCTCATTATAATATGAACCAATCAAAAGCCTTGAATTTTCGAATAAATATCGTTTAAATAAGCGATTAAATCACTAGAACTATTTAACAGCGATTAAATTTTAGCCTCCATATTGGATTTTTGTTTACGATTTTATGGTGTTATTTACAAGTTTTAACAAACATTTTTTAAAAAACAATAAAAAATAAGTTATCTAGTTTACGAAATATCAAATATTACTTATAACATACCTTAAATTAATGAAATTTTCTTTAAAAAAATATTTATAAATTTTGACACATATGTCAGATTTTATGAATTGTCAAATAGTTTCCTTTAATTCGAAAAATAATCTAGACGTATATCACTCAACCTATAAATTTAATCTGTCAAACTATGCTCAGTAAGTTTTTTATTTGGTTTTTCTTTTTGGAAAATAGTTTCATGCAAAATAATTAAAAATAAAACCCCTCGACCGCTACGAGGTCTCGTGATTTTATTAAATTATTTTGCATTCAAGATTTTCCAACAAAAACCAAACAAAAAACTACTGAGCCTAGTTTAACCGATTAAATTCATAGTTCTCGTGATATAATATATGAATAAAAATCAATTTTGTTATAATTCAGGTCTAAATTTATTATGTAAGTATATCTATGATATTATAAATTTCTAATAATTTTTTATTAGATTTTTAAAATTTTACAATACAAAAACTTAATACACTTTTTAAAGTCTAGTCACATACAGTATTGTGCGAATTTATGTGAACACAAATAGATTTACGCTAAATATTATTTATTGAAAAAAAAATACAAACAGGACTAGTTTATAAATATTTTAGTATTATTTATTAGAGAATATGCCCCCTATTTGGCCTTTATTAAATCTTTAATTCGTTTTGGCATAGAATTATCAATGTTTTGCAATATTCCTTTATTTTTTCATCTTAAAACCATACCTGAATGACAGCCTTAATCAAATTAGTTTTTGTTGTAGAATTAATTTTTAGCACCCTGTCCTTGCATATAGCCCACAAACTCTCAATAGGATTAATGTCCGGTGAGTTTACAGGCCAGTCTAGAAAGGTTACCTTTTTGTCCTAGTGTAAATTAGTCAATAACCAGCAAAATCACTGACATTAGCAATTACTTAATGCAGAATGATTGGTTATGGAATATGTCAAGAAAAACCTGTCAAAATTGTCAAAGCATTGTTCGAAGTTAAAATAATATATAAATTTCTAATGTTCACATTAATTCGCACAATACTGTATACATAAAATGTGGATCATTATACTATCAAGGCTCTCTGGCATTTGTCAGTTATCCCTAACATTTCTTATTAAAAAAATATTAAATTGGGACCGCTAGATTCATAAATAAAACTTAAAATAACAAAAATTAATAGACATTTTTTTAATTAAATATAAAAATATGTTTAATGTATTAATTAAGGTTGAAAGTTAGCATCATAGGTTTTGTATTAAACGGAATTCTAAAACTAATATGAAATAAGAAATAAGTAGCTCCTCAGTACTAATAAAGAATGTGATGAAATGTCTGTAAATAATTTTTTAAACGTGACCAAACCTTATATTTAATGTACTTCGTTACAAAGCACCTGAATAAAAACAGCTTTGTTATAAAATACACTTACACTTACACAACTTACCTTTAATTTATAGCTACTGTATAGCTATAGCTCTTCAAATAAAAAGACAAATACATTGAATCCTTAAGGAGACTTGCTGCACCCTGTATAAATAAAAAGTCCAAAACATTAAAGTAACAAAAATAGAATTTCTTATACCAAAATTAACAGCGACGTACGCCATTTTGGGGATATCCTGTATAATATGGTTAAAAACAAGAAAATATTTAGAAAAAGTTTTATTGTACAAAGTGATTTACATTTTAAACAAAATATAAAATGCTACACAGGCTTGATGAAAATAAACCGAACAAAATTATTCATTATTATTGGAAAAAAAAACTAGGATGAAAATCGTCCTATTAACGCATTGTTGCAATTTTCTTTAAATAAAAAAAATATCTAATACGAGAGATAATGCGCATTATGCCGAGTTTAATGCTTTTTTGCTCCAATTAAGTTAATTTCATTATTAATAATATTTATTATAACCTGACTTAATAATATAATATATTATATGTATAGTCGCTGCTCGTAAATATAAAAAATCTGAGAGGAAAGAAAAACAAATAATGTCAATAATATGCAGTAGGAGTAGAAAAAAATAATTTATTGTTATTTGTAGTGTGCACGTGGATATTTTTCATTTGCTTTAAAAGGGTGAGGATAATTTGTTTTTCTAGAAAACAAAGCGACAAGCAAAAAATAAATATACACACCATTTAAAATCAATGGCTATATACATATACACTGCCCGTCAAAATTAACGCATAATAAGTTAAAAAATTCTAACTCTAAAACGCCTTTACCAATCTATAAAATGTTGGATAAAAATTCTTTAACTTATATCTCAGTTTACGTGTTCAAGGGTTCAAGGGATATAATTGAAGTATTCTTATACAAAATTTCAGTTACTTATTATGCGTTAATTTTGACGCCCAGTGTATATATGGCAATTTCCTATTAAAACTAAAAGCTAAGAGGAATGCCCTCTGGACAGCACTGGAATATTAAATAAATTTATAAGTTAAATCAAATTAGTTTAAAAGCTGACTATTATGTCAATTATTTTTAATTAAAAAGCGGAAACACGAACAAGCTTTAAGAAAATTTTAATATGGATTTCTTGAAAGTTAATAGAAAGTTTTTTCTGATTTTTACGCAAGGAATCTCATGTTCATATTTTCCCCAATAATAATGAATCGCCTATGTACATACATAATTAAAAAATGTACAATAATTAAACAAATAATTATAATTATTTGTTTTAATTATTGTACATTTTTTATTATTGTTTATTAATATTTTTATACAAAAAATCGGTTTCCTGGTTAATTAATATACACAATTTAGCATAGTTCCATAAACATATTTTTAAACATTTGTAAAAAAAAATGTTAATCTTTTTTTTCCAAATAAATATATACAGTGTTGCCATTTGTTTGCGACTTCAATACAGTTTATCAAGAAATACACTTTAAAACAAATCCGGTTAAAATCGCATAATAAATAAAGATTCTAGAGGGGTGAGTCGCAAACAAATGGGTCACACTGTATATATAATATATTATTGTGAAATAAATTTAAAAAAAATGTTAAAACTTATTTAAATAAATCTTTTTTGGTACACAATTTTAAAATGTGGATGTTGATGTTATACAAATAATTATTTAATTATAATTGTTATTAGAGAAATTAGCAAATTTTAGCTGATATGTATTCAACTAAAAAAAATCAAATGAAACTTTTTTATCGTATAAATAAAGTTTTGCAAAAGATTGAACCTTTCAACTTGAAAGATAGAGCACACCCATGTAATCTCATTAATCTTGAATCTTACGAATTCTTTATTGCTTCAATATAAGTATATCTCACAGACGACAATATATTTAATTTTTTGCGAAAACCATTTATTAAATATGGTCACTGTTAACCCCATTTTTTAATAGCTTTTTCATGTTTATCTCTGTATGTGGTGCTTTTTGGTACACGGTAACTTTTTTGATAGTAAAGTCAGCAATACAAATAAATCTTAACAAATAAATAAAAAACTGAGTAAGCCAAAACCAGGCCGTAACGTTCGAAAAGCAAGTGCTTAACATGTAATTTAGAAAATAATTTTTCTCTTTATTGTGCATTATTATTGGTGTGTAAAGATTCATGGAGTTGGTACACCTAAAATAATAAACTATTTTATATTCCAATTAAAATAGCAATAAAATGTATTTATGTTATTATATTTTTAGCATTAAAAACGATAACTTCAATACTTACTTTTCTGTTTGGGTGTAGTTTTTAAAATGTTCACAGTACGCATTGAAACCGTTTTCCAAAGCAGCTGTATTATAAAATTGTACACAGGTTAGAGCCAGACAACAAAATATCATTGGAAACACTGTGTAGGATTCATTGAATGCACTAAAACCAGTATTAAAAATGGGTGTAAATTATGTAATAAAAAAAATTCTTACTTCGCTCCTTGATATTTTAACACCAATGTCACCACCAGAAATACTGCTCCAGCAATCATTGATAGTAATGTTAAGTTTAGAAATATGTGGCAATTTTTTTCAGATCCCCAATGTATCGAGTATTGCTCTTGCTCTATCTGAGGATAAGAATTGTAAAATCTAAAAACAAAAGCATTTATAAGATTACTATTTTATTACAATAATGAAATTCTTTATAGACAAATTTATTTATTTATTATTCCATGGATTTTGGGTCTTTAAATCCAAATCCGTGAATATTTAATAAAAAATTTAAATATCATTTTTTAATAAATAAGTAGTCTTACTCGACAAATTTTGTTCGCAAAGTTTCAATTGCACAGCTAAATCGCGCACGTTATTTGTGTTTTATATATAAATAAAAACTAAAAAACTTTTATTACTCGATTTCGATTTATTATTCCGTATATCATTGATTACGAAACTTAACTCTTATATGCTTAAATAGTTACGTTAGTGTGTGTATTTTATCTAAATAATCATGGTGAGGTATTGTATTGTAATTCAAGAACTAAATCGTTGCAATTTCATGTTTTGACAAAAAATCCAATTTGCCAATTTGGTACGGGTCATTCCATGACAAACGACAAACGACAAACGATATTGAGGGTGAAAATATAAATAAACTGCTGTTCAAAAGTTAGGGAACCTCCTGTAAAATTACAACCGAATTAATTTTTTTGTCAGAGCATTTTTAGTTTAGTAAAATACCTTAAAATTAAACAAATCATACAAAAAATACCACTTTATTCATAATGTTATAATTAAAAATATATTAATTTGAAATTTTAGAAAGTTGCCTTATTTAAAAGTAAATTTATTTTTATTTTTAATATAATGTATGTGAACCTCTAGCATCAATAACAGCTTGACAAGGTCTTGGCATACTCTGTACTAGGTTATCCAACATTTCTTGCGGAATTTGAGCCCAAAGAATAGGTAATATTCTTGTTAGCTCCTGTATTGTTTCAGGCCTAGGTTGGTGGTTATCTAGGCTTCGTTGGAGCATATCCCAGGCATGTTCGATCGGATTTAGATCCGGTGACATAGCTGGCAATGGCAAATGCGTTATACCATGATTTTCTATCGCACGCCTTACTCGCAGTGTACGATGCGGTCTTGCATTATCATCCAAAAATTGAAATTGGTCACCTATTTCTTGATGAAAATGTTGGACAATATTGTTTATTATGTCATTTTCGTAAATGAAACCATTCATGGTATTTGCGCAGATATACAAATCCGATCGCCTACCCAAAGAAATACCGCCCCAGACCATTATTGTCCCACCTCTAAAAGGATGGACCTCCTGCACAGCACGTACATTTCTGGGTCTTCCGGGTGTTGTAAAAAGTACGTTATTCCATTCTTGGTCCCAATGTAAGTGTTGTCTGGCCCACTCTAATCGAGCCTGTTTGTGGGCTCTGGTTAATGGAACTCCTCTAAGGAGACGCCTAGAAACCAAATTAAGATCTAAAAGGCGTCTTCTTATGGTTGAAACGGAAACTCTCACGCCAGTAGCATTTTGTAAGCGACCACTCAGTTGCCGGCTCGTTGATAGAGGCTCTCTACGGACAGAAACAGATAGATATCGGTTTTGTTGGGCTGTAAGTTTCCTAGGTCTTCCTGTTCTAGGTCTATCCTCCACAGATTCTGTATCTCTGTATCTTGAACGAAGCCGAGAAATTACGCTTTTTGAAACATTAAAGTGTTCCGCGACAGCTATCAATGATTGCCCAGCTTCTAGCATTCCAATGGCCATATACCGGCGATCTACACTTAACTTTTGCCTCTCCATTATTATTATAAAATTAAATGAAAAACGATTTAAACAAGTGGTCAATTATCAATAATCTACTAAATGTGATTTGAATGACTTTAACATTTTTAAAACAAATCGCGTTAAATAAAAAACTGCTTAAAAACTAAGCAATATTTTTTATCAGGTATGTTAAAAATACATTATTGTTCATAAAACATTGATTTTAAGAAACAAATATACCGGCGTCTTAACTATACAGGGGGGTTCCCTAACTTATGAACAGCAGTTTATGTTCTTTTTGCATTAAATCTGAGGAAATTTTAAAGAAAACATTTCAAATATTAATGGGCGACCAAAAAAACTAGAAGAAACGCGTCATTTTTTAGTTAATTAGTATTTAAAATATGTACTCAAGTGAACTGGCTGAATGAACATTGTGCCTCTAATTATTTTAAATAAGAAGAAAAAAACTGTAAATCTGTCAACCGTTTTGCCACATTGTGATTAAAAGTTATTTATTGTAGTATTGGTGGAGTCCCGAAAAAATTAATAATTATCACGTTATAAGTGTGTTTTTTTGTTACTTTTACACTAACACCCAGAACTAAAAATCAGATAATTATTTATTTATTATTATACCATACAGATTGATTAGTGTAATAATATTTGGTAAAAGTAAGGTTATGGTGGTAATGATTTAAAATACTAATATCTAAGCATAAGACTAATTTGAAATGTTTTTTTTTTATTAAAAACTGTAACACCCGAAACTTTTTTCATATGTCGATATGTGTGTGTATTGCTTGAAGGATACAATTATTATTTTTAAGGCTCTTTCGACGGCTCACTAGCGCCGATGGTGTTGCCGAACCTACCGAAATTTCGGACCTACCAAAACACCAAATACTACGATTTTCGTCAATAATTATGTTTCTACCGATAATATTATCGATTTTACCCGTTTTGCCGATTTATCAATCGTACCAGAAGCTGCTTAAGTTATGTTAAAGGAGACTATTTCCCTCGTCTTAATTTCCACCAATCACAAACGCGCAATTTTGAATTACAAATGGTTTCTAGGTGAAAAAACTGTGTGACAGCACCTGTCAGCAGTTTATTCGAGTTTACCCGCGGCAAAATTTGACAGCTGTTGTCACCAAAAATTGCAATTTATATTTTAATTGTTAACTGTTACTCATGAAATAGTCTTGTCAAATACCATTCGGGCATCTAATTTTTCCTGTGAAAAAAATCGAAAAAACACAATGCTAAGTAATATTTTTTAACAAAATGCATTCGTGCAGGTGCAAAAATCCTCCTCTTCGACTCGGATTTTTGTTGCCACCAGCACTCATGCTTTTTGTTAAAATATTACTTAGCAACGTGTTTTTTTCGATTCTTTTCGGAAAAATTAAATGCCCTTATGGTATTACTTACGAATATATGCTATTTATGTTAATTAGCTAGTTATTTTGTAGTACTAAGAGACTAATAAAACACCGATTTTGTCCATATAAATTCCATATAAAGTGTAATTTTTGTACTTGTAACACCCGAAACAAAACCATGGTAACACCCGAAACAAAGTAAAATTTTATAAAAAAATAGTTAAACGTTATTTTTGACAGTGATTATGTGGTAGATTGTTAGTAAATATTATACTTTTGGAGGCCTGTATTTTTAGAAATGTTTCCCTAAGAAAATTCGCTGAATTTCAAATAAATGTAAAAGTGATCAGGACATAGAGGCAGAATCGTAAAACACCCGAAACGCACACGTTTCGACTTATAAAATCGTTATCCTATATGCTAAACTGAACTAATTTAAAAATTAATATAGAACTAAAAACGTAGAAAATGAGGCACTTTAATACGTATATTTGTTGGTGCAGAATTAACTAATAATAACTTTACCTAATGTAATTTGTTTTTAAAATTTCTAACAAAAAATAATTGTTAACATAACCATAAAACCAAACATTTTATATTTGAGCCATCTAAAAAAACGCCGACAACTGCATTTTAATAGTAAAAGACAAAATATATCTACGAGGTCATGGCAACATAATATTTGACAATCGGACAATTAAGATTCTTTTTAACCTGGGGTTTGGTACGTTTTCCTAACATTGAATAATTTTTTACTTAAAACTATTTTTAATGGTACCTATTAAGTATTGCATTTTAATTAATTTTAGAGAATTAAGGATCACTGAATTATAGTAGATATATTATGTATCAAGTTTGATAAAGGCCATTTGAGTGTATAGAAAAGTTATAAACGAGGTGCATACTATAGATACTTTTTCTACGACAAATACTTATTATTTACTTAAAATGATTTAAATCAAAAATTTGTATAGAGCGCCATCTATGAAACAATAGGAGAATCTGTGTTTCACCGTCAAATGTCAAATTTTTATATTTTATAAACACAATTATAAAGGTTATAAATCGAAATGTATTTCTTCAAAATTGACAGTTTTTCACATTGAAAGTAAAGAAAATGTTTTATGAGCACTTTACAGTGGAATCCGTGTCCGAATTTAAGTTATAGTTTACTGCCGGCGAAATTAAAAGGTCAGTACAATGTTCATATAAACTTTTCAAATATTGGAATTGAGAAACATTTAGTATTATTTTACAAGAAAGGCAATTTATTTTAACGATTGTATGACATTTGACAACTGTCAACTAACTTAAAACTAACTTCAGCCCGTGACTAAAAAACTGTTGCTAACTTCAGCCCGTGACTAAAGCGCCATAAAGCTACAACTTGTCAATGTATATTTAAAAGGTCACCTAGTGTCATGGAAACATGTACGATAAAGGGCGTTTTAAAGGTGGGAGTAGAAAAAATAATTTAAATCCCCAAATTCAATTTTGGCGAATGCGCCGGGTAATACATATTAAAATACCCGTTTTTGTTTTTTACCGTTGAGTGAGGACTTTCTCAATCAAAGGCCTAATGCTGTTTAAATTTAGACGACCTATTTGTTTTATGATTTTTACTGAGTTGAAATGTTTACAATTTTCACGTAAATCATTACTAAAATGTGTAATTATTGTATCTAATAATCTATTAAAAAAATAACACTTACCGACATATTTCTGTAACATTATTTTCTGTTAAGTTTTTACCACTTAAATCCATAACACCCATCATACTACAGTTTGATACTGTATCTTTATGCAATGGTTCCAGATTTATTCGTGTATGTAGAATACAGTTTTTATCTATTTTTCTTGAAAATTCGCCGAAAGTGTAACATGTTGCAAATGATAGAATTAATATAACGCAGAAAATAAAAATATTTGTCACTAAAAAAAATAACTTAATTGGTTTGGTATCTTTATTGCTATTTTACTATCTATTATATGAGTAACCAAGCAATGTTAATATTGTTAGTAAAATTTCATTGAATATTTTAAAAGTCAAACTGTGTCACGTTCGTAAACAATAACATAAACAATAGTAAAAATAAAGCGCCAAATAATTCAAAAACTTACTATTCCATATTGGATTGATTTTCGAAGAAGGTTTTTGCACCAATTGATAGTGATCGTAAATCGGAATCATCTTCGATATAAAGTCGATTTTGTTCTACATGTGATTTCTCTTAATGTTCGGTGTAATGATGGAATCAACAGAAATAAATATTACAACATTTCAAGGTGTTTGTTTATACTACAGTGCTGAAGTCACTCCCACCAGACCTGCAACCAACGATACAAACAATTGGAACTGTTGAAAGTTGTTCAGTATTCAGTATATTGTTTGAATTTACGCGATCAATTTCATTGTGCGTGTTTATATATTTTAGGGGTTTATTATTATCAAAGGGGTGATTATTTATTTACACGGGTGGCTTTCTGTTGGGTATTTCGTTATTAATGATTGTATTATTTGCAGTATTGTACTCGTTTATCTGCAATTTTTGTTGCGTCCGTCAAAATAAAAAATTGTGTGTAAAAACTACCGCAATTATTATGCTCACAAGCTTATGCTTAATTATTACAAGCATAATACAGTACAACACGATTTTTCTCCCATGAAAAATTTTAACAGATTTTAAAAATAAAGGTTTAAAAACGTCATCTAATTTTTTAACACAGCCATTATTTTAACATAAACAGATTTTTAATTCTCTATTTTGTTATAAATCATTTTTTTTCTTCAAATATTTTATGTTTTTACATAATAAAAAAAATTATACTTAAAGAAAATAACAATTTAATTTTTTTAAGAAAAAAAATTATTTCTGGTTTTAATAAAACAACAGATTGGTATTTATCTTATATTAAATGTATGTTGGAAACAAATCTTGATCCTTTAGTTTGACGATTATACATTGCTTTCGAATCTATAGTGGTATCACAACCTAAAAACACCACTTGATATACAGGGTGTTTCACATTCGTGGTCCATTGCACAATCCACACAGCAAGGTCTTCTATCTGGTACTCAAAATACAAAAAATCACTGCAACACTGCTCAGTTTAACGGCGGCCATTTTTGTTGTTTACAATTTTTGTGCTTTGGGTTTGTGCTCTGTTTATACAGATTAATAATCGTTTTAAACGTTGTGTTTCTAATAGTAAGCCTTAAAAGAGTCCTTAAAGTGCTAAGAACAACCATTTTACTCCTCTATTGTAAAAAATAAACTTTATTCCATCAGGGCTGTCATAAAACTGTCAAATGTTAATTTTAAGGTTAAATTATAACCCACAAATTAATCTTCAAATTGTCATTTGACAGCCCTGATAGAATAAGGTATATTTATTATAAAAGAGGAGTAAAATGGTTGTTTAGCACTTAAAGGCCTTATTTGAGGCTTACAAGTGCCTCTGTAAGAAACACAACGTTTAAAACAATTATTAAACAGCACAAACCCAAAGCACAAGACTTGTAAACAACAAAAATGGCCGCCGTTAAACTCTATGCAGTGTTGCAGTGATTTTTAGTATTTTTTAACATTAGATAGAACAGACCTTGTTGTGTGGATTGTGGTCCATTGGAAGTTTCTGGAGAACGGAAAAAATATAGATTTGAAATTTTTATAATCCATTAAGTCTATTTTTTTTTAAATTATTTTGAACAAAATGCAACTTCCGGTTTGACCGGAAGTGGCATCAACTTTGTTATTTCAAATAGAACACCCCATATATTTTTACATTTTTTAATTCTACATAAATTTTTGAGTAAAATTACTATACCATGTCCTATACCTAAAGTGAATAGTTTTCTAGATGTTTGCTATTAGGTTTACAGATATGGGGGTAAGATGTTTGGAATCTTAAAATATTGTTTAAAAAATTCCATGTCAATTCTTTAACATTTTTCAACATATTTTCCGAGAAACCCCAGGGCAAATTGGGCTAACTTGAAAACTTTTTATTTTAAATGTAACTTCCGGTATGTAAAGAAATTGGCGTGGAATCGTTTAAACAATGTTTTAAGATTATAAAAATTCCACCCCTATTTCTGCAAACCTTATAGCAAGAAATTTATAGGCTATTTTTGATTGACGCGCATTTGTTATATTTTAACGGAACTCGAAAACTATTTACTCTAGGTATAGAACATGGTACAGTAATTTTACTCAAAATTTTATGTAGAATTTAAAAATGTAAAAATATATTGGGTGTTCCATTTAAAATAACAAAGTTGATGTCACTTCCGGTCAAGACGGAAGTGGCATTTTGTTTAAAATATTTTAGAAAAATAGGCTTAATTGGATTATAAACGCTTTAAAAATTTTAAATCGATATCTTTTGCCGTTCCTCAGAAACTTTTAATGGACCACGAACGTAAAACACCGGTATTTCGTAAATGTGCAACACCCAGTAAATAATTAAAATAAATAAATCATCTTAATTATTGTCCATTTATTTAGTGAATAAATGTTTAATAAAAATATACTGTCTAGCTGTTATCGAATTTTGTCGTTCTGTGTAATAAACATATGTTTTCAATAGTATTTAATTTAATAACGGTAGCTAGAATAGTCATAACCAGAAGTAAGGTTAGTTGTTCATAAAGGCAGTTTAAATTTTTATGTCAAAATTTTGTGTCCGCCACTGTACCAGGGACAGATTCAGAATTTTGAGAAGTGTTTTTTCTTTGGATAATCCCTAAATTATAATAACACAAAAAAATAAATGAAGATGTAAATTTTGTTTTCTTCCTAATCCCAAAAAACATGTTCTTTTGTTAATTTTTCGTGATTTAAACTTTTTTGAAGAAGAAAACAAAAGCTAATTACAAAATTCCGACCTTGGATTCTTATTCGTTCGCATAACTTTCGGCACCTTACCATTTTCTACCTTTTTCTCTGTGGCGCGAGTTCTGGGACACCCTGTATATAATATTAAATTACCATGATTTCGTAGGTATATTTTGAGAGGACTCAAATATAAAAATACTCGATTTTAAGGTTATGTTTGTACAACAATTTTTCATTGTTAGATTTCTTAAAAATGCTCAAACTTAAATATAAATTGTATTAGGTAAAGTTATTATTAGTAAATTTTCACCAACAAATATACGACTTGGTTCTTGAACTTTATTTACAATTAAAAACACAATAATTCACCATTATCACTTAGATAAAATACACACACTAACGTAACTATATAAGCATATAAGCCATAGAGCCTACACAGTGTAGGCTCCATGATTTAAGCTTCTTAAGCGTAAAGTACATACAACTCGGAGGATAAGCTTATTAATTGCCTCGCACACAATCTACTGCATATGCATATGCTTTTTCAGGCTGGTCTATAATGTATTATTAATAAATAAAAAGAAACCTATATAGAATATAATAATAATTTCTACAATTTTCATTATAGGACTTATAATTTCAGCATCATAATAATTGTATCGGTGAGATTAAGAACAGTACAAGCCCAAAAGTCAAAATTTTGACAAAATATTTCAAAATAGTATATTAAAGTACAAGTTGCAGAAGGCCACATATTCTGGCACGAATTCGAAATTTGGCCTCGAGCGACGAAGGAGCGAGTGGACGAACGAATGAGTGCGAGAATAGCCTTCTGCAACGTGTGATTTATACTATTTTCTCGATTTTAACTTTTATTTAGGTTTTTTTAATTGTTTTGTGGTCGTTGTTAGTTGGGGGATTTTTCTCGCAAAATGTCAGTTGGCAACACAAAATGACAGTTGCATGGACAGGTAGATTTATTTTTATTTACTATTTATTAATAATCTGTCTGTATTTGTCAACTGGATAATAATGTTTTGTGTAAGTATTGTATTATTTTTTAATGTTTTCTGATATTTTTTAACAATTGTGTTTACTTTTAGCAGTGAAAAATGTCACAGGAGGTTTTACAAGCAACACCGAACATTACAATAAAAGTTTATAACAATTGTGCTAGTGATTAATTTATAGTAGTTTTGTGCTTTGTGTACTGTGGGTATATAATATTTCCAATAAAATATAGTTTAATTGACCTGTTTGGCTCATTTATTCGTCAATATTTGTTATCCTGCACAAGTACCTACAACCTGAACTGCACTTTTTCACATTAAACTTAAAATTTTGCATTAAAATGCATTGTTGGAGCAAACTTAATATAACAAAACAATAATAAAGGCTTCATTTTCAATAAAAGTGTGGTTCAGGTTGCCCTAGTGCAGGATAACAAACAAAGCTATTATAAATAATCCTAAAAGTAATGAATTTGAGGTTATTAAACAGTTTGACATTTTGGGGGTACCAATACTTAAAAACTAAATGTTACCAAAAATCGTTTAAGAATGAGCTTCATTCTTCAACGATTTTGCGTGCGAGAATATGACATTCTTACATAAAAATCGAGAAAATTAGTTTTATACTTCTAAATGCATTTTTGTGGGAATATTTTTACTATTTTATAAAATATAATGTTCATATTCTGTAAAATGATTTATGAGCTTAGAACTTAATATTTTCGTAACTAAAATGAAATGTGAAGAATAGATCTGATAAGGCTCTTTAAATTATGTACAAAATCCCCCAATAGGGTATTGAAAATGTATTAAAATTACCTTGAAATATAGTAAAAGTCCAATCCGTGACTGTCCCCAACAAAGATTTATGAACTTTACTGACTGCTAGAAAAATAGTGTTTCTGCAGTCATAACTATAATATGTTTTATTTAATTTGTAGAAATGTATACAGTTATTAACTAATTTTTGCTTAAAAAAGAATCTAAAACATTTTTATGACAAGCATTTTAGTTGATGTCTCTTAATTTAAAATGTCCAATCCGTGACCCCATTTTCACAACTCGGGAACGCTTTCTCAACAATGTAAAATATATATTGTAGTTTGTAGTACCTGTCAAAGTTAAATAGGGTGAGTAAATTATTTTATGTTTATAGGTGTAAATAAGAATTAACTAATTATATAAAAAAATTAAATTATTATTTGTAATGCCCTTTATTTTGGCATCACGGAAAAGACATTTATTCTTCCTGCAATGAAAATTTGTAAAAAATACAATCTAGTTCGTATCATGTATGACAAACATAAAATATTCAATATTTGATTAATATTCTATAGAAATAATATGTAATACGAGGTGTGTTCAGAAAATAACGGGAATTGTTAAATTTCGCGGGTTCTGAGGGTCCGGTTGTCATAAAATTTTATTTATTATGTTGGTATACATGCCCTCGAAGTATGATAAAAACTTTAGCTGTTTTCATTGTTTACTTTGTCTGTGGCAGCCGCTAAGGTTAGACGTGTTTTATGAGCTTGGCGATTTTTCGTTCGTTAAAAGAAATGGATCAAAGAATTTGTATCCAATTTTGCTTAAAAAATTAAATAAATTCTGTGAAATGTTAACAAAGGCCTATAGTGAGCCTGCTATAAGTAAAACAAGAGTTTACAAGTGGTATAAGAGTTTCCAAGATGGCCGTGAAGACGTTGAAGATGACGAACGCCCCGAACGCACAAGCACATTAACAACCGATAAAAACATGGAAAAAGTGAAGGAAATGGTTATAAACCATCATAAAAGTCGCTGATGATGTTGGTATATCGATTGGCTCATCCCATGAAATTTTTTCGAATGTTTTGGGTATGAAACGCGTGGCAGCAATATTTGTTTTAAAATTGTTAAATTTTGAACAAAATTTTTGGCCAAAAACAATACTGTAATGATGCCCCAGCCTCCATATTCGCCAGACATGCCTCTGTCTAACTTTTTCCTATTTCCAAAAATAAAGATAACTTTAAAGGGCCGTCGTTTTGCAAGCATAGATGGCATTAAAAGCGCATCGCTGAAAGAACTAAAGGTCATCCCAAAGAAGTGTTTCGAGTATTGGAAGAAGAGCTGGCACATGTGCATAATATCCAATGGGGACTATTTTGAAGGCGACAACATTAATGTAGACGAATAAATAAATATTTGTTTCAAAAAACGAAAATTCCAGATATTTTCTGAACACACCTCGTATATCTAATTTATAATAATTATAATTTTTTAATAAAATTTTTATTTTGGCCAACTTTTTAAAAATACCCTTATCCTCTCACAAAAAATGACAAAATTAAATTTTTGGACTTGTACTGTTCTTATTCTCACCGATTCAATTATAATGTTTTTAAATCATGATTATGCATATAAAAAAATATGTTTAGTATTTCTTAATACCACGACACAATTTTCCAAATGAAAAAACATTGTTTACATGATATCCGGCACAATCGTTTCAGTAGTAACGGTTTAGTCCTTTTCCAAGGATATTATCCTTACGCAGGCGTTCGGTTCTGCTCACAGCAAGTTGCGCTCAAAATGTTCGAGATTTTCAGTAGTGCATACCGAACTTTACTGAAACGTAGTCCTTAACAACCCGATAGATCCATAGAAAGCCACAAGCGAACAAAACGTTTTTGTTAATTTTTTGTTTTTAAATATTTCGTTGTATGTTGAAATTAAGAAGAATGCGATATTTTGTGCTTAATTTTAAGTGACTTTTTTTCAAAGTTTGTAGAACATGATTTTGTTTAAACAACAGACTTAGATTAGTATAAACAAAGAAGACAAGATGCTTATAACAAACCAAAGTTATCTAAACGGTAAGTTATTTTTAACACTTATGGTATTTGTAACATTGTTTTGACACAATAAAAATAATTCTTATTAAAATTAATGATTTTTTAATTAAATGAAATAACATTAACATTAACTCCTTTGTTATTTTTTTTCTTTCTTCATGTGTCAGACTTGAAAAAACATTATGAAAAATTGATTCCTCTTTGGGCTTTGTTTGTTTTTTCTGTGACCTACTTTTTTAGAAACTAGGTTAAATATGGGTTATATTCTTGTTATTTACTGAAATATTACTTTAAAATCCCTATTTTTACTAATTTATATAAATATTATAATTTTAAAGTGATTATTTCAATTAAAACTTATTTGCTTTGGTTAGATGTTAAATGTAAGGTATTTCAGGAATGTTTCATTTCCGTAGAGGTACGTAGAGGTACGTAGAGGTACGTAGAGGTAGGGCCCCGTTTTCCTGCAGAAATTTAAGTCATTGAAATTATTAAAGGATTTATTTAATTATTTATTGAGTAGAAATATTAAATTTATGTTTAGTGTGTTCTTTAGTTTGTTTACTTATGTTTTTTTGTGCTGAGTAAAAAATGTCTACTTTTACTAATGTTACTAATAATATTGTGTAGTTAGAGGTTAAATAAATAATTTATTTAAAATTCGATTGAGGACCTATAGGTCATATATGAATATAAAAAACTGTCTTAAAATTGGATAACGCTTATCGCAAAGGAACCAAGGACCAAAAAGTTTTTCTGGGCTTAAAATTATTTGTAAAATCATTTGGAACTTTTTTCAAAAGGATTGAGAGGGTTCCCAATTCATTATTAATTTTTTGAGCAGCGTTATTAATGCATATGAGATTATATTATTATATGAGAATATATGCATTATAATATAATTTTTTACATTAATTTTACATTTACATTTACACCCCCATTAAAAAAATTATAAAAAACAATGGTAGCAATACTTAATCCAAAAAAATTTCAAAACGAACCAAAATTATTTAAAATTTTTTTGTTTTGGTTATACAGTATAAGACCAATCTTATGAATAGATAAAAACCATTTTAAAATGTATCGATCATAACATTTTAAAATCATTTCCATGCCGAAGCATAATAATAATATTGTTCTACTCAAATTGCATATTATTGACATTTGTTTTTTTCGTACATATAAAATAACATCTAATAAACCGCCACGCCCAACAGCGGGAATAATGAACTCATTATTCCCGCTTTAGTGATTGGCCGACTTGGACCAATCGAGTAAATACAATTACAAAACCATCATATTTGCCCTGGTACACTAAATACCCTGCATTATCTCTCTTATAGAAATATATAATTATTTACTCCACAGATGTTTATAAATATAACAGGATAAAATTACAAAATAAAAATTTACTCTAAATGCATAATAGATTAATGAGTATTGTTTTTTATATAATTTAAATAAATATTTTGTAATACTGATAAAAAAGAAGTGTATAAATATTACATACTTTGTATATAAAATTACTTGTAATGATTAATTGGCGAGTTTATACAATATTTTATTAAAATTACACCTACATATGTATGTATGTATAAATCCTTATTTAAAGAGATTTTGGTAGAATTTTTTTCAAAAATAAAAATCAAATTTATGAAAATAACACCCTTAGAAATTTTTATATATTTATAAAGTATTTATAAATTATAAATTATTAAATTATTTATAAATTTTAAAAATGTAGGTAGTATTTTTATTTCACGAATTTTGTTATATTTTAAATTATTTAAACAAATTTAAAAAAAATTCGAGTGCTCCATTAAAATATATTAATGTATTTCAAGGTGTTGAAATTACGAAAAATATTTATTTTAAAACTGTATAGGTCTTGATTGAAGTATTGATTGAAGTATTTACTAATGTATGTATAATATGAAAAAGTCTAAAATAATGTTAAATTTAGAATTATAAAACAAATTAAATTAAAGGAACTTTAAAATGTATTTAAAATAAATCATAATATTATAAACAATATATGGACCTAAAAGGCTGAAATTTTGACTGTGGGTAACCGTTTAAAAAGGACTTTTTAAAATTCCATCCCCCCATGGGGCACTCCAAAATTAGGTTAAAATTAATCCTGGCGCATTCGCCATTTTTTAAACATTTAACGGGTTTTGATGAAATTTGGTCTTGGACAAACAAATATTCGTTTTCTGACCTATTTAAGAAACACGGTATTCAGCTGGTAATATTTTATATGAAAAAACAAGTAAAAAATATAACTTCATAATATGAATAAACTAAGCATTAAATTAAATCTTCTTTTAAGCACCAAATTTTTGTTATGTAACTAACCCTATAAATCAAAATTAAAAAAGTGAGTCACCGTCATTTTTGAAAACGCTGGCAGAACAATAGCAAATAAATTTTACTAAATTACTCTTGCCGAGATATATTTGTCATTAAACAATTTAGGAATAAAAATACTCCTATTGCATAATTTTCTTTTTTTTTGTGAATAATGATAAACATTATAAATTTCCTGCCTAACAACTTGAATAATAAACTCATTATTCAGTGATTGACCGATTTCTATATTCACTGTGATTTGAACCAATCAGGTTTTAAATTTGGAGGCGACTATAAAAACATTTAAATTAGTAAAAAGTAAGGCTAACCATTTGACAGATGTCAGATTTTATTTATTCATTTTTGAAATTCATTTAATTATCTACTTATTGGAGTAGATAAAGTATAGTATTATAATGTATACACTCGAGATTATGCGCATTATTCACTCGTATAATAATATATTATTTTATAATACCTATATGTTATTAGTGTCATCACAGTACCATCTCCTTCAAAGAAATGACGACTATATCCGACCTTGTATTGATAATTATATTTGCCTAGGACGTAAAGCTTAATCGTACAGTTTGTAGGTTTGTTCGTTGACAATGTTAAATTGATTGAGGCCACATTTTTAAGTAAAATATTATTTACAATTTTATTTTACAACAGCTTTTATTTTACAACAGAATGTAAAAAGCTTTCTATACCTATCTGTAAAATCGTTTAAAATAAGTTCGTCAAAAAGAACTTAATCATAATATCTACTTAGAAATGTCAATATTTTACTGTAGTTTGACACACGTTTTTATCATCCAAATTTTGGTCCATAAATTGTTTAGATTTTGGTTATTATTTTCACATGTTTTTGGTTTAACCAAATTTGAAGTGCTTACAAGCTACGGAAAAGAATATGGGTGATTCTACAAAAGTTGGGCAACTTATGACCTCATTTTGTTTATATAGTTTTCGGAGAAAATTAAACAGTATTTTATTACGAGAACATAGATAATATAATAAATATACTGTTCCAGACCGGGCAAGTCACTTTTTCAAACAGTTTCTGAAATATGTGTTTTCTAAATTTGAATGCAAGGGAAGTGACGAGTATACCAGGGTACTAATTAAATATATAATTTATTGGAAAATATAAGATTTAGTGCAACTTTAAGCATATTATACATTAAATATCTTAAAATCAAATAATACCACACACCAGTGGCGGCTGGTGGATTTTGGGTATACCGATATCTCAATTATTAGCTATGGCACCCACACCAAATTTATATGAGTTTATAATGACATTAAATAAACAAGTTCTGCGCAAGCAGAATTTAAATTAATGTTTGCAAAAAAAAGATAACCGAAACATCGAACATGGAACTGACGAAACGGTACTGATGAATGGGATACAAATTTGAGATTATAATTCGGAATTAAGTATTTTTGATATTTTTTATTAGTAGATGCTACTTATCAACAAATCACATATAGCCTTATATAAATTACAATAAAATATATATATATACGTAAGAAAATAACTACTCACCACACTACTGAAATTTTGACTGGAACTATACGTGCATTCACTACAACTTCGCCGCTTGCATTGTTTTCAAGATGACTGTCGTGCAAAGGGTGGGCTCTGTAGATACCTGAGTTAAAACGAGGACTTGACGTTTAAACTTCAATATTTCGAAGGAATTTTGAATTTTAACATTGGACACAGAACTGACGGATAAAAGTGAGTACAAAGATTATCATTTTTTTTAAATTGCTGTTATTCCAATTTATGATAAAATATGAAAAATACATTATTAAATGTTTTATAGTTTGTAGTGAAATTGAAAAATTTAAGATAAATTGAATATATTTTAAAATAAAATCACTTAAATATTTGATTCAGGAGTTGTGAAACGCCAAGGTACTGATGTTTTGAATATTTATTATGTTTTTCTACAAACGTGCTTTTAAAAAAATACATTAAAATTGGGTGTACAAGTTTAAAAAACCTGTATCTTTTGTAATATACTAAAATATTTACAAAAAATATTAAAATACCTACTCTATTGACTGATGACATCAAGTTGTCCAACTTTTGTAGAATCACCCATATGCCTATGGGCATATATTATCGGCCTTATTATATATAATATTGACCTTATTTCGTTATATACTATATCAAACTAAAATGTTTTAAAAACTTCCGAAACGATTTGTTTTATTTTATCCATTTTTTATATATAAATAATATAGAAAAAAATTAATCAATTCATATTTTAAAATGTATTGAAACGTGTTTAACCTCGTGCCTAACAACAGGGTTGATCATTCTGTGTGCAGTAAGACTTTTCACGACTTCTTATCACGTGAATGTTAACCCAGCTAAAACTTCTATTTTCCAATACCAATGTCACGTTTTAATAACACTGAATGCAGAATAACGTGATAAATAATTATTCTATTGAATGAAACATGTGCCATATTTAATTAATTAGCTACCCTTGCTCACCACCATTGTTTTGGGTTGGCTGTGTGTGGAATGGTGGATTATTAAAATTATGGACCTGACATTAACTTTAAATAGTAATTACTTTTTTATTTAAAGATTTACAAAAAATTTTTTTTATTAAATTTTGTTCTGGTTCTGTGGTGATGATGTGAGA